TATCGAGGTCTATAACCTTATCTATATCCGATAAGGCATTAGAGGACACCTTATAGGCCTTAGGTTCGCCGTCCTTACTAGTATCTATCGGATTACTACTTAATAATAGAGAATACTCCTCCTCGGAGTTATTACGAGTAGTAGAGGCGAGCGAGAAGGGAATCGCCTTATTATTAAGGCGCTTATTATTAAAATTGTCTAACTAAAAATCTAAAACTAGTAGCTAGGGAGGTAGTAGGATATAGCGGTAAAGAGTAAGATAAGAGACTCTAATCTTAAACTAATTTATTATAAGGTGTATAGCACTTAAAGTAGGAACTAAACAAGTATATTAATTAAATTAATTATCTTAAGAACTAAATATTAAGAATAAGTGTGTGCCTTTAGCCTTAGCATCCTAATTACCTAACTAGGGAATTACCTTAGAGTGGATTCTACTCTAAGCTCTCTTCCCTTTCTAAACCTATTAGGTTTTAATACTTATTTATATTTAGGGTCTTCCCCCGGGTAGGCGTGCCCTTACGTTAGCTCGTCTTTTTATATTTTACCGTTATAGACTTCTTACTTCGCTTAGCTAGGGTTTTACCCCTACTCTCGCTACTCTCCGATAATAAGAAGTTTACGGACACCCCGTAGAAAGATACGCGGTTCCTACTACCGGGAGTACCGGTAGGGAGAAGAACTAGCGCCGCTACGGGTACGGTAGCTTTACTATAAAAGCGCTTAGGAGATAGCTTCTCTAGATCCTCGTTTAAAGCCGCGCGTCTATTCTTAAGGAGATCGCGGCGTAGTAGTAGTAAGGGCTCCCTAGGGCGCTTTCCCGACTTCGTTACGGAAGCGGGTTAGGCCTTTAAGCTAAAAGTAATAGAGACTCCGCCTACGTTACGGTCCGAAGGGGTGCCTAAGAAATAGCGGCGTATTAGAAGAGTAGTTTACTATAGAAGAATTAGTAATTACCTTACGGACACCTTACGGTGTACTTTATACTTATAGCTATAGGGCTATATATATATAGCCTAGGACGCTAGGTACTATATATACCGAGACGTATACGGTCCCGCTTAGTAATCCTCTTCGTTATATCGAAGTTAAAGGTAGGACGACGGGTCTACTACTATCGGACATCTTCTCCTATACGAGCCGCCTCTATTTCTTACTCGCGGAGTGTATAGTTATACGAGAGTTAAGCTAGTATTAGCTCTATACCGGCGGTAACGGCCGCTTCGTTACTACGGACCTCCCGAGTTATCTACTTCTTTTAACGGTGTTTAGAGAGGCCTTTCGGTAAACCCTCCTCTACGCGAGCGAGCTTAGCGCGGTATACGTCCGCGAGCATAACAAGTACGTTAACGCGACCTTAAAGATATATAAAAACCTATAACCGCGTTAGTACCGTAGCGAGACCGCACGGTAGGAGTATATCTACTATAATATAAGCTCCGCGCTTATTCTTTATATAACGCGCGTACGCCTTACTATATAGCTACTTATAACGGTATAATAGCGTAGCGAGCGATTTATTATACTAGAAGTAACACGGATACGTCTACGGCGTATCTTTACTTATATCTAGGGCTACCTAGATATACTCCGTTTCTCGATTCTTTCTAGAGAAGTATTTCGGTACTACGCCGAGGGTATATAGGCCGCCTATATTAGGGCCTTACGGACGCCTTATAGTAGGAGTTAAGGATCGTTATAGTAGGTTCTAAAGGGCCGGGAAGGCTAAGGGGAGCGGAGTATATAAAAGGCGTATAGGCTAGTACGTCTAAGTTAGTAGAAGAGCGTAGTATTAGTAATATAGAAAGGTTACGGAGCGCGTACGAAAATTATAATAAGTTACTAACGCTCCTATAATAATAACCGTACCGACGACGAACCTCTAGCGGGCACCCTACTACTCTACTACGATAAATCCTTAGATTGCTACTAGGGATAGTAGCCTAGAAGGGAGGAGTATTATAATAATAGGCGGTAGGGCTCCGCCCCTACCCCTATCGCGTACCCCTTACGGACCTCCTACGGTATTCTACCTAAAAGTCCTAGGATATACCCTACGGACCCCTTACGGTTACTATACGGTCCTCTCGCGGACCTCCGGGGAACTTAGGGTTAAAGGTATCTTCTCCCTAACCGAACCGGAGGGAGAGCGACTACTCCTCGAAGAAGAAAATAAGAAGGAGAAGAGAGAGAGGGAGGAAGGATAAGAATTACTATTCGATTAATATCGGAGTATCCTTTATATCTACTTAGCATTCCTTATACTATGTAATTACCCTAACTATCCGAGCCTACCCTAACTCTATATATTTACATTATAGAGTTAGTAATTCGTATCGCTTAATACTAAGCTTATACTACTTACCGAGCTTTTCTTATCTATATATAGGAAGTAGCTCGAACTATCGATAGCCGAGCCTCTACTAGAGCGTAAGCTTCTTATTACTCTTAAGCTTCTTATTCTTCGTATTATTATACTACTACTAGTCCGTTTTAAAGGCTTTAAGCAAGTAGCTAGCGATTAAGAAGCTCCGCTTCGTAAGTTCGTTACCGCTCTTAAAGTAAGAATGCTATCCTTCTACCGAGTTAGAGGTCCGTATCTATATAAGAAGAGGATTGTTCTTACAGAACTTAGTATACTATATAGATGCGTACTCGAATAACTATTCGCGAACCGTATACGTATAGAGCCTATCGTTTATACCGGCTAGTAGTAAGTTAAGAGCTAGCTTTAACTAAGCCTTAATATTCTTATCCGTTTTATAGTAGTGCATTATATTAAAGAGCGCCTTATTCGTAGCCTTATATCTACCCTTTAGAGGGAACTTCTTCCGTATTATCTCGCTAATATATCGCTAGTAGAGTAGTAGCTTTACGCTATCGCCGAAGGCTATACGAATAGCGTTTTGTTCGCTAGCGGAGTTATTAGGAATAGTCTACTATAGAAGCGATGCCTTATCGTTATTACTAGCCTATAGCTGTAAGGGTAAAGATATAGCAATGTATTAGACACCCGTAATTACTCGATTAGAGATAAGACTAATTCTTACAGGTTAAATGTGCGCTATGCGTAGGAGTTATGCATACGCTAAGCCTACGCTAAGTAGTAAGGTCACATTACACTCCCTTCTCTAAGGTTGGTTAATCCGGCTACTTCTATTAATCCTGTTATTATAAGGGCTCTTACACGGCCCTTATAATAGCCTTAACGTATAGAGCCCTTATATAATAACTACACTATACTAGCTCTTAACTACTATATAAGTAACCGGCCGAAACGAGCTATTACCGTTACGTACTACTAGGTTAATAAGATACTACGGTAGGCCGAGGGCGTAGTACGTCGTATCTATAATAGTAAAGATACTAAACTCCTTCTATAGAGTAACTCCTTTAGCTATTATAATAACGATACTACGCTTTACTCTATCCTTCGGAGTAGGAACGGCAAATAGCTAGTAGTACTACTCTAGGTCTATTATACGGTCGTTCGCCTTAAGGAGTTATTAGTCCGCCGTATCTACGTTCTTTCGTACGTACCGTATATTACGGTTATAATAAGGCGACTAACGGCTAATATTATAGGCCTACTAAAAGGTAACCTACCTACTACTAATATTACCGTTTTCTTTATTACGTCTACTATTCGAGAAGCACGAGGGCTATTATCTATCCGTTCCTTTATCGCCTCTTTTAGAAAGCCGTTTAGCCGTCGTACGTCGTACTCTTCGAGTATATAGCTATAAGCGCCCTTAAAAGGTCTATACTTAAGCGTAATTAATACCGGTTCGCTATCTTTATTAAGTATTATATATACGTAGAACGAGACCTAGTATAGCTCTAACGGCTTTAAGAATACCTTCCTATTCCGTACGGAAGTACTACCTTTATCTACCGAGTATATAGTAGTAGAACGCTTCTTCTTAATATATTAGTAGTATACCTTTAGCGTAGGCGATCGATTACTAGGTTAGACGGTTTTAATATAGTTCTATATATTACTAAGTAGCTTCTTCGCTAGTTTAAACTTATCTAGCGTAAGCGTAATGTCCTCTATAAGAAGGAAGTAGTCCTTTCGAAATACCGCTCTATTTATTTCGAAGGATATATAAATAGGTAAAAAAGACAGGTTCGATTTCGTCTCGAAATTGCGGTATGCTTAGCATCCATTTGTTTTGTTTACCTCGATTTGTTTTAGTATGTAGCACACCGAAATATGTCGGTGCGCACAAATTATTCACGATGACGTTTATGTACTAGATCGGTCGATCGGTTGGCAAGGTACAGACCACCGCAAGATGATGGAGCCTCGGGTTGTCATGATTGGCATCCCGAGTGAATGAGAGCGGGCATCGACTGCCATCCCGTTCGCCACCATTCGTGGATGCACCTTCCAGAATGAAGCAGGTTGGGAAGGCGCTGTGGACAGCAGCGGTGTGCAAAAGGTGGTTCTTACTTCCCTGCTGGTTCTGTCCATTACATCCACCAAACCAGAGTTATCACTGCAACATCCACAGCCCACACTCACCTTCATCTTTGCTACGTTACACGCGTGGACAATCTCCGAAGCTTATTCTTCCCGCAAAGCAAGATTGAACAACATGTCGACACTTTCAGCTCTGGCAAAAGCCTTGACTGTGCTGGCGGCTACAACGGTGCTCGCTGCAGTCAAGTTTCCACCAATCCCCGCAGACAAGACCACCCCATCCCAACAACGCCTCGCGATCGATGGCCCGAATTCCATGTCCGTTGGATGGAACACGTTCGAGAAGCTTGATCACCCATGTGTTTCTTACGGTCTATCAGAGACCCAACTATTGAAAGATGCCTGCTCGACCAGTTCATCAATCACATACCCATCATCCAGAACATGGTTCAACACTGTGGTCTTGACCGGTCTGGAACCAAGCACGGTCTACTAGTACAAGATCAACTCCACCAATTCCACAGCAGAGAAGTTCCTCTCTCCTCGCTCCGTAGGACAACAGACACCCTTCAACATGAGCGTAGTAATCGACCTCGGGGTATACGGCGAGAACGGCTACAACACGACCAAAAGAGACACAATCCATGACATCCAACCCGAGCTCAACCACACCACAATCGGTGCTCTCGCTCGAACGGCCGATCAATACGAGTTCGTCCTCCACCCTGGAGATCTCGCTTACGCAGATCAATGGGGCGATCGACCCTCCAATGCCCATGATGGAAAGAATGCCTTCGAAGCAATATTAGAAGTTTGTGACCTTCCATTCCCTCTCACTCCTTGACTGACTCTTTGCTCCCAACAGACCTTCTACAACCAACTATCCCCCATCTCCCGCAGGAAACCCTACATGGTCTCCCCCGGAAACCATGAAGCAAACTGCCAAGATAAAGTTCCAGCCAAGAATTATTCATGCCCGGAAGGGCAAAGCAACTTCACAGACTTCATGAACCGTTTCGGCAGGACAGTGCCCACAGCCTTCCTCTCCACTTCCCAATCCACCGCCGCACAATCTCAAGCCCTGAAAGCCGCATCCCTCGCTGTACCTCCTTTTTGGTACTCCTTCGAATACGGCATGGCACATATCGTCATGATCAACACCGAAACCGATTACCCAGGCGCCACAGATGGACCAAAATCATTCTACAACGCGGGAAACTTCAGCGCCCCAAACCAACAACTCGCATTCCTCGAAGCCGATCTCGCGAGTGTAGATCGTAGCGTAACCCCTTGGGTTATTCTTGGAGGCCATCGACCTTGGTACAGTAGTGTAGGAGATAGATGCAGGCCTTGCCAAGAAGCGTTTGAGGAGTTGATGTACAAGTATGGAGTTGACGTTGCAATTTTCGGGCACGTTCACAACGCGCAGAGATTCGATCCTATGTATCGGAATGCTACGGATCCGAGGGGATTGAATGACCCCAAGGCGCCGATGTATTTGATCATGGGAGGGGCGGGAAACATCGAACCGTTGGCTGCTCTTCCTCCGGGCGAGAACGCCACTGGAATGGTTTTCGCGTACGCGGATGGTTATTCGTATGGGAATGTCAAATTTCTGGATCGGAATCGTCTGGGAGTAGACTTCATCAGAAGCTCAACTGGGGAAGTACTGGATTCGAGCGAGTTGTACAAAAATCACTCTGTGGATTTCGTACTCCAGGAGTGAAACTACCTTAGCATAGCCTTACCTAACCTAACCTACCCTACCCTGACCTACCTAGCTTAAACTACCTAGCTTAACCTAATCTACTGATCGATACCTATCTTCAGACTACAATCGACCAGGAAAAGCAAGATGTCTATGCTCCTCCCACCAAACCTCCTCGTGCGCAGCAATCAATTCACAGGCATCTCCCGTTCTCTCATCGAATTCTCGCAGTCGGAGAATACTCTTCTCTGCGGCTTCTCTATCCAAATGAATACAAAGTCTCCCATTTCCACCAGGAGCCTCCCAAGTCCCAATTTCCTTTTCCCCAGTAAGTAGTCTTCGATCATGAAACGCATCTCCACAGAGTAGTATCCACTTGTTCTCGGTTCTACACAGCAGATTGAGATGTCCGGGCAGATGGCCTGGGGTATCGATCACATAGACACTTTGATCTCGGAATAAATCCAAAGTCGCAGGGAACGGTCCCAAAGGTTTCCAATCTCCAGTAGTAGTAGGATCGGGCAATTCCTCCGTTCGATCATCAGGCAGCGTATCGGGTTCGAAGTGTTGATGACTCGCTATCCCTCCCAGCCCTTCCTTCAAAACTTTCAAGGCTCCGTTTCCGAGAAGAAAGCGCGCTCGAGGGAAATCTTCAGGGTCGCCGTGGTGGTCATAGTGGACGTGAGAGAGCATCACAAGGTCTATTTCTGCGGGGGAAAGACCGCCTGTGAGGAGTTGTGCTGCTACGCCGGGTTCGAGATTGAAAGGTGCTCGGCCGTCGATGTGTTTTTGCATGTGTGTTGGGTAGCGGGATTGTGCTTTGCGGAGGCCTAGGTCGAACATCATGTTGATGGGCTTGGCATTTCCGGTTGGGTTGCCGATTGATTGGACTGCATTATTATTGCGGCCGCCGGGATGTTGGATGAGGAATGTTAAGGAGGGGACTGTTCTTTTTGCTCCTTCTTCTGCGGGATGGACGAAGAAGTGGTCGGAGAGGGTTATGAAGCCGCCTGGGATGGGAGAGACGGTGACGTGGGTTTGATTTGGAGATGCTGGTGGGAGGAAGGACATGTTTGGGGGGTTTGTTTGTTGCGTTCGTTTTTCGATGGATTGATAATTCACTTACGTACCATTCCATAGCATATATCAACTCCACCCTCTTGAGGGTAGTCACTATCCGAGGAAAGTAGGAAGGTTCCCCGCAAAATGTAATACAAAACACCGGATCCGTCATGGTAGCTCCTCTTCCGAGATCGGCCTCGAGGGTGGGAAAGTTAGAGGTACATACATAGAGCTCTCACTGTTATATCCATCTCCATCTCCACCATATCCCTCTTCTCTTCCTCCCGTCTCTGTTTGCACAACCTGTTAGCCTCGATCGCATTGCCTTGGCCCTCAAAAGATTCACCCAAACAAAACACTTCCGACCACACCAACATCCCTTCAAATCAGCAACCATGGCATCGACCTACACCCCCGAAGAAATCAAAAAAGCCCATGAAATCCTCTACAATGAAGGCATCAAAATGCGTAACCAAGTGGCCGGGAAAGCATACGTAGACAAGTCCCTCGCAAACGCAACACCTTTTTCCCAAGCCATGCAAGAAGTTCGTATTCCCTAGGTACCCTCCCTTCATCATCTCCCTCCTTCTGACGCCCTCAAAACAGTACGTCTCAGAATCCTGCTGGGGATCGATATGGACTCGTCCAAATCTGCCCTTGAAAACCCGATCGTTCCTCAACATCGCCATGCTCTGTAACCAGAACCGCGGGTCGGAATTGGCTACTCATGTCAAAGGTGCATTGAACAATGGAGCCACGGAGGAGGAGATTAGAGAAGTGATTTTGCAAGCGGCGTGCTATTGTGGAATGCCGGCGGGGATTGAAGGCTTCCGAGTTGCAGGGAAGGCGTTGGAGGAGTGGTATGCGGAGAATGGAAAAAAATGAGTTAAGGATGAAGTTTCGGGACTTATTGTAGGATGGTGTGGAGTCATAGTCAATCGCAATCCGTAAGAAAGTCACCAGAGAAGTCCATCTCGAGGACCACATTCATAACGGCATGAGAATGCTCCTTTAGCTCATACAGCAGTATTTCAAGCACAATAAAACAAACCTCGCTGCATCATTTCCGGGCCTGAAGTACGCTCAATTCCATTCCGTCCATCCATCCATCCATCCATCAATCACGGTTTGACGATCATTCCACACCTACGCATCCCTCGCCTTCCTCCACTCCGTCTCCTGCTCCATCTGCAACTCTCCTACACTCTTGGCGACCTCCTCCAAAATATCCGCCGCACGCTGATGATACTCGGCCTGCGCCTTGGCCAACTCGACCAAATTCCTCAACGGCTCCGGGGTGTCGAGGACATTGCGCATGACACTCGTCGCCTCGTCCACCTTTTCCACAAACACATCCTCAGCATGCTCCAACGCCTTGTTATGTTCCTCCGAGTTCCCACCGCGTGACTTGACCGCATCCAATTGCAGACGTGCATTCTGGACAGCTGTGCGAGCTTTATCGGCCGATTTGATGCTTTGGTTGAGAGTTGTGGACCACCCCGCGAGGAATTTGCCTTGAATCTTCTCGTCTTGATCCAGACGAGCTTCACCCACTTTCTCCGAGGAAATGGCAAGCTTCTCAAGTCCTTGTGCGAGTGGGTCGGGTTCGGTGGAACCTTGTGGTGTGGCAGTCGCGATCGTCTATCATCAAGACAATCATCATCATCAGTACCATGTTCATCGATATCCCCATAAGGATATTTTATTGTATACAACTCACCTGACTTCMACTCAAACAAGCCCTCGCAATAGCATGACTGAACGTCTTGGGCTGCGGCTTCGCGGTCGGAGGAGCAGTCAAGGCTGCCTGAGCCTCAGCAGCGGTGCCAGCTTTGCTCAATAAATTGACCTTGTCGGTGATGGATTTGCCCAAATCTTGAAAGGATTCCTTGACGTTGGGTGGGTAATCGTAGGCTTCATTCGTGTATTGCGAAGTGGCGGCGAGGAGTTTCTGATGCGTAACCTTGRGCGCATCGATGCGGTGTTCGAGCTCAATGTAGTCGTGCGGAAGCTCCGTCTTCTCCGTCGCGTTGCCCGTTTGCTCCTTGATCCATTGCTGACTGCGCGTCGCAAAGGGCGTGACGGTCGAGGAAACGCTGTTGGTGAAGGCTTTGAACTGTTGCATGGTGGRGGTGTAGGTGGGGGTGGGTGTTGCGGTAGGTAATGTGTTGATGTTTGGGGAAGAGGAGAGGCAAGCAAGCAAGCTCTTACTTGTCCATGAGCTTATCCTGCCTGCCTGCTGCTGTCCTGTGCGATGATGGGTTCGCGTGTGACAGTCGCCGCTTTGGGCTTAGTATGCCGATGATGTACAAGGGTCTCAACGATATTAAGAGGTATCTATCTGGAGGGGAGGATAGCCGTTTACGAAGTCTACATGTATAGGAGCATGTTTTTGAGAGTCAATTCAATTGACACATTATATTAAGTGGTGCAACAAATGTGTTTGATCACTGATCACTGCAACTTCGAGCCCTCACACATCGAACAAACTCGTAATCTTGCTGCCTCCGTTTGGTAGCTTCGCCCTCAGCACAGCCCCAGGATACGTCCTGCTATCCACGCCATCATTCCAATCCGCCTGGTAAGGCAGCCTGCATCCAGGTTAGCACTCTTCATTACAACATCACACCACGGTTATCGTCACATGCTTGACTTACTGATTGATGTTGATGTAGATGTACCCATCAGTAGACACGCTCGCTCCGTCCGGCCAGATCATCCTTGGATCCCTCACAAATGGCTTCGTCAGCCCATCACTTGGATCAAAATAGTAAATCGCGTTGTGTTCCGGCATGAGTTGGTAGATCAACCCATTACTGTCACCTTCAAATCCGTTCGCGTTTCCACCACGTTGACCATGGTTGGAGACGTTTCCACGGGCTTGAATCTCCGCGAGTGGATTCGTGTCTTTCTCCCGAAGATTGGCGGTAGGAACGGTCCAGAGGTAATTCGTTGTCAACGGGGAGTAGTACATTCGCTCTCCGTCTGGAGAGATTTGAAGTCCATCAAGCCCTTCTTTTTGCCACGAGATGGGCGATCCTTTGGACCGAAAGTAAAAGGGCTTGCCTTGGTATGAAGGTACGTCGTTCTCGCCGCGTAGAACGGAAACATCTTGTGTAAGACGGCGCCAGGACTCTCCAGTGCCAAGATCAATCATGATGAAACCAGGACGACCTTCATTGGAGCTGTCCACAAGATACGCTACACCTTGACCGGATGTACCGGACAACTTCGGGTTGAAGTCGAAGCGCAGATCGTTGAGGTAAGAGTCTGGAAAGTGGACGTCTGCAGGAAACGTGAAAGTCTGATAGATTGTATCGTTGGCAAGAGAGATGGCGACCAATTTTGGTCCTCCAGGCTGAGCATACGGCATTGATGGCTCTCCCTGTCCATTGTGTACAGTTGGACGACCTGTATCAATCGCCCACAGCGTCTCCGGACGTTTGGCAGATTTGGATGTAATGTAGATGGCTTGCACGGAGATCAGACCAGTCGCATTGCCCGAACCGAAAGGGATCCCGTTCCAGGTGGTATTGAGCTGCGAGACTGGGAGGTTCACGTCCGCGGAAGGGTACGGCTTCTCGGCAGTCTTGTTCACAGCCACACCAAGAGTGTAGTCGTAGGATCCTCTAGTGTAAGTCGCAAAGATGCGACCATCGGAAGCGACTGCGATCCCAATCGGCCATTGGTCGTAGTAATAGTGTACTTCTTCAATAGACGGCCCGTAAGTTCCATTGTCGAATCTCAAGATGGAGTCAGTAGGGCTTTGGTATGTTGCATTCTGCGCCACTGCTTGGCTAGCAAGTACGGCTCCTACAAGCAAAGCTGATGAGGAGCGCATCTTCGGGTGGGGTGATTGAGATTGAGATTCTCAACACCTCCAAAGCACTGTCTAAAGTATAATAAGAGTGCATGCAATATGGTTACGTAGTTACCTCATCGGTGACGATCGAAACTCATCATCATCCGGAAAAGCGGCTTTTACATGTATTCGAGGTCTCACAGCCACGCGTTATGTATGACCAGATGTCGTCGCACAGAATGTGCTTCGGATGGGGTGGAAGATCAAGGACGCGTATGTTGCCGTGAGAGAGCCATTCCATGAAGCCATGCGTGCTGTAGCCGGCGAGTTTCTGCTGGCTCGCGTGGGCATCGCAACTCGCTKCTCCTCACTTCACGACATATATCACGCAAAGGTGCTTTGAGGGAAACTGCTTCGTGCTTGTGAGATCATGTCGAGATTGATGAAGGGAGAGAGGAACTGTGAGCGAGCGGAGGAGAGACATCCCATCAGTCTGGCTCCTCCCTTGCGGGCCGAACGGCAACGTCCGAGCACGCGCCTGCCCGCCGCTTTCCCCTTCAGCTTTCATGATTGTTTGCCTGATCGCAAATCACATCTGGCATTTCCACCCAGCATGGCGGGTCCACGACTTCCCTTTCTCTGGCCGATGCTGGCCAAAGGAGGGCTGGAAATATCAAATCCAGCTCTCCGCTCCGCCAAAGCTGCTGGGCGCATTCGAGCACTACACTCCACGCCGAAGCGCAGACAGGCCGATGCACCCTCACAGCGCTATGGCACCGCCAATCAACCGCCAGATCATTTGGGAGGAGGGAAAGTGGTTCCGGTCACACCCAAGCCGACGGAACAAGCAAAGGCATTACCGAAGATTGGGGAGAAGCTGCAGCATGATGGGGAGGTGGAAAATGGACAAGCAGAGAAGAATCCTACAACTGTCGACGAGAATGCAACGGTGAAATCGGCGGGAAAATCCTCCGGATCTCTAAATGCAGCATCGTCTGAAAAGCCCGTGGAATCATTACTAGAAACGATCCCCGAGCAACAATCCAAGGACCAACAATCCACCACCTCATCCTCATCCACAGACAAACCCAACCCCACACCCAAAGTAGACGACCATGCCCCACCAGTCAAACCCCCTCATATGGACACACCCCGCCACGTCCACCACTTCGACTCCTACTCCCTCGTCCAACAACTTGAAGACTCCGGCTGGACCGAAGACCAAGCCATAACAGTCATGAAAGCCATGCGGTTGATGCTCTCGGAAAACATCGACCTCGCCCGGGAAGCTCTCGTTTCCAAATCTCAAGTCGAGAACGAAACATATCTCTTCCGCGCTGCGTGCGCCGAACTCAAAACTGAAGTCACATCGCGAAGGAAATCCGAGCAAGAAAAGATGCGTACGGAACGAACACAACTGCAACACGAGATGGAGATTCTCAATCAGAAATTAGGGCAGGAATCTGCTGCGATGAAAGACGAATTGAGAGGAATGTTTGACGATAGGAAGATGGCTGTGCGGAACGAACAACGCAATACGGAGAGCAAAGTCCAGAAACTCAATTACCAAATCACGGTAGATCTCCAAGCCGACGCAAAGAGCGAAGTCGAAGGATTAMGATGGGTCATGACGAGACGAGTCATTATTGCTTTGGGAAGTGTAATTTTTATGGTTGTGGGGAGTTTGAAATTGGCTAGCAGTGTTATTCAAGATCAGGAAGCTGAGGCGAAGAGGAGGGGAAAGATGAGGAGTGGAGGGACGCAGACTGATGGCGGTCCCGGTGGTGGTGGTGGTGGAGGAGGGAATGGAGGGTATAGAGATTCGGGAAATCAGGGTCTTTCCCCTGGTGATGTGTTCATCAAGGAGAGTGGAGAGAATCCTGCGCTGATTACGCTGGGATAGGAAGGAGAGGGAGGGAAGAGTGTGATTGGTCTTCTGGATGATTGCATAGCAGGCGTGTGATTTGGAAACGATACCCAAAACTCGGCTCATCTTGGTTTTTGATTTTCTCCTGGATATAGATAGACTTTTTAGAGGAGAAGAAGGCAAATCCATTACCATGCATGCTTGTATGCATGTGGGCGTGTGATATCGATCTCATCTGATCTGAACTGAACTGAACTGGTCACACGTTCCATCTCGCTACGATTGCTGCTTATTCTCCGAAAATGTCACAAGATCTCTCAGCCTCGACTATCACAAGATCCCTCAGCCTTACTTGCGAGGTAATCTTCCTTCACACCAAGTAAGCAATCAAGCGAGCTGCGAGCCAGGCAAGTAACGTGATTCATATTGTATGCTACGTACAAGTGACAGCAAAAGCAAGAAAAAAAAAGGCCAAACCAAGCGAATGTTGTGCCTCTCTCTCCATATCCATCCCTCCTGGGTATAACAAAACAGTCTCCGCGAAAGTATCAAACAAAGTTCCCTCTCCGTCCTCCGTCCTCCTCCCAATTCCCCTCCTCGCTCTGATGATAGTATGAAGGCAGAAAGAAAAAGTGTAGTACTAGATACAAGTAGATATCAGCAATGCAAAAATGCCCCCAAAAGAAGAATCCTACAGAATCACATCCAGGAAACACCCACTCTCCACATGTGACAGACAGACGGTTGGTCAATTCACTCATCATCACTTCCTCCCAAACATTTTCCCCGCAATCCCCTTTGCAACATCTTCCCCCAACCACGCACACTTGATAACAATTTCAAACTCCCTGATGATCCTCCCTTCCACCTCTCCAAATCCACTCCCACACTGGACCAAAATCGGCGGAAGTATATCCCCTCCACTACATGTGGTGGCAGATAATGCGGCTTCCGCGAATGATAGTTGCTGTCCCAGACTTGTGGATTTGTTGTGAGAGGCTTCGCATAAGACGATGATGATTGCGGAGGCTTCGTGCAGGAATGCAGAGTGTGTGGAAGTGAAACCTACGGAGGGGATGTAGGGCACGTGGCGGATTCGAGGGTGGTGGGAGGCTAGGGAGCGACCGAGAGTTTCAAATGGGTCGATTGAGGGGGACAAGGAGGAGGAGGTCGATGAGGATGTGGATTTCTTGGTTGACGATGATGTTGAGGGGGTTAGAACTGGAGTGAAGAGGACGACTGTTGATGTTTTGGAAAGGTTCTGGAGGGTTGCCATTGTCTGTGATGGGGATTTCTTGGGTCGGGATGATGCTGTTGTTGAAGATGATGATGATGATGATGTATTGCGATTCGCCTGCAGGGAGACTTCTGCCAGTTGAAGACGGAGGGCAAGAATGGAACTCGGTTGGTAGACAGGTAGATTTGGATCCCTCATGGTAGTTGGCAGAAGATGTTGTATGGATGAAMAAACCAGCATCGGGTATGGTCCCTTTACAAGTATCTTATATGACTTCTTCCGCTCCTCCAACGGCCGAGTACCATCTTAGATTCAGCCGGGACAATGCGCTCAAGGCCTTGTAGCACAAAGCGAACTAGTTACAGCAAGCTCTTTCGGGTCGTTTGCAGGAAGTGAAGAAGCGGAGCTGCTCGAACTCTACAGACACATGCAGGAGTCCAGTCCAGAACGAGGTGGTGATTGGAGTGGATGTAGAGGAGCTAGTTGGTCCGTTTATGGGGTGCCTTGGATTGGAGCGATGAACGCCCGAAAGAGGGAAAGATCGGGTGGCTGTTAAAGCGTCCCACAGGCGCGTTGCAGGGAAATGATTGGTTGGGGGAGGGAATTTGTGGTGAAATTCATTGGTTGCACGACAGAGAGATTGGATATATTGGCTCAGGGAAGTCGAGTGACCATTGTGCAGCATGCAGGGCCCGTGCAGCCGCGAAGAATGAGGCTATGTTGCCGATGATGTCTTGCCTTGATGTTACGGACTGACTTACCGATGGATGGGAATGACCAAAGAGTGCTCGAGCTCGACCTCCCTACCTCTCGGGACGGAGTTTCAACCTTTCCAGGCTGTGAACAGGACGGCGGGAGGCTGCGGCGCAGAAAGGAAGAGGAATAGCAAGCGGCAATCCRGCGGATATCTTTTTGCGGGGATTATTTCTTTCTTTCTTGCTGCGGGCCAGGTTGGTGTAACGTGGAAGATTGTCATGGGAGGGCCGCATGCCGCTAGCCTTATTGTTCGCTTGATCGAGGGCGATGATGCAAGGGTCAAGCTGTTGGAGGACGGGAGGTGATGATGAAAAGAGAAAATAACTGACACGAATCACGGTGGCGGGAACAACCGGAAGACCGACTGGAGGTAGACATCACCCATCGCACCTGCCTCTACCACCCCATCCCGTATCATGATCACCGTCACCATCACCACCATCGCTACCCTACACCCTGCAACATCCATCCCTCATGTGCTACAACGCAGCTTCAAGGTTGTCAAACCTGCACACTGCGCATTTCCACGTTCCACCGAGCYAGTCACCGGTGATAGCCCGCAACCACCATGAAAGCCGCCGTCAGTGTCCTCGGCGTACAGACTCCCACCTCCCGCTTCGGCAAGGAGACGGATGGCCATCAATACCCCCAAATCGCCACCTGGAGATGTAACCTCACCGGCCTCTCCCAACGAACCAATCTCTTCTTCATAGCCCACACGGAAGCAATCTACGTCTACAAACCCATTTTCCCCTCCCAAGCACTCCCTCCAACTCCCATTCTAACCATCGAAACACCACCCTCCCGTCCCGGCTTAGAAGGAACCCTCGATCCCGGAAGTCCTCGAGCAATCAACTATCTTGTCCTACAAGATTTAGGTTTGGAGGAAATCCTCGCCGTGGCCCGCGATGACGGGGACGTGGAAGTCTATCTCGTCGCACATGTCGTCCGTGCGGTGGAGAGACGAACTGCTGGGGAGGAGTTTCCCGCGGAGCTGAGGCCGTTTTTCCAGCGTAACGTGGGACTCTCGGCTTGGGGACTGGCTGTTCATTCCCAGGCGAGAGTTCTCGCTGCAAGTTCCAATACGCATAACGTGACGATTTTCAAATTCGGTCTCGTGGATGAAGATGGCGATGACGATGAGACCAGACGGCAAGATGCCACGCACGGCATTGTCAATGGTACGACGAATATCCCATCCATCGCATTCTGCAATACTGGAGATGACCCGGATTGTCGCTGGTTAATGACGACAGATATCGTCGGAGAGACCCGGGCAATTGATCTCCATAGCATGCAAGTCGTTCAGAAATTCTCGTTTCTAGATGATATGCAACAGCTCCGCCACGATCCCAACAATGCAGGCTGGGGACTCATCTTCCTTGACAAACGCTCCTTCATCCCGGCCAAAGATATGCAATCTGCTCTGGGACCCATGCATGGGAAAGTCAACTATAACGACAAGAAATTGTGGAATACCGGTCCCAGCACAACTCATGATTGGGAGTTTTCCGAAGAGACCGCTGGTGATTCAACTGAAGAAGGTCCGTATGAGATGGATACCGACTCGGCCGAAGAAGAAGACGAAGAAGATGTGATACTATCCTACAAACCATCAACCAGATTCCTCTTCCGCAATTATCCCTCGCGACAAAATCCCTCCTTACCCTTCACAGGCGGGGCGCTCGATTGTCCCATTCTGCACACCTCCGTACAAAACGCCTACCTCCTTCAACCCAGCAACTCCGACCCGGTAATCTCCTGCTCGGAACTCCTACACCAAATACTCCCCAGCAACCTCTACTGGCTCCATAGATTCGCCCGCTTAAATCTCCACGCATACATTCCTTCCATTGGAGTCGTAGTCGTAGCTTCACAAATGGGACGAGCAGCTATCCTCTCCCTCACGAAACTTTCAGGCGAGGAAGTATATACGATGCGTGTCGATGCTATTGTACCGTTCAAGGAGCAGGAGGAACGAGGGGAGAGACCTTGTATGCCGCTTGCGGGAATCGCGGTCGGGTGTATTCAGGGGACGGAGAAGTTGGAATTGGGGCGGAGGAGGTGGAGGTTGATGATGACGTATTGTGATCACACGGTGTTGAGTTTTGAGATTCGTAGAAGGGGTAGGACGGGTGGAGAGGAAGGGGAGGTTGGAGTGCAGGACATTGTGGTGTGATGCCTACTTCATCCATGTTCGAGAAAGACGAGCAAGTAGAAGATGATGATGACTTTGATGATGGGTACTGTTGAAATTCAAGTCTTCGATCAAGATCACACCGGCTCTTCTTATCATAAAGCTTTGGTGGCGAGGAAAACACCGCTTCTATGCTATACAATACATCATCTACATATGCCATAGATTGTTCCATTTCCACCTCTCCATAACCCATGTAAGATAATTTACAGCTCATCGTGTCCCCTTTCCTCCCCACTTCCACTCCCACCCAGCGTCTCCTCCATCCCCATGATCTTCACCACCAAACTCGTCCAGCCCGTAAAATGCTGCGTCCTCTGCCCCTTGCCCGTCTCAGGATCATACTGCTCCCACGCAAACCCCGTGTCCTTCCAACTCGCATACACAGTCTCCACCAAATTCCTCCTCAGATCCGCGTACATCTTGCCCGCCCGCTGCTGTTCCTTGCCCGCGACACTCGCAATCTTCTGTAGTTCCCGCAAAATGAGGAAATTCATATTCATCCACACCGGGCTCCGCCAATAGTTCTCCTCGGTGCCRTAGAGTTCGTCTTGTTTGGAGAGGGAGCGGATACCATGCGGGGACCAAAGTTCATCTTCGTTTCCGATCAAGTCCAGCACAGCAGGGAGATGTGGATGAGAGGCGGGGAGGAGACCGGTCATGAAGGGGAAGAGAGAAATGTAGCCTTTGTGACAGACGTGCACGCTCTCTTCGAATTGATCGATGGTGGAGTCGCAGTAGGCCGAGTCTGTCGATGACCAGTGAAGGTCGTCGATATTGGCGAGGATGGCCTAAAAAAGAAGAAGGATGTTCGTCAGTGATGCTCTTTTGATCGATCATGCAGAGTGGGAAACCTCACCCCCTCAACTTTGGAAAACTTCTTCGCATCCTCAGCCTCGCCCACGACTTGCGCGATGCGCTTCAAGTTCCTACTCATCAAACCCATCCAACTCAACAAATCCACATGCAATTCGCCTGGATGGGGAGGTTGCGCGCGGGGATAATCATCCAGCCCGGAAGTGAGAATGTGCCTGGGAGTTCTTCCTCTCCATCGATACCCTTCCTTTGTACTCCTGGCTTCTCTTTCATAGGATTTGATATCGCCCCATTGAGTGCGTTTGTACCACTCAAAGTTTCTCTTCAAGAGCGGATAGAGTCCTTGCAACCATTTCTCCACCTTCTCCGCGTCGTCCAACTTCCCAGAGTCTAGCTTGTCGAGGACGGACTCCAGCACCATGAAGAGCGTGGGTGGGTTGGCATAGTGCGGATACTGGACCTGGAATTCCACCGGCACCTTTCCTGCGGCCTCCTCTCCTAGAATCTGTTCCCTTGGGATCCAACCATCTGAGTCCATGGTATTGAACCACGAACTCAAAATCTGCATGACCAGCTCTGCATCCCAGTCCAGGATTGGCAAGAGATGGAATCCTTCGTCCCAGAGGAATCCACGAGGAAAGAAAGGTCTTGAAGGAATGGAAGTGAAGAGTTCGTAGGGACCTTCCATCTTTTGAGCATTGCGATTCCGAGCCTCTTCCGCTTCTTGCCAGAAACCTTCATTTTCCTCGTCATATTCAGGAGCGTAKGAGCGGTCGATCAGTTGGTTGCCGTGGAAGTAGCCGATGCCACCGATGAGGTTGGAGAACATGCTTTTGCTGAACTTGAGGTAATCGTCTTTATCTTGAAAGGGTTTCTGGGGAGCGTGGATTTCGAGATACCTCTTGTCAAAGGCCGATGTCGTTGCCTGGAGAGCTTTGGTGAGGTCTTCGGAGGTGGGATGTTTGTCGGAGGATGTTGGAGAATACAGAACATCGAATTGGAAGGGTCCAGAGAAGGTCTTTTGTAGGAGATGCATGTTTCCCGTTGAAGGTTTGTGAGGGATGGTGTAGGTTTGGGAAGGCGGGGGCATATTCTCCTGGGTGTATTCGGCAAGATAGCCATCGACCGTCTCCTTCAACGAATTAAAGAGGATACCCTTTGCTTGGAAGAGGATCTCGTCGGGAAGCTGCAGGGAATGGATCATTGTCCGATCCAAAGGCTTTCCTTCCCCCGAAGGATGTGTATGCAGGGGATGTGAGTTGCCCTTTCCTTCCGTGACCGTCATCCTCCACTTGCCCAGATCCCTCCCCTCTCCCTCCAGGACGACATCGCCGTTGCCATCGTTGCCTGCCACCACTTCCACCACATTCCCCAGTCCCTCGGCCGAGACAGTCCACCAAACGGCCGTTTTCAATTTCCCATCACCACCCTGCAACATCTTCGCATCATCCCTCACGCTCCCTTGAATCCTCGCACCCCATGCACCAWCCTCCAACTTCACAAAGCTCGTCTCCAAATCAATGCCATTTTCCCGATCATGCACCACCTGTACCCCTCCCGTTCGCGGATCATACCGTTCCCATCCATATCCATCCATTCCCGCATTCTGCTCACATGTGAAGCGGCATTGATTCTGCACCGAAGTGTAATCCTCGACGCGTGACCAGAGGAGGGAGGTCAAGATGGATTGGGGGAGACGAGGACGGAGACCAAAGTAGAGATTGGGACGGTAGGGGCCCCAGAGGAGGGAGTCGTTGGAGGATTGGGTGAAGACGGAGGACGCATCTTGCGCAAAGGTTGCCGAGGCCAGCAAGATGCTGCTCCAGGCCCACGGAATCTTCACCATCTTGAGGGATGGGATGGTGATGATGATGTGAGCGGCACGGGCATTGGAACTCCAGGCCACGTTGGGAAATTCTACCTAAACTTTTACCCGGACCCTTTCAATCCATCCAGCAAGCTTCCCATCCCGTCTCAATGAGGAGGTACATAGCTCCGGACCTCCGTCCTCCTCCTCCTCCTCCTCCTCCTCCTCCTCTAACTACAGTCTTCATCAATAGCAAGTCTTATCTCACAATCAAAGGAATCTCTTCGAATGTCTACACGAGACCCGATAATCGGACTCTCGGAGAACAGTGGACAGCGACGTAGCATCCCAAGCTCCCAGGATGCCATCCCTGGCCATTGCTAGAGCGAGGTATCATCAACACCGATACACCTTCATCCTCATTTCTAGCTTCATCATCCTCTCCTGCTTAACATCCAGTTTATCCGCGCGGGGTATGTTGCATCGTCGGACTTGAGAGATGAAAAGCAACTAGTCGACACGACCGACGATCATCACCCCGGCACCTCCCCCGCCCTTATCAACACGATGTCACCGTTGCTTGTTGACCGGGCATGTTACAATGCGGAAGATATCTACAGCCGAGAACAATTCCTGTATGGGCGTACGAAGGGCTGGCCGAATAGGTCAACGTATATAAACAGACAGGTCAACACGCTTCATACCTGCAATCCTTCGGTCTTCATTCGCGCACAATCTCTCTCAAGATGCTATTCCTCTTCCTCTCCTATCTCTTTCTCCCCTTCTCCCTCGCATATCCATCATTATCGACACCATCATCCTCGGAAGACCCCATCAAAGCCCTGTTCCTCTTCAAAGACGTCCTCTCCTCCAACACCACCGCAATCACAACCACCGGTTTCAACACCCTCCTAATCTTCAACGTCGAAGTCACAAACACCTCCGACCTCGTCTATCCACGCCGCACAGGTGTCGGAGACGACATATCCACCCCTCTCGTCTCCAACGGAACCTACATTTCCAACACCAACACCACCCTCCTAGCCTCCCAAATCCGCTCCCTCAAATCCCTCCCCAACTCCCAAATCTCCCGCGTAGAAGTCACCCTCGTATCTGGCTACCCGACCTTTGAAAATATCCGCGACGCCATCAACCGCGATGGAATCTCCCCAGACACCACCCTCTATCGAAATTTCGCGGCGTTGAAAGAAGCCTGGGGTATAGACGCCATCAACAACGACGATGAAGGCGTCTACGATATCCCCTCCACCATCCTCTTTTCCCACATGCTTGGAAATATGGGATATCAACTCTCCGGAGCACCCTACACCAACATCACGTTTTGGAAAAACGTCACCCAGACTGTGAATTCCCAGACGCCGGGATTGTGGGATCGCATGTATTTGCAATGCTATGATGGTGGAAGCGGGAATGATCCTACTGAGTGGGAGGAAGGAGTGGGGATGAAAACTGTGCCGTTGTTGTGGGTTACTAATGATGCGAAACCCGCCGAGGGCAAGACTCCTATGGAAGCTGAGGTGGTGTTTGAGGGCTATGAGAGGGATGCTGTCGTCGGGGGAGGGTATTGGAATGATTATGATATTGAGAAATTGGGAGGGAGTTATGAAGAGTACGAGGGAGTTCTAGAAAAGGTTTTTGGGTGATTTTTTGAAGCGAGTGAGAGAAACTTGGAAGAAGTGTGCTATGTACATTCATCTGTGTATATTCATGTGTATGCAAGGCTATCAACACAATATGCTTCTTGCCCCTCGCTGCTGTTCATTGCACAGACGACGGCAGCATTCTCTTTGTCAGGCTTGGCCACGGCATTGATGTCGAAGCACAATCTTGACACCTTGTCAGATTCGGTGTCGATGATGCGGTTCCAAGCGACCTGTTCGGAGGAGCTGATCACGGTGATGGCGACTCCTCCGAACTCAGATTTGAGGCATCGGCTGGAAAGGAGATGACTCGTCGCACAGGCGAGAGTCTATCCGGGGATTCTGGAACGGCTCGCACAGCACGTCGTGAGAACTGCGAGTCGGCCACATGGCAGATCGAAGAACAGTAGAAAACGTTCTTGCAGCGGTCACAGCGGAGCCTGCAGGGCTCGGTGCACGTAGGGCAGCGCATGTCGTCTTGAGTCGTCGGATTGACGGCGTGGGTGCATGTGTGATCCGATCGTCAGGTCGACGCTGTGACAAGACAGTATGATGGTAGCCGAGATGCATCTCATCATCCAAACCCTGCGTTATCATACTGATAGATGGGCTCGATGGTAGCTGTGCGTATCTCGCTTTTGCAGCGATCATACCTTTGGACGCATCGTTTGCTTTTCTTTGTCGTGGAATGGCGAGTGAAGTCTTCCAAACGAGTGCGTCACGTTGTATGATAACGAATGCTGGGCGTGGGGATGGCGATGCTTTGTACGTTTGTCGTAGAAGAACGACCGAAAGGGAGCCACGGCTTTCAAGGACCGTGTTGTCTTCTTGGATCAAGTTCTTGGCGGAAAAATATATGCAGGGAACGATGCGGACATGGCGAGCTCGTGTTAGCCTCCATCTGCGCAAAGGTTGTCGTGGCACGCTCTCCTTGATCTGTTGGTGATCCTGGCTGGATCGAATGGACTTGATGTGATCTCTGCTGATCCGAGCCGTCTCACTGCGCTCCTTGCGCTAGCCCAGGAATCGTCAACTATATCCGACACATGGCAGCGTCTCAGGTCGCAAGGCGTGACGTCAAGTCGACAACCGGGAGAGACACCGATCCTCGTCTAATATGACTTGCTCGAGATGCACCTGCAGTATATGGCAGAGGTCGTTTTGACTTTGGATCCGACCTGACCAGAGAAACACAGCGGCGACCTGGTACCGTGCTCCAGACGAAAGGCTTGTTCAAGCTGACTACGCCCGGTACGCAAGATCTCTCTCATTGAAGGTCTTCCAGTGTCGAGGTCTAGCCGAGATCAATCGCAGCCAACCTTGTGCCCCAAATTTAGTCGTATGGGCTTGGGAGAGGGCGGCGGGAGGCAGACTTACTAATCCCGTTCCGCCATGACGGCAGCAACAATAAGCGGAACCTTGGAAGCCGGCGAGATCGGGGCAATGTGGGGGCGCTTTTGTAATGATCTCACCTACATGCAAAATGAATCTCATGGTCAACGTCGCCGCCATTCAATGCATTGCCGGCCGGCACATGGCTTCTCTTTTGCAAGTTAACAAACATGCCTGATTGCCCTCTGCCCATTGTTGCATATATCTTCCATCTGCTTACCCATCGAAGACTTCTAATCAAGAGCGTCGTCGGTGTTCCCCAAACTTATTCCAAGCTCATATCTTGCATGCAGAAGCCGATCGCTCGACTGATGGGCTGCTTTGGGGACTACACTGCGACTGGACGCCATGAGACCGAAGAACGCTCGTACCAGAAGAATACGAGCACACCTGTGCAACAACCAAGACTCCCATGGATTCACATCTCGAAGTCTGGTCCGGATGGCAACGGCAGAATGACCAGAGCAGAGCAATATATTGTGCAGATAAGCACTCGCACCCGCAAATCTGATGGCATCCAGAAACAAAGCTTACCTTAGGCCACACAAGACGAGAGCGAAAACGCAGGTACCCATGCGCCGCCCAATTTAGACAGGGGTGTCCCGCTCTTCCAGGCCTGAGAAAGATGCTGTCAAAGCCATCGACACACGGGATTCCAACACACGCTTGCTATTTCAAGGTGATGTCGCCTACGCCCAGTTTCTCAAGTTTGAGGGATGATTTTGCGATGCCATTTGAATCTTTCCAGTCCTATCAGCGCCCCTGTTCGATTGTCCTGTCGCGAAGCAAAATGACGGTCGGATTGTACCGTCACAAAGTAGGAGGCATGGTCGGGATCTTTGAATGGCCGAAGATGCTCTGGCAGTGAGTGCTCGTATGTTGCTTTCCAAGGGAATGGTAAAACGACGGGACGAGGTGAAAACGAGGTGAGGTGGAATGAACGGGGCCGACCACGGATCGGGAAGGCCCCCGGGGATCATATCCGATCACGTGGCTGAGGAAAAGCCTTGGCTCAGCCGTGGCTCGGTCCCGAACTTCGTACTTCACGCGGTTGTTAATCCTTCGTCTCAAGCCCTCGTTATTATCAGAGGAGGCGTCGTGCGACCGGTGAGTGAGTGAGTGAGTGAGTAGTAAGTGAGTCTTTATGAGTGCTTTCCATGTCTTTTTACCCCCACATCATCTCGTCATCATCATCTCCCGCGAGATTCGAGAAACCATCAGCTAAGGAGGTAGCAACAAAGTCAACTAATAAACGAAAAGATGGCGACTCGATTAACACTTGCAGTTTACCTACTCTCCCTCTTCAATACTACTTCTCTAGCCCAACAACAACAACCACAAACCATCCTCTCCCTTCCATTCTACGGCTACAACGACGGCCCCGTCGCAGCGAGTGTCATAGCAGCGGATGCCATTGCTACAACTCTCTCTCTAGGATGTCCGCCTCCCTCTACTCCCTCTTCCACCAACGACTATGGTGAGAGTGAGAGTGAGAGTGAGAATGAAAATGAAGAAACTGAATGTACATCCGGACCTCCTTACTTGACTCTAATCCATGGCCCTAGTACCTGGCACATGGATCTCTCGGCTGCAGCGTACGATGATGGGTGGGATATACCTACGATGACGCAGGATTGTAATATACGTGCTACGATTTGTGTGGAGAGTTGGGGCGGTGAAGGGGCTAATGGTCCGGGGTTTCGTACGAAGAGTTATGAGGGGTGGGAGGTTGTGACTTTGGGGGTTAGGATTACGGCGGGGATGGAGAAGCTGGTGAAGGCTACGATGACGGGGAGCGGGAGTGGGAAGGCGAGTTCGAGTTTGACCACTCGTATGGGTGGTTCGGCTACTACGACGACTTCTAAGAGCGCGAGTGCTACGTCTGCTACGAGTGTGAGTACTGGAAGTAGTGGTAGTGATTCGGGAGGTAGTGGGAGGGCAAAGCCGGAGGGATTGGGGGTTGTAGCTGCTTTTGTTGGGTTCATAGGTGTGTTTATTTGAGATCGTAGGTTTGAGGTGGCAAACAGGACGCTGAGGTCATTACGGGAGTGAGGCCAATGGGTGGAAGGTGTAATCCCGTATTACTAATTCGATAGAAGTCGCTACGGAGCTGCGAGCATAGAAGGGTATGAATCGATGAGATTGGAGAACATGAACTTTAGGATGCCAGAGCTGAGAGTCTTCCCGTCTCTCTAATGTGGAACGGAGATTCTCGAAAGGCTRCATACGTATTTGCAGAGAAGATACATGGAAGTAGGTAGGTTTGAATATGCCGACCGAAATGGTAAGGTATTCACTCGCGTTATGTAGGGGGGGAAATCAAGAGAATCACGCTTCAGGTCTCTGGGCAGGAACCCTCTCTATTCGAACTGCCGATCGATCTTGACATCAGCAGTCGTACAAATCAACTAAAGCAGGTAGGTACATGTACATGCAGCTAGTGGACCTCAACTTCACCTCACCTCTCAATWCCACCCTCCATTCTCCCCACCTATCAACCCTATTTCAAAGAATGGCATCTCCACCATCAACGCCTCCCATTGCCTCCTCCACCACCGGCAGTAAAAACAAACCTTCCCTCTCTCAAGAACACCTCACAGCAACAGAAACAGCTCTCGATACCCTCACGACTTCCGTTACTTCCAATCATTCCACAGACCCAAAGGAGCAACTCCATGCTCCCGCGAATAAGGACACTTCACACGCCTGGCTCCGCTCTCTCTTTCCCTATAACTCATTGCAAGAATTCGAAACGGCCTGGCATTTGGGGAATTATGTCCTGCATCGCAAGAGTGGGGAGAAGGAATTCGAGGAGATGAGCATTTATGTTCGGGTAAGCCATGTCGTCATCATGTCCCTTCGTTCTGTTCCCAGACGATTGGCACAAAGATGTGGATCCTGGTTTGTTTAGCTGATGAGGGATTGTGACAGTTGGGAATGCATCTCCTCTACTACGGAACCGAGCAGGAAAAAGCCCTGCATTGGAAACGCACACAGGCCATGCTGAAGGAACAAAGTGTGAAGATGGGCAAGATGTATGATGAGCCCGAGAGTAAAGAGCATATTGAACCGTTTATTGAGAGTTTTGGATTGCAGGATTCTTTGTCGGACCTGAAGGTACGATCGATCGAAACATTCTTCCTCCATCATCCTACCACCTTTCCACGGTCTCTCAATAACTAACGTTACGATGGTAAGGAACCCGACCCAACCAAATACCCAACTTTCAACGCCTTCTTCGCCCGCGAAATCAAACCTTCCGCACGACCCATCACATCCCCCGCCATCCCTCATGTGGTATCCAGCCCGGCAGACTGCCGCCTTACAGTCTTCCCGACAATCACCCTCGCCACGAAATTCTGGATCAAAGGCTTCGGATTCTCCCTCCCGTCTCTCTTAAAATCTCCATCGCTGGCCCAGGAATTCTCCGCAGGATCCATCAACATCGCGCGTTTGGCTCCGCAAGACTATCATCGTTGGCACTCTCCTATCGATGGGATTGTGGAGAGCATCACGGAAATCGATGGTACTTATTACACGGTGAATCCACAAGCTGTGTGTGAGGAAGGGACATTGGATGTTTTTTGTGAGAATCGCAGGAGTGTGATGGTCTTGAAGAGGAAGGGGAGTGGGAGGAGGGTTGCGATTGTTGCTGTGGGCGCGATGTTGGTCGGGAGTGTGAGGTATGTTTATGGGGTGAATGTTGTTGGGAAGGAGGTTCGGAGAGGGGAGTGTTTGGGTTGGTTCCAGTATGGTGAGTACAATGTGTCTGATGGAGTTGGTTTGAGAGACTGCTGACTGTCCTTTGTAATTGTAGGAGGCAGCACGGTCATTGTGCTATATCCTGAGGGAGAGGTGGTGCTTGATGATGATTTGGTGAAGAATTCGACGGAGAAGGTTTGTGAAACGCTGGTGAGAGTTGGGGAAAGGGTCGGAGAGGGTCCGTTGAAGTAGACTGGAATTCGTATTTCGCATTGATTGATTGATTGGTGGACATATCATCTGTCATCCCTCTTCCGTCTGTCCTGATAGGGAGATCTTGATCTTGAGCGGCGTTTGTGATCCCTCGCCCTGTCTCTGTCTCTGTCCCGACTTCGAGGTCGTTCATCGTGATGTTTTCGAGATTTGTGCCCATCTTGCCCTCCGTCTCGGCTGCGCGATCTCTGTCTCGTGTCCCGCTCTCTCGAACGTGAACGATGTCGATGTCTCCTCTCTCGATGTCTCTCGCCAGATCTCGAACGATGTCTCCTCCTCTCCTCATCACGATGATGATGATGATCATGCCTTTTCCGCTCCACCCTATCCCCCTTATCCCCCTCTCCTCCATGCCGCCTTGCCTCCCGACTCCGACTCCGATGTCTTCTCCTCGACTTCTCCTTCTCCTTCTCCTCACCCCCCAAAGACCTCTTCCCCTCCCCATCATCATCCTCCAAAACCTCCTTCAACACAGCCCCAACCTGCTTACTAAGTCCCAACGGCACCTCATTCGCATTCCTCTCCAAAGCCGGCAACCCCATCGCCTTCCTCATCTCATCCTCCTCTCGTTCCTTCACCTTCCTGATTTCCTCCCTCTTCCTCTCCCTCTCCTTCTCTTCTCTCTCCGTGACGGAGAGATCTGCGTCCTCGGCGCGCGCATACCAGTTCAAATCTTTGTTCTTCTGCCATCGACCCACGGGCGCTTTGAGGGAATGCCCGAGGTAGGATTCGCGGTTCGTGGCGTTGCGGACGTCGTCCCAGGAGAAGGAGACACCGCCGCGGGAACCTTCTTTGCGGACGGATTGGAGGAGGTCCATTTGTGATCAAATGTTGGGGTGGTGGTGGTCGTGGTGAAGCGGGTTCAGGAAACTAAGGTGAGGTAGGCAAGATGGATTTTAGGGTTAGGGTTTTCTAATGTACCTTAGCTCCGGATGAACGATCAACCCTTGCGTCGAATAATAACCCCATATGCCGCTGCTTTCCGCCTCTTTTATCGAATACAAGACAATGTTGTACTGTGACAGTTCTCATACAACAGTATCATTATTAAAAAACCTACTCAACCCCGCCCTCTCTAATCTAGTCCTCACACGGTAGACATACAATGTATCCTCTCCCGAAGAAAGAAGGAGAACGCCTCGCTAACATCATGCATCCCTCTTCGCTACCAACTCCCAATTTATCCCCCAAAAACGAGAGTCATTTATCGCATCGCATAGCATCATTCGCACATTCTTTCCCGTCAATGGTATTTCCACTCGTAACAATCCCTGCTCCAATCATCCCAAGACGCATCCCAGAAAACTTACCCTCCTTTCATCCACCCCATCAAGTCATGTCATCCACATCCCTCTTCAACTCGAACCCCGGCACAAGATGGAACCACTGATCATTACGATCCCACCGATAAGCCTGAAAGTCCACTCCATACGGCTTGGGCTCCAAACAATACAACATCCCCAACGGAACATCCAAATCCGCCACCTCTTCCCTTCCCAACCCCCGGAAGTAAGCCAACAGCACCCTCGCCACACTACGGTGACCGACGAGCAGCACATGATCCGTCATGCGCTCCAACTCCACAATCACGGGTCTCAAGCGATTGATGATGTCGAGATATCCCTCCCCTCCGGGTCCGGGGTAGCGATAGTGGAGTTTGTCGGCTTTACGGCTGCGGAATTCATCCGGGTATTGGGTGGAGATGCAGGAATATGTAAGGCCTTCCATGACTCCTGCGTTGAGTTCATCCAGCATGCGCATTTGCTTGCTGTCGTAGTCGTCGTCGTCAAAGTATTGTGCCGTTTGAATGCTTCGCTTGAGCATGCTTGTCCACACGCAAAAGGATTTCGATTCGTAGCCTAGTTGCTCTCCTTCCGCGAACAGATCGGCATCGTGGGATGCAACAGAGCCCGGTGATTGAGGAGTGTAGTGGGGGTTGGGTGGCGTTGCGTCGCCTGGTTGGGGTGGGAAATGGGTCTTGCGGAGATTCTCGATCTGCTTGAGATCCCATTCTCTCCTCTTCTCATTCATGAAGCGGGTTAGAGATTGTGCGTATTGAAGTCCTTCCGGTGCTAGGTCGCTGTCGCCGCCGATCTTGCCCGAGACGTTATCCAAGCTCAGGCCATGCCTAGTGATCCATATTTGACGCGGCGCTAGATTGAAGTTGAGGAGATAATAGTTTGCCTGTGCCATGAGAAACCCTTTGATCTGATGGCTGATGACCTTTCGGCCGACATCGATCATCTGGATATATGGCATGTTGTGCTTTTCTTCATATTCTCCCAAAGGCACGTATGCTTTCTCGTACTCATGAACTCGCTTCTTGAAATCTTCCAACGCAATCGCTGGGTCCATATCTCGATAGTCGGGTCCGTTCAATTTCAAGCGCATGTTGGCTTCGAGAAGATCGTTGTCAAGACAGCATGACTCCAAGAAGAGCACATTCAATTGCGGTCCCGCACGAGCTCGAATACGATCCATAATCATCTTGCGACGTTCTGCGGTGCTGTTTGTGGCATCGAGAATGCCAACAGATCCCTGTCCTTCAAGAATGTAGTCGAGAAGCTCGTCGAGCGTTTCCTGTGCGACTTGCTCACGGATCTGAGATGCCTTCTTATTTTGTGGGTCGAAAAAGCTGGCATCCTGCTGCATGGCCGCCTCGTCGTCCTCTGGCTCTGCAACAATCTCAGGAGCGTCGTGTGACAACACTCTAGTTGCCAAACTCGGCGTCCGTTCAAGATCGTTGGCGCTTTCAACAGTAGAATTATGGCGGGATACCACAGGCGTGGCAGGTGCGGAAAGCTTTGWCTCACCATTAAGCATGATTTGAGCGACGGATTGCGGCTGGCCAGCCTTCGTGGGAGCCACATCCTGCTGGGAGGATTGATCCGCATTTGGAGGTGGCATATGCGAGGTCCGGCGTCCTGTATTACTGCGAGTCTTCTCTAGAGAGTTTGGACCTCCAGCTACTGTCCGCCGCCTTGCTCCAACGTTGAAGATCTTGGTATCATGTTGCAACCAATTGAGATATCTGGCCAACTTCTTGGTGATGTAACTCTTTCCTCTGGCGGGAAGTCCAACCATGACCACCACCAACTTGGCGCCGACATCTCTTTGCGCGATCCTTCCATCTGGAGATACCTTGCTCTTCGTCAGCCCTGGAACATCCAACGTCGTGGGTCTTATCCGCGGCGTTGAGGTTCCCGAATTTTGTCGGATCGGCATGGGAAGTTTGATCGTGGGTCCTCCTTGCGCCGAGTCGCTACCAGCGTTACTGCTGGGCGCAGAAATGGGCGCAGAGGTCTTGCCCATGCCCAACATTCGCGGGCTGCTTGGCGCAGTCGTCGCAGGTGTGTCATTCAGTGCCATTGTAGCGCCATGATAATCCGGCATGAGGCCATTCATCGCCGCCGCCATCGATCCACCGCTTCTCGCTTGGGTCGGCTGTCGTTTCTGTTCCGCAGAGTTGGTGTAATGTAGTGGAGTGCTGTTATTGCTGTTGCTGTATTCTGCTTGTCGAGATTGATGGCTGAATGTCTTATCCAAATCCCTCCTCAAATCCACCATTTGCTGAGGATCCTTCTCATCCGGCGTGACATTCCCACTAGAAGAGCTGCTGTTGTTGTTGGCCGCCATGTTGCTCATACTGCTCTTCGCGAGCAGCGACTGCGACGACTGCCGACGACGAAATCGACCCAGATCGGTGAAGTCAGTGGCGTGGCAAGAACACAATCCGGCTTGGTGGACGTTTTGATGGAGGTGGATGTCGGAGTGGGGCGGATAAGAGTGCGAAAAGTTCAACTGCGACTCCGCCATGCTCTGGCAGGAATTGTGTAGGCTTCCGATGACGGAATTGGTAGGGTTGCGCCGACAGGTCGCCGATGGGTGGGGCGTGTGTCAAGAGGCAGGATGAATCTGATGGGGTGTTAGAAGATGGAAAGCCACCACATTTCCTTTCTCTTCCACACTCTGTCTGCGTGCGGTGTGCTGCAGCGTTCTTGTGAGTCTGGTGACTCCGAATGCTTCGACGCGGTACCACGGTCAATTTTTAAATTTCCATCTAGCCTTCCGGATCAGCCATGTGCCCTGCGCCAGTTGGGCGAACTCTACCGGTCTTTGACTTCTGCGGCACCCGGCACGGCGTCCGACGCGATGGGCTTGGGAAAGCAAGATTGAATATGAATGAGGCAAGAACTACCAAGACGAGAACTTGCAAGGCAGGATGACAGAACAATAATAAGACGGACTCTACGCTCGTTTTCCCCATCCTGATCCGGGTTCAACAACAGCCTTCTCAAGCGGACAATTCCATCCTCTCCATCCTCCTCCGCAAAATCCCAAACACTGCGCTGGCGCAACCCGGATCTTCACATGCACGTGCGGAAGTCTATGCATCGCACCTGCGCTTTGGGAGCCAATCTGGAACAAGTCTGCGCCCACGCCGAATCACAACTCACCAACTGTGCACTTCTTGCCCTTGCCATCCTGCTGTGTCTAGACCACGTCCTCCTTCCCACGTCAGCCGATGACCCGATGTATGTCGGCCCCATCTTCATCCTCACAATCCATCTAGCATGAACAAAAATACCCGACATCGGAGTCCGACATCATCGCTGATCATCCTCGTTCCAGTCGTCTTGGCGTCTCCGTTGAATCAGCGTCGAGTCTCGACGTTGAAATATGCCTTGGCATCGTTCGATTCTACCTTGCGTAGGTGGCAACCGTAGAACCAGTGCTTTCAATATCGGTGAATTGTCGATCTCTCAAATCAGGGACGGGAGACTCCGTGTCTCTCAATCAACAGGTGAAGCATGGCATGAAACACGGCCCAAAACCAAGAAATTCGCCGGGGATCGCGGGGAGTACCAAGATCTCTTGATCGTTCTCGCATACGAATGTTCAGGGATACATTCTAAGCCGCTGATGAACATGTTCTTGGCAACAGTATGCATTTGGAGCTCGTCGTTTCACCAAGTTGGACATCGTCACGCTTTCCTGTCGTGTTCATCCTACGACGTGAAGCAAGTTACTGTTCCGCGGATACTGATGCCCCGCGGAATGAGGTCTCCCGTAGGACATCCGCGCAGCATATTATCTCGATCCACGTCGGGAGACCTCTGCGTCAGTCTGACTCAGAGTCACACCTCGCAGCTGGTTATAGATGCTACTATTCACCAAAAGCCAAAAACATTTTACATGCGTCCAAAGCAACAGGARGACCTCACGGCGTGATAATACTGTGCAGGCATAACATTTAACAACGACAGTGCCATTACGAAGACGTTATTTGACCAAATACTCGTCTCTTCCGCAAGGCTGCTTCTTCCTTTGTACTTGCAGCTATAACTTGTCTGCGAGCGTAGTCAGTGATTCACTACAAAGAGAGAATCGGCAAGTTTCAGTGCTTCTTGTTATGTGGAACGTGTTAAACGATGCCGGTTTTCGCAAGCGGTGAGATCTTGATATGCAATGGGGTAGTTCGTGTGGTATTCAGTAGTTTGTGCTCGCCATAATTGAAGCCATTCAGGTCATTCGATCAGCATGTGTATGTATATTATTGTACTATAGAGACCTCCGCAGCAGATGTCAACTTCCAAATTTGCGCGGACATTCCAGCTGATACACTGGTTAGACTGMAGAGGAACGCTATACACCCAATCATTAGTTCATCAGCGTGCGCCTCATGCTCCCAATGTCGTGCAGACCTTCACCACGTCCCGCTCGATTCTCAAAGGAAGGAARTCGAGTTCACCCGTTCAAAACACTCCAAATCCATCGAGCTCCACATGATCGAATTCCACGTCGTTGAATTGGACCCGTCGAGCCATTCCCAGCCGCGAACATGTTCCGAAGCGGGACGTCATCTGGAATTCTCTTATCACCTTTAGTGACCACGAAAATCTCCCAGACAATGCAATCCGCATAGACAAGTCCACCGGAGAAGAAATGCCGGCTGGATTCATCAGAGTTGCGTCGAGGACGCCGATGCTCATCRCAGCCGAAGCTGTGATAGTTGTGGTTATCGGAACAGCACCCGCAGACACGGTTGTTGTGATCGCGACGGCTGTTGGATAGCCGGCAAATGTAGGTTGCGCGTGGACTCCGGCTCCGCAGTTGATGACTGTCGAGTACACCTGTACGCAGGTGATATGTCCTGAGACCAGGGGCGGTGGTTGATATTCGGGCCACTAGCCCCATTGGCGCTTCTCGAGGTCGAGATTTGAGGTGATAACATTAGAAGGTAGGGTATGAGCCTCGGGGGTTCGGACAGCCAAGGGAGTGGTATACACTCTGGAGCATGAGAGTGTGGTGGCCACCAGTGAGGTAACACATGAAGCAGTGAGGGCGGCTTCATGAACCGTCGAGGTGGGCTCAGATGGACATGACGGGCACAGGTCGATGGATAGACTCGCGGCCTCGCCCTCGCCTTTGGTTCGGATGGGAAGAGATTTTCAAGCTCGGCTGATATATTTGCCTTGAGTGTGTATCGTTGACGTTTTGGATGTGGTTGTATGAATATTGCTCAACTAGTTATCGAAAGGTAAGCGTGAGGAGGTGTGATGGTGGATGAAGAAGGGAAGGAGATTGTGTGCCGGAAAAGAGGCTCTTATACGACATGGTGCAGGTCTGAGGCGCACGMTGAGCATGTGCAAGAGCGTGACGAACTTTAGATGATGAAGTGGTACATGTGAAGGAGAGGAATGTCTTGTTTGTTCTACTTCTCGCGGCAGGATAAAGCACATGCATCGGCTCATTCATGTGACCAGTGTCCGAGTAATGAGGTCTTCGACAAGACTTTCTCCAGGAATGAAGTGAACGCTCATCAACGACCTTGCGGTGGCTATCATGGACTTCCAGGTTTTGGCTCGTCATTCAATATGCTTGATTGGCAACAAATTACCTGCTCACAATATTCGAGCAGCAGTGAAGTAGTTCCGCCTCAGACTAGCGTGTATCCCAAGGTAGGTCGCTCATGGCGAACGAGTCTCATTGTCAATCCATGGCTTTGAAATCCCAGGAGGCCTTCCCACGCAGCCAGCAGGTCGGAGGAGAGGCGGTCGAAACACATTGTCAGGCAGTCTCGCGGAGTTAAAGGCAAAACACATGTTKCTGGAAAAAGTATGTAGTCATGAACTTGCATGTTGAGACTAGGAGGGCGTGAGGGACAGCGCGTGAGTGATGTTCAAACTAGCGCGATTCTTCCCGTTCTTCCCGCGTTCCATCGAATGGAAGTCATCATCGACTGCAACAATTCGCACTGACATCAACATCAACACCACCCACCACTCACATACAATCATGTCTCGCGCACGCCAAATACTCAAGATCAGGGCAGGAGGCCCGAACCTCGAGGTCGCCAAGTTCGGAATGTACATCATGTTTCCCATTGGATTCATGTACTACTTCGGCATCAACCTCGATTCGCGCTTTGCTGTTCCAGACTTCTGGCCGAAGAAGGAACAAACACATCAGATTCCTTTCGAGAGGGAAGACATTGCAGCGGAGTTAGAGGTCCTCAAAGCGAAACGATTGGCGGCGAGAGCGAGGAGATTGGCGATTGAAGCCCAGGGCGGAAGCACGGAGGTCACGACACATCAGGATGCTGAGAGGGAGAATCCTAGGCCGGAGATCTTGCAGGCGACCAAGGTTGTGAGTGCTGAGGACGGTGCAAGAAAGAAGGGATGGTTGTGGTGAAGTAGAGATACTGCAAGCATAAGCTGGCAATGATGGATGAACCTGCTGAGGGATTATCTTATGGAGGCCATCAATCCATGTTACGGACGGTCGCATGACTCCAGTCAATTGCTACTCCTCGCGGGATTATCGTCCGACACGCTTCGAGATGGAACTCGTCGGATATCGAACAAGCCTCTCTCTCTCTCTGCGAGCTCAATCGAGCCGGCATCGATCATTGGCATCGCCGTGACCCAAACTGGCGAAGTCTTTCTAGACATTACGGTCTCAATCTTGGAGGACAATGGTATCGCTATTCACCCGCTAATATCTTCTCCGGAGGGGCCCAGCGACGGGGCAGACCTGGCGACATAGACACCTGCTGCAGGGGGACCAACAGCCCCGAAGGTCCCACGTGCTGTGAAACACCTGCTGTGCAGCAGACTGTAAAGGTGTGGTCATCTTTAGGTGATCTGCGAAAGACTTTCGGCTTGTAGAAGCGCCATCGCCTGTACCTGTACATAATTTGTCCCTCATCAACTTTCAATTTCGGGATATTCTGGGCAGGCGACAAGGTGGTATCAGTACTGTACAATCGATCAAGCCAAGACAAAAGTTCATCTCCGTCTGTTGTCTCATTCTAAACATTCATACAACCGTAGCACAACTTTCTGAGTACAAGAACCTAGATGATTTTCGATTTTTCGATTTCCGCTCTACGAGGTGCTGGTTATTCTCGTTCGCCTGTTACTTGAACATCAGAAAAATCGATGCTGCCCTGCTGTTCAGTGTCGAGACGTCGGGTCTCTCACATGTCAATGCCGAGGCTCAAACAAAGCGACCCGCCGCAGCGGGACTGATGACATGTTTTCGGCAATCGCACTCGTACCTGGATTGCAACGATCTCGCAAACGATAACGACGATACGAGAACATTGCCATATAAACAACATCCCCTTTGAAAGAAGACAGGCGACGACTAAGGGATAATCATCGAGCAGGAGAGCTCCTTTTTGCATCCCTCCCAACCCACAACACAACACAACACAGACCCCTGAATGTCCGCAACAACTCGACTACCAGCAGTTGCTGGAGCGCTGGCAACCGCAGGCCTGATCGTATATGTCGCAAGATACCTTGGAGCAGGTCTCAACATGTTGAAAATTCTAGCAGCAGCATTCGCGCTGGTGAATCTCAAACATCTGCCAGGAATGTGGCATGTACGTAGCCTACACAATCCTCGCCCAAGACATCCTCAAAACACATTCACTCACAAATTTCTTCACAGTTCCGAGTCCTACGAGGAGCATTCTTCCAAATCTATCGACAACCTAAACAAATACCTCCCAAACACCTCTTCGCACCTCTTGTAACAGAATCGTACAACACCCCCTACGACTGCGACTACAACATTCACAAATCCAACTCCACCTACTTCGCCGACCTCGACGTCTCCCGCGCCCACCACGTAAGCGCCATCATCCGTACCGGCCTTGCTAGACTAAACGCAGGCGATCAAGACGGCCTTCCAGATTCCACGAAGCAAGCAAAGGGAAGCTATGTAGTAGCTCTGGGTGCCGTAAACTGTTACTTCCAACGTCAAATCGAACCTCTTCAAAGATTCGAAATTTTCACACGAGTGCAGAGTTGGGACCGGAAATGGTTGTATGTTGTGTCGCATATTGTCAAAAAGGGAGCGATCAAACCGGATTCATATGTTTTGCAACCCTGGAAGAATAAGAAGGGAGGTGCTGCGGTGGCGAAGAAGAGAGAGGAGGAGGATCTCACAAAGTATATCTTTGCGACTAGTTTGTCGAGATACGTTTTTAAGAAGGGGAGGCTCACAATCAACCCGGAGATTATTCTGGAGAGGTCGAGATTATTGCCCCCGAGACCCGAGGGTGTTGGATATCCGCCACGGACAGAGGCGTCAGGTACTGGGACTCCAGGCACCCCAGCAACTCCAGCCCGGGGTGGTGAGGCGGAGAATATGAGTAATGAGTTGAGATCTAGACTGGCTGGGGTGAGCAAGGGTGCTGGAGGTGACGATGATTGGACGTGGGATGACATGGAGAAGGAGCGTTTAAGAGGATTGGAATTGGCGAATCACTTTGAAGCTCTCAGTGGTGTACATGGCGAACTTCGAGGCGGCGATGTCTTGGGCAAATTCGGGGATTATTGGTGAGAATTGTACAGAAACGACACCAGCAGATGAACGGAAGATACCCGGCACAGCCAGAGCAAACATGTAGATATGAAGTCAGAATCACACCAGTCAGGCTTTTTATACAGTGGTATCTCAAAGATCAAGCAGGCCGGATGAAGAGACATCCTCCATCGGCAAGCATATATGACACCCTAAATGCCCACCAACGCCGTCGCAATGTCCCCATATCCCATTTCATCCATGAATCATTCAGACCTTGGGTATCCTTTTCACGACGTCAACGAGGTATCCTTCCCACTGAAATCTCGCAGAAGTGCAACAAACTCATCCATGCGCTGTACCTGCACAAGTAACTTTTCCTCCACCTCGCGCCACTGCATGAGTGTCTCTCGCTCCATCTGACTGAGCGCTTCCTGATTCGGTCCAATCATCTTCGCCTTTTCAATGGCACCCTTGTAGTTTTCACGCTCCACTCGCAGGCGGGCTAGACAGCGCGCCATGGCTTGATATGTCTGCTGAAGCAACATGCTGGACACGCGGGTTGGATTGTATGCCCACAGGAAAATCGTGCGGCTGGGCACACGACCGGCATCTTTGGGAAGTTCTTGCGCTTCAACAATGCCAGCGAATTGGAGCTCGGTGAGAATGGTGCGCACGTCTTTGACACGCATCATGGAAAATCCGGCAACTTGCTTTTCTTCCAGCCGACCTCTCTCTCGTAGTAGACGGACGATTCTTATATGCGTTTTGCTGAAGCGGGCCAGTATGACCGTGTCAATGTCGGCTTGGATGAGGGTGTCGGTCAGCGCCGGGAAGTTGACTCTCCATTCGCCGCCTCCAGCATTGCCAATTTTTCTGCAGAAACCGATGTGGTGTTCCTGTAAGAGCTTCAGATGCTCATCAATCAGATGTAGACGCTTCTGGCGCTGCTGATAGCCACCAACTTGGTCCTCGTCTTCCGATTCAGAGACGACTTCCTGCTTGATGCCAATGTCTGCAAATTCATTATTGACCGGTTTTCGTTTCTTCTTTGGCTTATCTCCCGCATTTGACAATTTGTACATGTCGGCGGCTCCTTGGATCGATTGTGTCAGATCGAGACTCTGGTCAAGAATCTCTCCCACTTCTGCGGTAGTGGCAGTGGGTAAGTCAAGCTCTTCATCTTCGTCCTCGACGTCAAATTCTTTGGCATCTCTGTCGTTGGCCTTGACTCTGCCCTCGAGAACTCGAAGGAGAGCGCCGTATACGTGCGCAGTGATGGGACCAAGGTACGACTCTGCCATCTGTTCGAGACGATGACTGCGGAGCGCTAGAGTACACTGAGCAAAGTTGACGGCCACGATCATTTCATTCTAAACACTGTCAGCGACGGGAACCCGCGTTGGGATACCACAACACGATACCGGAAGCTTTGCAGCGGATTCGCCAGAGTCGTGTCCGTTGGACTTGCCGCCATTGAGCTTTGCACGTTTCGCAAAGCTACCCGGTACGGAGCCATTCGAGTTGAGATCGCGGAATTCGGAGAACTCTTCGGCGTCTCGCCATTTTCGCTTGAGGTTGTTGACGGCGATTCTGAACTCGGCCTGTTTTTTGGGACCAGTGATCTTTCGATCGGGAAATTGTTCGCTGATGATGACTTCTTCAATCTCGGCTTGCAAGTCTGCAGCTGGTGTGAAGTTCCTCTTCCCGAATTTGCACAAGAAGCCTGCCCGGAGAAGCGCACGAAGAGTGGCGTGGAACTGGCCGAGTGTGGTGATCTTGCCGGCGGTATGCCCTGAACCATTGACCTTAGCATCGCCATTTACATGCCCATTGCACCCCTCCACCCCGCTGTCACGCTTAACCGTATCCTCCAAGTCGAACGTCCGGGCTAGATCTCCAATCCGTGCATGTCCCAACTGAATCAAGTTGCGTACAATCTTGGCTGCTCCAGCCCCATAGCGATCCTCGACCAAAAATCTCAACCGATTCGCTCGCAGTAGGTGGTATGAATTGCGCCAGTCGGCCTGATAGTGGGTGATGCCTGCTTCGCTGGTATGGCAGAGCACGAGATGCTGCTGCAAGAGGACGACCAATGCGCGGCGTAACTGTTTGCCGCGGGTGCGAGTGATTTGTTGGAGCTGTGCTCGCGACAGCCGGCCATTTTCAGCAAGTGCAGCGAATATTTGCTCGGAGGATGTTAGTGCAGCTCAAGACGGCGAATGCGGCTGCACAGAGAGGGCATACTGAGCAGAGTTGTCCGCAGGCGTCTTCTACCAGGATCGTGCAGAGTTCCTGGAGTCGCTGCGTTGGTGGCACATGTCAGTCACAGTCACTGCGGGGAGCCCGGCGACGGGAGAGGAATATCGTCCATACCGCTGCCATTTCGTGGTGAACCTGAACCTCTCACGTTCAGGTGTGTTGTTATCGGATTCGAGGTCGACGCATGGATGCAGTAGCAAGCAAGCGTGTTAGTAGCAGCAGCAGCACGGCGGACAATAAGAAAGAATAGTTAAAGTAAATGCGAAGCCGAGCTGCGGTGAAAGTTCATGCACTGTTGGGTGACTGCGAGATGACTGCAGCCAATCACATCACTCGTGTTCCGGCTGCTCGATCCAAACTTCAATGTGTTCCATCCTCACCTGCGCACCCATTGCCCGACCTCTACTGCAGCTCTACTCCCGCTGAGGGCCTCACCGAATCATGCTCTCGCGCACCGCTGCCCTTCGGCAGACTATCGCCCGCCAGGCGACGCTGCAATCCACCCGCAACTACGCCGCTGCCTCGGGATCCTTTGCATACAAGACCGGCGACGCGAATGGCATCAAGATCGCTAGCAGAGACCAGGCCGGCCCTGTAACGACCGTGGCTTTGGTCGCAAAGGCTGGAACGCGATATGAATTCCTTCCTGGTCTGGCAGAGGGGTTGGACCGCTTCGCGTTCAAGGTGAGGAGCACCGCAAAGCCCATCCAGCGTATCCGCTAATGGATGATGTAGAACACCGAGAGACGTTCAGCTCTACGGATACAACGCGAGTCCGAGCTCCTCGGCGCTGAGCTTTACAACTACCACACCCGCGAGAACCTCGTTGTAGGAGCAAAGTTCCTCCGCGATGACCTGCCTTATTTCCTCGAACTCCTCGCCGAGGTAGCAACCATGACAAAATATGAGAGTGAGTAGATGTGATGAGGATACCAATACATATGCTGAGACAGTTGCAGCCCACGTTCTTCACGAGGAGGTCATGCCATTGATGGAGCTCAACATGAAGAAGCACCTCGGAAACCCACTGTCTTTGGCCACGGACAGCGCTCACGCACTGGCTTTCCACCGCGGCCTAGGAATTCCAGTCACCCCAACCTCGTCTACCCCATTCAAGAAGTACTTGGACGTCGACGCCCTTTCCGAATACGGCGCCTCCGCATACTCCAAGCCCAACTTTGCTGTCGTGGCCAACGGTGTCGAGGACGGTGCGCTCRACAAGTGGGTCGGGGAGTTCTTCACCGACGTCCCAGCACAGGCGGCAGCTGAGATCAAGTCGGAGCAGGCCAAGTACTACGGTGGTGAGGAGCGCATTGCGCACGCTGGTGGCAACGCCATGGTTCTTGGCTTCACCGGCTCAAGCTCTTCTACTGGTTCTTTCTACAAGCCTGAACTTGCTGTTCTCGCATCTCTTCTCGGCGGCGAGTCAAGCATCAAGTGGTCTCCTGGTTTCTCCCTCCTGGCCAAGGCTGCTTCGGAAACGCCTTTGATGCACATCTCCACCAAGTCCCACATATACACAGATGCCGGTCTCCTGACCATTAGCTTGAAGGGTTCCGTCCAGGACCTTCGTGCTTCTGCACCCAAGGTTGTGGAGGCTTTGAAGTCAGCTGCGCAAGGCATCACCGAGGAGGAGTTCAACAAGGCCAAGGCACTCGCCAAGTTCAAGGAACTCGAGTACGGTGCCAGCACTGCGGGTGGCATTGCGCTCACCGGTGCTGGCTTGGTCCGCGATGGCAAGGCATACCAAATTGAAGAGGTTGCATCTGCGATAGATGGCGTTACCGTTGAGAAGGTCAAGCAGGCCGCCAAGGAGGCACTGGAGAACAGAGCCTCTGTCAGCACTGTCGGTGACCTGTATGCGCTACCGTATGCGGAAGAGCTCGGATTGAAAGTTTAGGTGTAAATATTCGCACGATAGAAAGGGTTCCATTGTGTGTTGTCGCAGATAGTACGCTGTACCAATACAAAGCACCCCATGTTCWGCCGTACAATTATGTACTGTGTATTTGCCTACGTATTTGTCTTGAGTGGAAATGCGTTCCTTCCTTGCCATTCAATGCGCGCACGGACCCTCACTCCACCTCTGCCGTGCTTCATACTTCATACTTCACTCCCCACGATCTTCGGGTATTCTGCACAGCCAAAACACTTCAACGTCCGAATCAYCACTACATCAGACATCATGAGCTCCGCGTGGAAAGCTGCTGGCATCACGTACGTCCCTGCGCCCCTCGTCGCGCCATGCAGACTCCGGATTATCGCCGCGGAGGTGTACTAACAAGCGCTTTCCACAGCTACAACCGCTACCTGGCCGTCGCGTCGCGTGTGGTGCGCCGCTCATTGAAGGAAGAGCAGAGAGTCAAGGCCGAGAGGAGAGGAGAGATGGAGTTGCGATTTGCCAAGTGGGAGGTGCGTTCATGATGCGAGAAGAGGGGGGATTTTGATGGGAATTGCGGGACATGGCAAAGGATTATGCTGACTAGATTGACACAGAACGGCAAGCAGAAGGAAATGCAGAATGTTGGAACTAGCGCCGAGACTCCCCAGTAGAGGGCAATGCATGACATTGGGGGAGCGGAGGACATGCGAAGATAGTGAAGGATGATGGGCTGCAGGAAGCAGGAAACCAGAATTGTTTGGGGCGAAAAGCAATGATGGCCCACCAAATATGCTGATCCGCAGTCAAGCTCTGTATCAATGTGCACATACTGAGTGCTGTCCCATCCGCGTGAAGCTCGCCTTTGATCATGGTCATGGTCCGAGGGTCATAGTCATGCACGTGCCAAGACGTTTGTACCCCAGCATCTACCAAGGTAGACTTAGGCTTCAACTTCCCACCCTTGTGTCTACAAATAAAAGTCCGTCAAACGCACCTTTTGAACTCGTGACATCTGCTTGTTCGAAATGCCTGATTTTGGCACAACAGCGAGTGTCAGAATCCCGGCCGTTGCGATCTTGCCGTGAGCAGATCAAGCCCTGATAAGGGCGCCGAGATCAAGATGAGCATCAACAGTGGCGAAGATTTAGCAGCAGCAGCTTCTATTGCAGAAGTCAGACTGCGATTGGAAGCCCAACAGATGAGACAGAAGCCCGCGTCCTCATATACGCGCGGCACGAGAGACATAACAGAATTTTTCATTGCAACATCGAAGCAGCTCAAGTCCGGCGAGCTTATAAAGGATGAGTACTTTACTCTTTTCGAGGCCGTCGGAGCCCTGGAGGTATGTCAATATCCTCGCCCACAGATGTGGCTTATCACATCTCTTTGGATGCGAAGATATGTCGAAGAGGCTCACTTGCGCCTATTGTACAAATATGTACACTGTGGTTGGYCAATCACTATCTTCAGTTGCCAAGTCTCCTCGAAATACAGTACATCTACTGACCCTACTCTTCCAGATCATGGACCCCAAAATGGACAGTGGTTGTATACCCGAGGGGGACTCTTTTGAGCCCGAATTTGATGTATGTGGCGAACTGGATGCTAGCCAGGTACTCTGGATCATGGACGAGATCTTTCAGCTAGAGATGAATCTGCACAACGGCTATCCTCTGTCTCAGAACCTTTTCACATCGCTGCACATCTTTCGACTCATTTCCTACGACAATGAGTACCCTTACCACTTTGGTTACGACCAGCGTCAGTCTACGGAAAACCACCTTGTCCACACCGTGCTTAGAGCGTACTGCATTGGTGTCCTGAAATGCTGCCAGCTTGCTCTGCAGCTTATCCAAGACCACACATTTTACGAGGAAGAGGACTTTGTAACGTATCTATTTGGCCGAGAATTGCTACCGAAGATGGACTGTAAAGAATCTCGACAGCTCCTCTGCACAGCAGTGGAATGGTTGGAAAACGCAGAGCTCGATTCACAAATAAAGGACGCGCTCAGGATCCGACTGGCCTTGCGGCACATTATGATTGAAGCATTCGAAGGGGAAGACGAATGGTGGCCATCGCTGAAACTCGAAATCGAACGGATAAGAAAGGATCACTCACTGGCGAGCGCAGTCCAGGAAGCATTCTCCGAGAAGGTTCAGCGTCAGCTTGCCACCAGCACACCACCCAGACCCATGCCACAAGTGCAGTGGGAAGAATCGGTCAAAAAGTGGCTACAATTATGCGACGATGTGGTTGCTGCTCGCAGTCTCACCTCCCTTAGGACCGCCCAGAGTCCGCATTGCTTGCAGCGGGCGACTTGGGCGTTTGCTTATCGAGACCCATTGCCCAACACTTTCGCACGAGCAAAGATGCAGGAGATCTTGACGTCAGACGAGAACGTCGCGGGAGAAGTCTCACATTTCGATCTGATGCTCACAGACATCCGGGACATGGTCCTTTGCGGAGATCCTGTGGCCGATCCGGCGGCGTTCTCGATCGAGGTACCCACCGATGTCAGACATCAGACATCGCGGATCATCGAAAGCTTCATGTCTGGGATGTTTACAGAGTATTTGAACATCTACCGCATGGTCTGTCAGAATCGATGCCGCATGCGCCGCACATTCACACAGGCAATTCCTCTGCTCGATGAGTTTGAGACCGCGGCACGAGCGGCGGATGAGGATCTCAACAACATAGTCGCCCCGAGACGGTTCTTGGATGAAGCGGGGAAGGCTTGCACGCACTCCCCACTGGCAGCATGGGTACGGTATCACAAGCTACAGATCTTGGAATGGACGATTCAGCTCGGCTTCGAGACCGATCTCTACCTTCCACGCGAGATCTGTAACATGTATATCTTGCTTGAAGCGAACGCCGAGGCGAGAGGCTCTCATTTGCAGGCCTTGGAGCAAGTTGTCGAGGCGCGCAGTCGGGGCCTGATTTCGTTGACATCGGGCCCCGATAGCAATCCGTCCGCCGCCAACAGCGATATCCTTTACATTGAGTCTTGTCAGGCGTGGATCGGAAGTTTACGCCGCAGAACAATGGCCACTCGCTTGTTGTCCCTTTCTCTCGCATCACTATACGCCATGCTTGAGCATTATGAAATCATCGACACCAAAGCAAAGCCCTACGAAGATGCCCAATTGCGGTACGAAGCACGCATGAAGCCCTTCTTAGGCATGGTGAACGACGGTGCGCCCGGACTTGACTACTTCACCCAGATGAAGACACAGATGATCTCCGGTCTCGTGAGCACTGGTCAAAAGCCCTCGCTACCATCAACGATGGATGCTATTACCAAGATGATCAAGGAGACAAAGGATCAATTAACGGCACTCAAGCAGACGTCCCCAGCAGAGGGTAAGTACCTCGGCACGGAAGAGCAGTGGAAAAGGGAAATGAAGAGCCTGGAAACAGTGTGTGTGGCAATTACTGTGACGGTGTCACAGCTCTCCCGCATCTGGAGAAACCGCGGCAAGAGTGCGCTCAAAGACTTGATCGAGGTCAACTTTCCAGCGCCTGGTAAGCGATATCACGAGTGGTGGGTGATTCCTCCAATTAAAGAGAGAGCGCAGTAATGTTAGAGCTGCTTGACGGCGGTGCCAACTCATAACATCTTTCTTGCTTATCATCATCATGGAAGCCGCGAGATCCGGGAGAACAAGCCGGTTTCACATATGCGAACGTCGACTGCAAATGTAACAGGTCGCGTGGAGCTTGCGCGGCGTATCGTCCTGGGGTCGCACTACATATGCGATCTATACTATGCCAGGGCAGCTTTGGTAATTCAGCCATAGGGAAGCTGTGCCAGATATCCTGGCCCACCCTTCGTGCCACTGCCTCGGAGACAGCTGACTTGGCAGCTCTTGGTTCCATGTCCAGAACACCACGCCTCAGATGCAGATCGTATCGCCTTGCCCAAAAGAGCAATATTGCTTACGGAACATCGCATATCGACAGAACTACTGCATGTGCTCGTTACGACMGTTGGTATTGGCAGCATTGCATCAGTTTTTGAAGTGTTTCATGAGCTTTTTCGCTCACCACACAGATTTCGTCGAGAATCGCTTCACGATCCCTGCCAGTGATCAGTGGATCCTCCGCGAAGCTGTAGGCGCCATAATCCTTCTGGCAGTCATTATGTATTGTCTCATCTGCCACTTTCAAACTGTTTCATCCTCAGCRTGGCGACCAAAAGCACCACCAACAAGCCGAAAGCCTCGAAGAAGCAAATCGATTTCATCGTGACGACTTCTAATCCAAGCGATGCAAGTTCGGCCAAGGCCAACAAGAAGCGAGTCCGGAGTGTTGCCGCGTTGAAGTCATGGCCGGAACGAAGAAAGAAGATGTTCCAGGACCTCGAGGCTGCAGGTACCGGACACGGAGCATTTCTAGTTGAAGATTCACCACCGCAGCCAAAGWCCGCTGATCGAGAAGTTGCAGCTCCCAAGAAGTGGGCAGAACGAAGGACGAAAACATTTAGAGGAGGTGGGGAGCCCATTGATGTGCGTGAGCAACCCTTCTTCGAGCAGCCTGCACAACAACCTCGATGGGTTCAACAACCACCGTTTCTGCCCTTCGACCATGGCAAAATACAGCCACCTCCTGGTTTCACAGACACCTCTCCTCGATACGTGACCTACGGTGCGATACCAGATCGGACTCCTCCCCCAAGAGATCGTCAATGGAGCGGAAGTTACTACGGCGACAATGTTATCACTCCCACTGGATCCTCATCATCATTGTACGAACCGACGGTAGCGCAGGTGCCTCCGACAGCACCAATGCCAAACTGGCRGTCAGAGTACTCAATTGGGTCAATGGTGAACTTTGGCCCTGTATACAGCCAGGCCACGACTATATCAGTGCTTCCAAATAACAAGAAACGTATGGTAGACGGCTACGACAAAGAATCCCACCACGGATCCGGCAGCATGGTCTTGCTCACTCCTCCCGCATCTCCCAACACAGACGCAGCTCGCGGACGAGCAGATCCCTTCAACTGCTATAACAATGTCGAATGGCAGCCCTGGTTCGATAAGATCCTACACCACGGTAAGTCAATTCTACAATCTCCGTCCTTGGAAAAGGTCACTGAGAAACTTTCAGTGGTTAATATATACGCGCCGCGCGGCTGGCCCGCTTTGAAAGTGACACGCGAACAAGGAATGAAATGGGAATGGTTCCTCACGCAAAAAGCCCTCGCGGAGCCAGCGCTCTTTTACGTTCGTCTGCTTTTCGGTTCTGGCGACTTGATTGTTCAAGGAGGTCTACCTGCTAAAACGAGACTTTGGCTACGAGCACAAGCCATCAAGCACATTAACGAAGCTTTGGGAGATCCTCGACGCGCTTGCTCAGACGCCCTCATCCTTGCTGTTGGCAGAATCGCTTTACACGAGCATATGTATGGTGATCGAGAGGCGAGTGTGGCTATTCATCGCCCGGCTCAGAGGAGAATGGTGGAGATGAGGGGTGGCATGAAAGCACTTGAATTTCCGGAAGTTGTGAAGCGGGCGATGAAGTGGAGTGATCATATCATGGCCGTTGGGACGCATACGGAGGAGATGCTGAATGAAGAAGGGAAGGAACAGGAGGTGACGGTGAAGGAGAGTATCAAGGCGATTGAAAGTTATGCGCCGTATTTGATGGTGAGTGTTGATCCTGGGAGATTCGGAGAGATGATTGCTGACTTTTGTGGAACAGCCCAGAGTACGGACACAAATCCGGGTGGACGAACTTCTTAACGAGGATTGAATGAGGTAGCTAACGGGTGAGCTGAGCTCGTGGTATGCTAGAGCAGGACTTGGCGATCATGTCCCGCGGTATAGGGTGAAGTGGCAGTGGCTAACAGGGAAGATCCTTGTAGATTCTGCAAACCACCAAAGCGTGTATAGACCCCTGACGGGGAGCGGTTCAATCGTCTAGTAGTTGTACTTTGATGGCTCTAGCAGCAGGTGTGCTCGCTGCAGTAAAGGCCTCTTTCGCCTGCTCCAATGTAAAGCGATGCGTGACCAAAGGCTTCAAGTCAATCAAGCCTTCCTGGAGTAACATGATGCCCTTTGGGTACGTCTCGCGATAGCGGAATTGAAAGCGAATGTCAATCTCCCTGAACGAGGCATGCATAAACGGAATCTCCATATTAGAGGCGTGGCCAACACCGATCACAAAGACGCAGCCTCCGAAGCGCGTCGCCTGCAAAGAGTCAGCATCATGATTCAGGTGATGGGGTAAGGGACACACGAACATAGACTCCAGCGTGAACACTGCTCTCCACACCCGTACATTCGATAACCAACTTCGCCTCCTGCCCCAAAGCCAGCTTCATCTTCTCCGCCAGAAGCTGGGAGTCCTCGCCTCTCTCTACCTGCACGGTCCTCACCCTTGGTACAAGCTCCTTCGCCACACGCAAACGATTCTCATCCAGATCCGTAATCACAATAGGAGCAGCACCAGCAGCATTCGCAGCAAGAAGTGTCACCATTCCAATAGGTCCCGCGCCACAAATCACCAAAGGATCTCCCAATTTCAATCCACTCCTCTCAATACCAGCGAGRGCTACGGAAAGTGGYTCCAGCAACGCTCCTTCTTCAAAGGTGACATGATCTGGTAGTTTATGCAGCCATGCTTCAGGATGGGCATGATAGCGTCGTAAGGTACCATTGATGGGGGGCGAGCTGTAGAATACCATCTCTGGACAGCCGTGATATTGACCTGTTCGGCAGGCCCGACAAGTAGGCTTGGAACAAGGGATTCCGCACTCGAGAGCGACTCTATCGCCGACATTGAACTTCTCGACCGCTGATCCGGTTTTGATGATTATGCCAGCGCTCTCGTGCCCCAGACCGCAGTCTGTGGTGATGATTGAAGAGCCAATATTTCCATGTTTCCAGAAATGGACGTCAGATCCGCAAATTCCTGTTGCGCGGACGTGAATCAGGCATTCATTGGGTTGGAGATATGGGATATCAGTTTCTAGGATGTTTAAATCATGAGAAGGGTTGGTGGAGATGGCGATGTTTTTAGGCTTGCGAGTGAGAATGTCCGACATGACGAGACGAGGCAGATGGGCAGGACGATGAGGAGATGAAAGCTCTCTTACCTGCAACTTGTACATATATGCCGATATATCCCCACAGGAGCTCGTAAGCGCATGCATGTACTCGAGACTTGTCAATCTGCGGTCATTCGGCGTTCGACGCTCGGAAAGTCTTGCTGCTTCTGTCGACCGCTCTCCAATAGCCGCAGCTCGCTGTTCGTCGACATACTCACATCTGCAATGCCGTGATTCGTTCTTGTTGTGAGCTGTATCGAGCAACCAGATTTCGGGAACAATCACGGCATTCCGTGGTCAGGATTAGGTACGAGGAGGATGCCGTTTCAATTCCGATGGCTCATTCTTTCGTAGCTGTTCGCGTATTGGTAACGCCCGAGCGCCGCGCAATGCTGTGATCCTTATAGTACACGTCCGTGCGGTCCTCTCGAAGTCAAGCTTATCTTCTTTCGTTCTCATTGCACCATTCCTCAGTTGCCCTCCAACCTGCCGACCACACCGGCCATCTCCTCGTCGCCGTAAATACGGAAGCCCTTGTCCTTGGTAACACTCGCAAGCTGTACATTCTTCGAGTCCAGCTTCTCCTCCATGACTTGCTTCAGCGTCTTCAACACCATCACCTCGGCCTCCTCCAAAGTAAGCGACTTGTGGAATTCGTTTTGTAGCTCTGCCTGGGCGCCCTCGGAGCCGGATCCAATGGCTTTTGCGTCGTAGCGGTAGAATGTGCCTGAGGGCTCTGCGTGGTAGCTAGAGGAGATATTGTCAGCAAATCGACGTGAATGCAAGGTCAGCAGTTGACGCACAGTGATGGTCCGTTCTCGTCGTATCCTGCAATCAGGAGCGCCACGCCGAACGGCCGACTCATGATGCTCTCCTCGCCTTCTGCACCCTCTCCGAATCGCAATGCCAAGTCGCAGATGGCCTGAGTGCAGCTCTCAACACCTAACCGCTCGTTGTAGTGGAACTCGTGCGACTGCGATGTAACACGTGCATGTTCAATCATGCTGCGGGCATCGGCCTGCAGTCCGGACATGGCACAGCCAACATGGCGGTCAATCTCCACAATCTTCTCCACCGATGATGTCTCCAATAGCGACGATGTGATGCGCTTCTCCACCCCGAGGATGACGCCGGCCGATGTTGAGATGCCAATGGCCGTACTGCCCAACTTGATGGCCTCGAGAGAGTATTCGACCTGGAAAAGACGTCCTTCGGGGGAGAATGTGCTGTGTGATATGTTAGGAGATACTCATACTGATATATAATCCCACGAATGGAGGCGGATGCGTACTTGATGCCACGATCGTACTCGCTCCGTGCAATGAACATGATCGCGGATGTGTTGATGGATCTGTGGTATTGTAATTGACTGGAACTGTAGAATCTCTTCGTCCAGTGGAAGGGTGATGTGAGAAGGTGTTGATGTGTGTGTTTCTGAGATGGAGCTCCAAGTTACGAAGTTAGGCGGACGGCGACTACGAAGCTCGATCCGTGCACCCWCCAACGACGCGTGCCGAAGACGAGATTCAATCCCACATTTTGAACGCGATTCTTGCTTGCTCCACCAGTGAACTCTACACCTCGCAAAGACTCCCCTCTTTGCCAATGGAAGGCCATGGCCTCTCAACAGCCATCACGCGCTGCCTCTATCGCTGAACGTAGAGCGTCGGTCCGCCAGAATCGCCAGCGCCCCACCTCCGCTGCCAATCCCTCACCAACGACAGATACGGCCGCGTCGAAATCGAATGTGCACACGCGCAAAACCTCCACAACCACCGAGACTACGCGACGTGAGGCTTTGACTCGCGAAGTCCTCCTCAAGCGGACCACAATCAGCCCAGTCAAGCAGCAGGAACGAAATGCCAATCTTCGCAAGAGTGTGGAGAGTGAAAGGCCGACGCCTGTTGCTCGAGAGAAGGCGGCAGTGAGGAGCAGAGGCAATTCGGAAGCCGGTAGGTCATGTGGCAGTGTAGGACAGTATATAGCTGACGAGAACAGCAACATCATGGAGTCCTCACGCAAGCCTTCTTGCGCCTTCAACTGCGCCTTTGGCTTCTCGCATGTCTGTGCCTCCAGTCGCTGCTCGAGCGCCTGCTTCACTTCAACCTGCTCATTTGAGCACCCTTTCGCTGGATGCGCAGGAAAAGGCCATAGTTGAGGATCTGTTATTTGTGCTCATGGGATTTGAGGGACAGTACATTCGATATGCGGATGCCTACGACCCTCTCGACGAAAAGAGCCAGCTGGCTGGGCCACAGTTCGTGATACAGCCGGGTCTGGATCCCAGTCTGCGAGATTTGGCGCATAGTATGTTGAAGACCGCAACCCATTTCTGTGCAGTAGAGGCCTTTGTGGAAGTTCAAAGTCGGGAGGAAATGGGAGCCGTCAATCACGCTTTGTGCGCTGCCATGAGGAAGTTGTTGAAGGACTACATGATCCTGATCGCCCAGCTCGAACATCAGATGCTCACAAATGAAGACTTTACTCTTCATCAAGTCAGCCTGCATATCAAACCGACTGCGCATATGATGTTGCAGCTGTATAGCGTAGCCCACGAGGTGCTCAAGGAGAACAGCATGCTGGATAACGAGGATGAACTGGATCAGTCAGACGATTTTGAGAACATCTTGGAGTCTTTGCGAGAAGGAAAGGATGCTGCAATGCCTGGGAAGAAAGTTTGCAAAGGTGGTGGAGTGCTCAGACTGCTCACGAAACGACTTGCGGCCATGGCAGGAGACCCGGCTGCAAGGCAACTTCTGACGTTGCTGCTTCGAGAAGCAAGTCGGCCGTACATGACCATGTTGAACGAGTGGCTGCATCATGGAAACGTCCGGGATCCTCACCAAGAGTTTCTGATCAAGGAGCAAAAGTCCATTCGCAGGGAAGGCCTCGAACAGGATTACACTGATGAGTACTGGGAGAAACGCTACACTCTCCGGCAAGATCTGGTCCCCCCACAACTGGATGGTGTCAAGGACAAGGTTCTGCTTGCTGGCAAGTACCTCAATGTGGTGCGGGAATGTGGTGGCATCAAGAATGTCTCACAAGTTCTCGATGCGAGCACTGATGTTCCGCACACCTTTGACGACCCTCGCTTTCTGGAAAATGTAAGCAGAGCCTACGCCTTTGCCAATCGAAGCCTCATGTCCTTGCTCCTCACAACGCATGCATTACCAGCAAGACTACGCAGTCTGAAGCACTACTTCTTCCTGGACAGAAGTGACTTCTTTTCATACTTTCTTGAGCTCGCGCACTCGGAACTGCGGAAACCAGCCAACAATGTCAATACTGGCAAGCTACAAAGTCTACTGGACATTGTGATCCGTCAACCAGGATCTGTGGCTGCCGAGGATACCTTCAAGGAAGACGTCAAAGTGGTCATGAATGATGTCGGACTTACAGGATGGCTCATGCGTGTGGTTAATGTCCAGGGTATGGACGCCGATGCCACTTCTCTATCTACATATACACCTCACCCAGCGGCCAGCACAACCAGCGACAGCAAGGACGAGAAGATTCTCGGATATGAAGCGCTCACTTTGGACTATGCCGTCCCTTTTCCTCTATCACTGGTCGTCAGTCGAGTCACGCTGACGAGATACCAATTGCTGTTTCGATATCTACTGAGTCTGCGACATCTGGAAACACTATTGACCAATTCCTGGACAGAGCATACAAAAGTCAAAGCTTGGAATTACAAGCCCGCGAAGAAGACGGCTGTAACAAGAAAGATTGAGAACTGGAAGCGCAGAGCATGGTGTTTGAGAAGTCGAATGTTATGTTTCGTGCAGCAACTGATATACTTTTGCACCAGCGAAGTCATAGAGCCCAACTGGCTGGCATTCATGGCCCGCTTAGCTCAAGCGGAAGGCACAGATGAGCCGGTCAAGGGAGGCGATGGAGTTGTATCCGTCAAGCGAACTGTGGACGAGTTGATGCAGGATCATGTCGATTTTTTGGCAACATGCCTGAAAGAGTGCATGCTGACCAACTCTAAATTACTGCGGGTGGGCACTATCCTACCGATAAGTCGGGCGTATCATCCCTGCTAACCATACCCTTGCAGATCAACTCCAAAGTCATGAAGACTTGCACGCTCTTCGCCGGTTACACTGCTTCTCTCTCGCGCAATCTGGCGTCTGCAGATCCGGATCTGGCATCTCAGAATCCCGGCGCCAATAAGGCTGCATACGATCCGGAGAAGCTGGATCAGTTGTTCTCGATTCTGCAAAAGTATGAAGACCATTTCAGTCTGCACTTGAAGATCCTATTGGATGCCCTCAACTATCTTGCCGCGACGGAAACAGTGGTATTCCTGGGGCTTTGTGCAAGATTAAGTATGGCGAATGAGGGCGGTCCTGGTGGTGGACCGGGGCCTGGCGCTTACGGCTAAGGCCAGGGTGTCGTGGGATAGTGGGAGGCCTTATTGACGACGGATAGATGGCAATTTGCGTTTTGGACGTAGCTTAGCGGAGGCGTTGTTGGCTCATCGGGATATCATGAATGCATAAGAAAGAGATCAGTCGAACTCTTCCTCAAGTCATTTACAGTCATCATCATCATCGTGGTGGCGGCGGTGGTGGCCTCATTCGTGGGTCTCTCGGCGAGGCATTCGCAGGACCATTCCATGGCGATGCACTGGCAGACCCTGGCCCACCACGCATACCAGGCGAAACGATTGGATTCCCATACCCATTCGATCCAGCCAGCCCCGAGGTCGTTATCCCCAAAGCCGGTGGATGTGATGGGATGGAAGCACCAGAACTTTTCGTTCGACGAGGATCCGAACTCTCCATCCTTTCCAGAGCGTCGCGGTAGTAGTGTCTTGTTTGCCTGGCGTAGCGGTCGTACTGCTCGAGCTGCTCAAGAGTTTCCCGGGCAAGTTGAATTTCCAAAGGAGGTGTCTCTTGGATTATCGACGTTGGAGGAGGAGCGATCGCACCTGTGGATGGCATGCAGGGGTCTTGAAGGGGAGCTGGGGCTTTGAGGTTGGCGATTAGAAGAGCTATTCCGGCTGCCTTGTCGGTTGGATTTGAGATTGTCCCGGTGGAAGGCTGAGAGCTTTGACGTGCTTGTTTGTCCTTGGCTGCTGTGATGATGTTGTTCCTGTGGAATGATGTATTAGCTGTGTTATTCAGGCCACCATGGAAGGATGACCTGGTCGCACCGCACTGCTTGATGGCTCTTATCAAGGTTCTCAACAATGGCGGTTATCATTTCTGGCTTGCTGAGAGTCTCTTTCGGCAGCTCCCTTGGATTGGGTACGGGCAAGTAAATATGCTTTCGCAATTGAGATTGATGAGCCATTGCGGGTAGTGGACCACGCGAAGGATGAGGTCTCGTCTATCAGTCTGCTCCAGTCCGCATGGCCAATGTGTCTCCCTTTCGCTCACGAGAGCTTTTCGCTGCTTTATCGTGTCCTCGACCGCTGTATTTGTGATTTGTGCCAGCGAGGAGAAGCTCGCGTGATTCTTGACCACTTTGAACTTGTCTTGTGATGGCGCACCATCGCACCTGCCGAGGGCGACCTACGCTTGCCCAATGTGGACGCCGATCATGTCAAGCATTTTCGGCTATACGCCACACTGCGCCGCTGCTAGGAGGCCGAACGTCAGCTGTCGGTCTCAACGACATTCAGCAAGCATGATATGATGTGCTAGTGGGTCCTTCTGGGCATTTTGCAAGTCGCATGCGCTTGCTGGCCTTTGTTACATTCTGTTTTCTCCTATACTCCGGCTTCATCACGGGCTAAACCCTAAGACCGCGCACATGCCACGTTAGCCGTACCGGTTATTGCGCGTCCACGAGTCCTCCCGCGAATCCAATTCGTCCAAGGCTGCCAAATTAAGGAGCCATGGCATTGGTGGGACAATATTCTCCTGGGAGCCTTCACAGCTGCGATCGGCGGCCGTTGGAAAACCATGTATGAGCTATGGTTTGGGCAGTGTCGTGTGCCCCCATGCAAACGCACCGAGGGTTTCACCAGCCATCGACCAAGGCGGCAGTGTCTCCACGCCTAGCAGTTCGCAAAGGTCTTGGTACCCATGTGGGCAATAAGACATGGAGTCGCACCCATTGGCCGATCCAGCTCCTTTGTATCCGCACCCTTTCGTTGTTGCGTGTTCACAAAGGGACCCCCACCGCAGGATCCTGCAATCGACACATGAGATAATGCGGAATTGTCGAGTGTAGGATGATGAAACTTCGAATCTAGCCTCAACTCAGCCTCTCTCATGCGCGCGCTTCTACTCCGGCTTCTGATCCTACAATGATCCTACCAGGCAACGACATACCGCTTACATTCGCTGATTCCACCACGCACTTCGCCTTGTGCCACAACAGCATACTCATACTCTTGGACCCTCGCGTATAGCCGTTGTATACCTTACCTTCGATACATCTCACACTCTACCACAGCATTTCCATACATTGACTGCACATCTGCCATTCGAATTCATTGCCATGGATGATCGCCTTCACCAGCGCACTCAATAACAACGCCATTGGACTCGAGTCCCGATACATGCCGGATTCGTCCTCTTCAATCTCACGACCTCGATGTACCACGGGAAAACATGGAGACCTCTTACAGAAACATGATCCTGGGCACTGGACTAAAATGCACTTCTGCAACGCTCGCTATTGTGACCTCCCGACAGGTCATGTCACAAGGATTTCATTATCCATACCACTTGCTATTAATACACGCGCTGGCGATTCTCCTATTCCAAGCAGTAACTCGGGTACTCAAAGCAATCAATGGCGAACAACACCCTACACAGGATGAATCGCCAAGCTTCTCGGAACACAATGGCATAATGCGAGAACTTTTCATTCTGGTACCTTTCCTTCACATGGCGTGCGCAGTAGGAACATTACTTTGCGTCTACCAGGCCACATATCACGTCATCGCTCTGCCAGTCCTCGTAATGCTACTAGTTCTGGACTGGARCTCGATCTTCACAAACGCAGAGAGGGTACCTGCCAGAGGTCTATTCCTGGCTTGTATATCCATGTGCGGCATGGCCATGATGTTCACATTCGACCGGAAGCTTTCCAAAGGAGGCATCATAGGCTCTGTCGTGGCCATTACATTGACAAGCCTGGCACGGTCGATGGATGCATGGATGAAGGCCCACTGCAATGAGCGAAACTCCCCTGGCTGCGCGCGATGGCAAACCCCATTCGCTGTACCTTTAATCCTAATCTTGCTCAGCCCGGCATTGATCCGGAGATACGAGCATCCAATCTACACGCCCGCGGGACCGGTTTCTCTGGGCGGTACATTGGCCATCAACATAGCATGTGTGGTTGCGGCCTGGCGCTGCAACTCATCTTTCTTCACGCATACAGAACCCTCCGATGACGACCTGAACTYGGAATACATTGGTGGAAAGGAGCTCAAACATCTTGCAACGCCCTTGATGATCGTGAGTCTGGTCACTGCAGGCTGTAGCTATGCCCTGCCTCCATTCTCAATCTCAGCATGGCAGCACGTGGGGTTCCTCATTGCTCTATCGGCAATATACATTGCGAGTTACTCGCCAGGACGCTCTGCTGCTGGAGACATGGAGAAGAGCTATGAGCTTCTTGCAGATGCCGACGGCAGGGATGCATCCGAGACACACTCCACAAAGGACCGTACAAAGCGCATCTCGATAGCGCTATTCATTACGCTGGTCGCCGCAGTGCTCTGCATCCTGGTACCCATGTACTGGCCTGATTCCCTCTCTGAGCTCCATCGAGGGACGTTCAAATCACTAGCAATATCACTGCCCCGAAAGCAAGGATCATACTCCCTTGACTTTGTGGTGTCACGATACGATGAGTCTGCAACCACGCTTGCAGATAACTTGACACCGCTTCTTGACCTCGAGGCAACACGCAGTCGAGCGATGCGCGTCATCGTATACAACACAGGAGACGAAGATGAAGATCTCAATTCGACCTTCCGCAACGACCTCCAACACGCGCTCACATCACAACCACACATCACCGTCGAACATCGAGCGAATTTTGGAAGAGAGGGTGCGGCTTTCCTACATCACATCACAACCCAGTGGGACAACCTAGCAGATCACACCCTCTTCATGCAAGCCAAACCACATCAACCCAGACATGTCCGGCGGTTGCTTCAAAGCTACTTCGTGCCGCAAACTGGATTCCTGTCATTATCCGCCCTCCAAGATTCGTGTTCAAGCTGCGAGGATTGCTGGGACCACTCTACGTGGTCGGAGAGCAAGACCATCTTGGAGGACATCTACAGTCGCGCCAACAAAGGCGCCAAATGTAAAAGCTTCGTATTGACATATCGAGGTCAATTCGTCGCGTCCCGGAGCCGCATTCAGGCTCCTGGACCGGAGCTTTTTCAGGATCTTTTGGATGGGATGGTCAATCCGAAGAGCGATAAGCACAGTGGGGAATACGTGAACCAGCCATGGCTTCCCCAAAAGGTGGACAGCTTGAATAGCCCTCTTTTTGGTTACACACTCGAGCGTATTTGGGGTGTGTTGATGGGTTGTTCAGATCGTCGGTTGGCTTTGACGTGTCCGAGTAGACTTTCGTCCGCGATGACAGTGTTCAGGGTGGGCGCTTCTAGCTTACAGGATTGCCAATGTCTTGATGATATTACATAAAGTGATCGAATACATCTTGAAAGTTACATCCAGTTCTCGTACAGGATTCGCTCTGCTGTGTCGGCTCGCTATTGAACGAAAGGTCTTTCCCGTCTAACAAGATGTCGACTTCGCTAAGAGAAGTTGATACGATCCAAACTCGACGAGCAGTCCCAGCGTACTCACCCGCCCGCCTCTTCCCCACCCGCGGCATCTTATAGCCCTTCCTCCTGTGTATCAATTCACTTCTCGCTCTTCATCATCTTTGCTCTAAGTGCCTCAAGTGCCTCGCGGTTTTCCTTGTGCGCCGTATTCAAGTTGAGGATTAAACGTTCGATGACTGCAAAACAACAATCGAGAAGAACTTCCTTGTCCTTGAACTTCCTTATGTTTCCTTCCTTGAAGAGGTAGTCGTGATAGTGTCGAACCACGAATATGATGGCTTCCCTCAGCTTTGTGTTCTGAGATTCGGATTGCGACCAGATTGTCTCAAGCAAAAGCGGCAGACTCTCCTTCTCAAGATCATTGTTCCATAGGACCTGTTCGAACTTCTCGACAGCCTTGACTTGCAGTAAGGGGATATCGAAGTACACAGCTGCGGCATGAACATCGGCGTGCGCGATGAGACTAGCGGTGGCAGAGTGGGAGGGGAGAACCGGACCCTCGAGTGAATGCTTTTCATCGTACGGCTCGTAGTCCTGGTTGTAGAGGTACTGTATCTAGAAGCGAGGCATGAAAGGGTCAGCGGCGTCTCAGAAATCAATGCAGGCTTTGAAGCTCTCCAAGAGCTGAGTCCATCGCAGAAGCCAAGAGGAGCCGTTGGTCATTTTTACCCACCCCTACATGGGATCCCGTTTATCCTTCACTGTCTGTACTTACCATCCGTTTGATGGTTGGGAGTTCGAATTCATTTTCGTCAAAAATGCTGTCTGTCCTGCGTTTGGATAGGTCTCTGACTTGGTGGATTTTGAGTAAATCTTCGAGGAAGACATCGTTCAATCTCATACTTACAAACGGATGATTGAGGATACACAATCGCTCGGTGGCATTCGATCCTTGCTCCCCCCTCGCAGATGATGGTCATATCGGTCCATTCGTGGTTGAGTAGTAGATTGCTCATAACGTTCGCGAAAGCCTGTTTGTGCTCGTCCTCCATGATGAATTGGGTTGGAACGATACTGAGTTGATATGCTTGCAGGAGCTAAGAGGCTGMAGCGATGATGTGATATATGCTGTTGGCGATGTTCGCTGATATGAAGATGACATTGAGAAGATCGGTCACGAATGTTGAGGAATGCACGAGGGAAGACTGGAAGGGAAAGGAGGTTTGTCTGGGAAGTCACTGTTGGGGACATTAATGTGCACTTGCCATGAACATTGCATGTAGTGAGTTTGCCAGATCACCTACCTAAGATATTAGGGAGATTGGATTGAGCCAAAGAACAATCTTCCACGATGATATAAATCAAGCAGCCTTGCAATATGACATGTAGGGGAGAGCCCGGCGAGCGCACGTCAAGTCCTAAGAGGACCACTCCATGGAAGTTCTTACGAGCATCCTTGCTACCCGAGTCGACTATCGAACGCCGAAGGGCGGGTGCAATCGACATCCAGTCACTCCTACCCAAAGCGTTACCTGCTAGTTCACAGCCGCAATATCCCTCCATTCCCATCGATGCCTCCGCGGAATTGATCCTTGATGACCTGGCCGTCCAAGATGGTCTTCGCCACGATCCCTTCGACATGCTCGGGGCCGACTCGTCCATACCAGATGCCGTTGCCAGCCAACGGATTGGATCGGAAAGAGGGAGGGATGTAAACGATCACGTTGCCAGCAAATTTGTGCCCCCCGATATGCGATATCGAAGCGATCCTGGCCGGTGGTAAATACTTGGAGTCCTGAACATCAGCCTTGATGGCTTCTGTTGTTGGGACGCCTTTAAGAATGGCAATGTTACTGCTTTGCAGCTTCTCTTCAAATTCGGCCATCAAAACCGGCGCCATCTTGCCGCAACGGTCGTCTCGACCGCCATGTCCACAAACAAGGATAAGTATCTCTTCGACGTTGCGCACACCTGCAAATTGACGTTGAAGCTCTGGCTTGCGAAGCAGAGCATAGTGCTGTTCAGCCGTGAGCGTCTCGTATATGCTATGTAGCTTTTGCGGAAGGACGAAGGCTTGAATGAAGGTCTCTACGCTTTTGGTGTCTGTCGGTATTGCTGGAATGTACTTGAAGCTGGGTAAAAGGAATGCGGAAGCCGGTGGGCCTGATTCGGGAAGACTAATGAGACGGTCTTTGCTCGCTTCCGTACTGTTGTCCTGTGTTGGTGCCACTGGCTGCTGATCTGGCGCTATTTCAGGCTGTATGGATGAGTTTGAGATCATGACATTGTGGTATGGCTATAGAGCTACAATCAGCTTCTATCCTGCATGCGATACAACGAGGGAGCAAAGGATTTGTTCCACACACATCAACATATTTTCCACCTTTCAATAGAAGCTTCTTCATTTGCCGTATCAACACTGCACCCTCTTCTTCCTCAATCCGACTCTTCCAATCATTCTTGCCCGTGCTTATCAAGATTTGTTCCGCGTATGCTGCCATGGAGCCATTCAAGCTCTGCTCKCGCTCAATCTCCAAGCCTGCCGGCGCTTCTCTGCATTGACAAGTCGGCGATGGGCAGGTTTCGATGACGGGAAAGGGCGGAGGCGTAAACGGGATGGCTATCCTCGAAGCGAGCCGATGTGAGGTCGCAGCATATGCCGGACGGAGTACTTGAGCCACGCGTTTACCGCCATGGCGGAATATGAACATTGTCGAGGCCGTTGGTGGATGTATTGGAGATGAGGCGGCGTCTAACGCGCATTCAGATGATTAGTGCCGCCTGACATAAAAGTTATGAAACCTGATCATTCATCCACCAACCTAATGCCTCGGCTCCACATACCCATACCACTCTGACCCGAGCTTAATGACTATAGAGATGTCAAGATGTCTTCGGGGTAAGCCTCAAGGTAAGGAACAGTCTCTTTTGATTCATTTCCAGTCCAACATCATATCCACCTCCCCTCAAACAATCAATCATCATGAACGCAGCTCCCAAACCCATCGAGGGCGTCGAATGCGAGTTCCGCGGTCGAGTCGCGATCATCACGATCAACAGGACCAAGAAGCTCGGAGCTCTTGCTCAAGAACATTACTTCAACATTGCCCGATGGATGCGGCACATTGACTCCAGAGAGGATGTCTTCATCACAGTCCTTACYGGTACAGGACGATTCTTCAGCGCGTACGTGCATACCTACTCACTCTCCCTTTACACCACTCCCCAGAAGCTAACTTAAACCCCGCTATAGAGGCGCAGATGTAACAGTCTCAGGCAAAGACACCGGCGCGAAAGATGACCAGTTCAGAATCAACCTCCAGAACTTCGCGGCTTACAACCTCAACATTACACACGCCTTCTACACGCACTCCAAGATCCTGGTAACAGCACTTAATGGCCCGGTGGTCGGTCTCAGTGCTGCCTTGATTGGACACTCGGACTTCGTCTACGCCGCACCGCATGCCTACCTCCTCTGCCCATTTACATCCCTAGGATTGGTGGCTGAAGGTCTGGCAAGTCGTGCCATGAATTCTCGCTTGGGACCGGCGAGAGGAGCAGAGGCATTGCTCATGTCCAAGAGGATCACATGCCCGGAATTGTTGCAGTGTGGATTTGTGAACAAGGTGTTCGAGACCAAACCAGAAGAGCATGAGAAGTTCTTGGGGCTCGTGTTGGAGGAGGTTGACAACCGTTTGGGAGAGCATTTGGTTCCCAACTCACTCATCAAGATCAAGGAGATGATGAGAGGACCGGAGAGAGAGCAGTACGATGCTCAGGGAGTCAAAGAGGTCATGGGTGGGTTGGATGTCTTCATGAGGGGAATCCCACAAGAGGAGTTCCGCAAGATTGCCAGCGGGGAGAAGAGGCATAAGTTGTAGTTTTCATGATGATGACGAGCTATTATGAGTATGCCGCATGTGCCACGAACAAGGTGGAGATGTTAGACCGGTTGATTCAATCGGCGTGCACGGTACACAATGAGGAGTTGAAGACGCCGAGTGTGTTACAGTGTCTATTGCATGCGACATAAAGTAACGGTATAAGCACAACTCTGCCCTTCCATCTCTATTCCCCCACCGCCAGCGCCGACGCTAATATACAACTTCATTGCCATTCTCCATGCATCTGATGATGCAGTCCTGATCATGTTGAACGTAACATGCTCCGCCAGCTCTATAATAGCACTGCAAGTGTGCTAAACGTGCATGCTCCCAAAGCTGCTTGTGGTAACATTAGCACTGGGGATGTCTACTGTATCTTGTCCTTTTGCTGGGTACTTCTCAGAATCCTTGGGGTTGTCTTGTCGGGAGCCTGAGCCTTCGTCCGCCGCTGGCTTGTATTCCCAGCACATGAACTGCCAGTTGAGCTCTTTCCGCCAACAGAGACCATAGCCGAGGCCGACAGGACCGGAGTTGTTGCTAAAAGTCTCGGCAGTCAAGCCGCCTGTCTTGGGCATACGATGCTTGAAGATGACACGGCCAACGCGGCTGTGAACCAAGGCCATGCAGCACATTATGCAAGGCTCGTGGGTGAGGAAGATTTCGAGCTTCAAAGAGAGATAGCCATCTGGCTTGAGATTGTCCACCTTGAAGTACTCCTCCTCCAACTCCATGATGGGGAGATCGAGAAAGAAAGCATCGCGAGCCTTTTCGTCGAGCGCGAGACCACCCTTGGTGAAGTTGCTCTCTGCTTTGGCCGCAGCCTTGGTGATGCCGGTAGAAGCGACGCGGAGGCGCTTGCGTCCGACCATGCCAACAGCTCGCATGACCGCGTGACCCATCATGTTACCGCGACCGCAGCTGTTTGTGGTATCATCGGCGAACTGATGTTCTTGTGGTTTGTAGCGTGCGTCACTGGCAACTGCAATGATGTTAGTATCACCATCGATACGCTCGATGATCACGCATCCAGGTCCAGCTCCAATCCCGCGGCGGACACCCTCGGCTCCAACCAGCTCGGCAAGATCCATGGCACGTTCGATCCCCATGTTGTTCTCCGGTGGATTTTGGAGCTCGTCCTCGGCCTTGGAGATACTGGCAGGATGAGCACCAAAGGGGTTGGTCTTCCGATAGAAGGTCGGCCAGTATGCTTTAGAAAGCTCATCAGCCTGTGCAGAACTCGTGGGGGCCAGAAGTGGCACGGTGATCTCCTTGATCTCCAACGGGTAGGCCCATGACTCAGCCGATGAGCAGAATGGAGTGTGTTCCTTCAAGATTTCATACAGGTCCCGCAGGCTCATAGCCCGAGTCGGGCAGATGAGCAGATGGAGCGTCTGAGATTTGCCGCTGTTACGTGGTCGCGATGGCGTGGCGTACTCCCAGACCGAGGTCTGCGGCGCCTGCATGACCGTGACGGGTGTGACCTCCCAGGCGCGCGGAACAGCGTACATCTCCTTGACGAGATCACGCTGGCCCAGCACGTGTGCAGGYAAGTACTTGGGTTTGGCGAAGCGGCGCAGGTGCTGCAGGTCGATCAAGTCCTGCTCGGGGACCTTTTCTTTAATCACTCTGTCCACGGCGTCAGTCGATCTAAGTGGTCATTCATACTGGTGATGAGGGACGTACTTCAGGATCCCTTCAGCATGCTTACTAGGCAGCTCAACAGTCCAGACTTGGATGGTGTCGTCGGAGAGGCGGCATTCCTCCTTGGTTTGGAGGTGCACCATCCGCCGGACGACGTCGACATCGGCCTTGCTGTCGCGGTCGCGGTCGTCCTTGGAGTCTCTTCGCAGCGTGGCCATGAGTGTTGATGCGCTGGCGCGGGCGAGTTGAAGTACGTTGGTGGTGGTGTATGTGAGGAAGTTTGCGACGCGGGTGAAGTGGAAGTGGAAGAAATRCCATGTCGCTCCTCCTGAGAAGGAACGCAACCCGAGCAAGACCCAGCTCATTGTTCTTTCTGTCTTATTTTGCACCGCGAAATTAAAGAGGCAAGCGCTTTTCTTACAAGGACTTTAAATGTCTTTTGCTACTACGAAGCATTTGCGTATGTATGTCCTTGCTTGACCGTGCTATTTCGCATGGCTCTCGACGATCAAATTTGACGTTTACAACGGAGATGGAAATTTGGGGATGTCAAAGTGCAGTCGTGGTTGTGCTTCACTTTTGGAATTTCCAGGCACCCGGCCGGCAAGTCCAGCCGGACCCAGCCCCGGATCGCGTCTTCCCGCTGCTGGTAGTCGCTAACCTTGTCGCGCCTGTCTCTTTCATGTGATCATCAAAGATACTTTCTACAGGATGACTCTCGCGATGCTGCCGGACGAGTTGATCGAAACACTGGCACATCAGTGGCCTTGCAGGGACACCCAGCTACGACAACTATCTGCACTCCTTTCGGTGAGAATACACCTTCCTGAAAAATGATGTTATGCTAATGACGCGCCGCAGTCATCTTTGCCGAGTCCGACCTCTCTTGTTCTATACGGCCCTCATGCAACGGGAAAAAGCAGCATCACAAGGGCCTACCTCAAAAGCAGTAAACTTCGCCACGCGATCATTCGATGTCAGGAATGCGTGACAGGAAGACACTTGCTGGAGAGGACAGTTGGCGCGGTGTATGAAGCGCTGCAGGGGGATGAGGATGAGGCAAAGGTTGGAAACTACTCCGGACGATGCGAGAATATAAGCGCGCTCGCTGTACACCTACAAAAGCTCTTGGACGGACGAGACAAGTTCATACTCGTATTCGACGGCATCGACAGGCRAAGGGAAGCACCGCCAACACTTCTCGCTGCGTTGTCACGGCTTGGAGAGACGGTCTCCCAACTGTGCGTCGTCTTTATCGTCCGACACCCAGCACCTCGCTYTCTCTCACAGGCAGGTGTACCACACATTCACTTCGCGCCATACACGCGGAATCAGTCTGTCCACATTGTGGCTCGCAACCCTCTTGACATCTTCCACGAAGCCCCAGTTGCAGATCTGGACTACGATGAGGAAGTCCATCGAGAAGACAAGGCATGGTTATGGCCGCGATTTTGTGCCGCTGTGTGGGATGCTTTGGGTCAGAATGCCGCTCGCGATCTGGCCGTCTTTCAGGGTGCCTGCCACAAGCTGTGGGGACCATTCGTTGCGCCAGTCGTTAAGGGCGACTTTGGCACTCGAGACTTTAGTCGGCTTTTGGTAGCTCAGCGAAGACTGTTTCAGGATGAAGGTCTACTCTTGGACTCGATCGTGTCGACTCCAGCCTTCAATACAAGCATGGCCAAGGCCAAGACCCACGAGCTGCCCTACTACGCAAAGTGGCTACTGGTAGCTGCGTACCTAGCGTCATTCAACCCAGCTCGATTCGATGCACTGTACTTTATGAAGTCGACGGAACGGAAACGACGAAAGAAAGGTGGCGGCACAGCACGCTCCGGGGGGCGACCAAGCAAGATCAGGAAGATTCCACGGCATCTGCTTGCTGCTTCTGCGTTCACTTTGGATCGACATCTCGCCATACTGCTGGCAATCCTCCCGCATGATTTGAGAACGACGATAGACATGTACAAGCAGATTGCAACTCTGTCAAGTTTGAGGTTGCTGGTCAAGGCGGGTGGGATAGGCGGCGGCGATCCTCTAGAGCCGGGTGGGAAATGGAGGGTTGGCCCTATGGTGACTTGGGAGTATGTACAGAGTCTGGCACGAAGCCTTGACTTCGGTTTGACGGACTATTTAGTTGAATGAAGTGGTCGGAATGAGGAGGCGCGGGTCAGTGCAAGTTTGTACATATCACAAGACGACACCCGATGATTGACCAGTCTGATGCTTTGCATGCGTGATCTCCGTAAGCTGCCAGTAGCGAGCAGTAAAGGTAAAGTCTCCACAAGGCCCATCTTCATAGTGCGCCATCCATTATCCAGCGTTTATGTGCGCTCACAGACCACAAATGTATTTTTGCTACGACATACTATTCATTTTACCAGTTTGAATTTTAGGCCCAAAGAAACATCGGCAAGCCGTCTCAATCCATCGCAATCTCACTCAGAAATGTTGCCTATGTCCTGGTAGTCGTTGTTCGCACTGCCGAAGCCCGGACACTACCCCAACCCTAACCCTACAAAAATCAGGAGTCGAAACGACGACCCGATTGCTTCGAAGTCGATTGACCAAGTGCGCGATTTGACGAATGAAGATGTTTGAATTGTTGAGATAGCCAGGGGTACGTTGCAATGCGGCGCAAGAATTGTCGTCGTGTTTTCAAGCAAAATCAGATTACAAACCCCTTTCCCTATGTAACCGCTCCTGTCAAACCAGAAAGACCTTCAAATCGACGACTTCTCGAAGACGGAAAGAGCAAGAAGCGTAAGAAGACAGTCGTGAAATTCACCCTCCAATCACTATTATACGCAGCGAGATTGAACGGCTTGGCCTTGTTCTTCCGATAATATTCAAGATCCAAGCCGTTATCCTTCGCCCAATCATCCGCCACCTTGTCCGCTTGATGACGATAGGCAATGAGTGCCGTGTGTGAGTCCCAACGAGGCACCTCCTCGAGCACAGGGATCTCGCCTGTGGGTGGTGCTGGGCTGCGGTGTCCCGGGACTTTGGCGGTAGTAGGAGGGTCCGTGGAGGCTGTAGACTTGGGTGTCGGCGACAAGATACATGTGAGTAAGTTCTGTATACCTTGCTCTTCGGTGTCGACTTCGTTGTCATCAGCGCTATCGTCGTCGTCGCTGTCGTGTAGATCACCACCTTCATCACCGTCGGCATCGCTGGCATCACCATCGAGAGGMTCTCGTGCACCAAGAGTGTCTTGTGGTGAATATGGAGAGTCGCGGTAGTCTCGGATTGAGTCACGCGCTGCGAGACCACTGTCGCGTCCGTCACTGTCAGAGGTGTATGGCTCCACATACGGATTCTTCAATCGTTCCAACTCCGCCTGTCTCTCGGCCTCATCCTGCTCCACTCTGATCGCCTGCTTCTCTGCTTCGGCCTTTTTGAGAGCCCTCTCCTCCTCCTCCTTCTCGCTCTTAGCCAAGTCTTGTAATGCTCTGCAGACACCGCGACAATATGAGTTCCTCCTTGAAACGCCTTTGTATTTCTGAGCCCAGGACCCGAGCAAATTGAAAACCATCACAAAGGCGTGGGCAGCCGTGACAGTGCTCTCAGCAAATCCATAGAAGATAAAATTGAGACGCTGCTCGCTAAACCATGTTTTGGTGGAGAACGACTTGACCGCGAAAAAGAGGCCCATAGCGTGGGCGAGGTTTTGAACCCAACAATTGAGCCTAACAGGCAGCATCGGATGGCCATCACTTCTCCGAAGCGTGACAATGCTGTGGCCGGCAAAGTCTTGCCGATCGTCTGGGTTATGGGCCAAGACCTCAGCTCTGCTAATGTTGAGTCTTCGCATGAGCTGTTCTGCTCGGCGGAGGGCGATCTTTGCTTCGTTTTGATTGGCTCCATGCTGGTCGGCACGGCTGAGCATTTTTTGGATCCTGAGAAGCGTCGTGTCGCCCAGATCTGCTGTTGAGCCGCTCACACGAACTGCGGTCTCCTCTACGTTTGCCACATAAAGCAACGGAGCAGGTTGGTTGGCAGTGCGCTTCTTGCGCGGGTTGACAGCTATAGTATGGTCCACTCTTGATGTTGGGGAGTCGGCACGGTAAGAGCCGCCGGAAGCAGAGCGACGTCGCTTTCTGGCGTTTGTTGGAGGAGTCGTGAAGATATCCTGATCGCTCTTGGATCCTGCATCAGTGTCTTGGCTATCTTGCTGTGAATCCATGGCTGAATGAGAATCGGAATGCCGATGATAGAGGGAGAGCGCGTTTGATGGCCGCGGATGCTTCTACTTCTAGTTGGTGACGTTTGATGCTCGCGATGTCCTATTCCTGATGGGCGATTCCACGTCTTGCGCTTTGATGTTTGCCGGCCTCTAAGATGTCGTTTGAGGCTGGACTGACGCGCTTGTTGCTGATCAGAAGTTGCTTTGCCTCGGTCATGGCCGCGTTGAACAAGGATTGCCTGCTGTTCAATGCCGCTCGTGAGAAAATCGTAGAGGAAATCACACAGAAAGAAGAAGTGGCAGGACTGATACCAAAAATCTCCACTTACGGGGAGGTCTCGAATGATTCCTCGTTATGCGACCTTTTTCGCATGCGTGTCTGGGATGGAAACAAGTTGGATTGTGGAACAAATAGAGGATGAAATACCTTAGTTGAGGGCTCACCTGATCACGTGCCTCAAGTGACCCTGAGACATGAACCCTAGTGGTTCAAGCCGGCAAAAGGTAGGTAATGTGAGAACACATGTTCGGCGCTTTCGAGATGAAGATAATACCTCTCCTTGCTCGCTATGCATTATATCTATWTCTATGTATCACATCTATGCGTTGTGGTATGCTGTCGCTGTGGCCCTCTTAAACTTCCCCCAGACACCAAGCTGCTGCGCATGTGTCCGGGCGTAATTCTCCTCCAGTACATTGTGACGGTTGACAATGTTCAAGAAGACCTGGTCGAGCGTAGCCTGAGAAACGGAGTAGTACTCGAACCCAAGCTCCTCCTTTGATGCTTCAAGTATGGCAAACAACGAACTGATGCCGCCTTGCGAAGTCTTTGACAGAGCACCCTTCTMGTCCATAACATTCTCGTCATGAGGAGCGCTGCGGTCGTTGGGTACGCTGAACCTCATCTGTCCGTGGAAGACTCGGTCTTCTGTCGTAGCACCAGGGAAGGTTCGCAGAACGAATGCTTTGATGGCGCCCATCTCAGCTTCGGTGCTGTATGGAGCATTCTTATGCACAACGTGGACGTGATAAGCGTCGCCGTGCTTCTTCCTGAGTTCGTCTGCGGTCCCCACTGCCAGCATCCGTCTCGCCATGATTCCTGCACGATCTGCAAGGGCATCGGCCTCCTCCATACTGTGTGTGGTAATGACCAGCGACCTGCCAGCGGACACAGCTTTGAGTGTCCGCCACATCACTCTTTTAGAGGCAGCATCCATACCACTACTTGGTTCGTCAAGTATCAAGACGGATGGATTGCCCATTAGAGCGATGCCTAATGACAGCTTGCGTTTGTTTCCGCCGGACAGTTTCGCGGCCATACGAGTCTTGAATGGTTCGAGGCCGACAGCGTGGATGACTTTTTCGACATTGTAATCAACGTCTGCCACTCCGCGCGCTCGAGCATAGAATTGCAAATGCTCTATAGCGGTCATCTGGTCCATGGCATCAAACTGCGGGCAAACACCCAAATTCACCCGGGCCGCTGCCCTGCGGTCAACGACAGATATGTCCTCGATGAGAATGTCGCTATTCTTCTCGCTCGGCTTCATGTCGCCACGGATCAGGTTGATAGTTGTACTCTTTCCGGCGCCATTCGGACCAAGGAGAGCAAAGGTCTCCCCATGAGGAACCCCAAAAGAAACATTCTGTACAGCAACGAAACTGCCAAAAGCTTTTGTCACATGCTTGACGCGAAGTTGATCTTTACATTGATCAACGCGTGCGCCTTCGGTGAAGACTTCGGTGTCGACATCATCAGTTTCCTCCTCGTCTGCAGAGCGGTGGCCAGATCGAGCGAGAAAAGATGGCTTCCAGCCGCTGTCAAAGGCAATCAGCGCCATGAGCTGGAGCGCAGACTGGATGATGAGGTAGAGAATGCAGCTTCCGTAGACGTTGATGGCTCCGGGGTAAGAAGGGATGGTCGTGGCGCCTTGGCAAAGCAGTGAGAACTGATTCAATGACAGAAACAGAGCTCTCAGCATGTTWCCAGATGGAAAGAAGATTGCCATGGCGTAATGGGCAATCTTCGCATTGCTATCGACACTTGAGGCTTCGGTGAATGTGATCAGAAGAAGCTGGACAAGTAGATATATGAGAAACATGCTGCACTAAAACCAATGAATCACATGTCAGCGAGATTTCAAAAAGACGACCAGCAGAGTGCAGAGCATTGAGAGCAATGTTGGTAGCGACATACCTGTCCGCCCGCCGCGAAGGCGAACGTCGCGAGTTGCGATGTTGTAAATAATGACACTRGATATGCCGATAGCGTAGCGGAAAGGCCATATAGGAAGAAGACCACGAAGAGATATCCGGGATAGTAGAAGACCGTGGAAGCACTGGCGAATATGGCGACTGATACAGCAGCGACAAGCAGCACGATGATGAAGTCAAAGCTGACATATGCCAGCCACAATGGACCTGCTCGCACTCCGTTGCTGTAATGTAATGCCCGAACGTCTCTAAGTCTTTCCGAATTCGTGTAGAGGGCGAAGAATCCGGGGAAAGCAGACATTGCCAAGCCAAAGTAGACAATGAATTGCAGAGTGTCGCCAAATGTAGGGAGTCCTGGTCGGTCGAATGATTGGTAGTAGGTGTTGATCGGCGTCTGAAGCAGACTGTTGTCCAAGAGATTTTGACCAGCGACAGCGTACTCGAGGCCGTCATCCTAAAAAGTAAAGCATGGAGGTCAGCATATTTCGTGGACATCCAAGGGCTGAGGGGAAGGCTCAGGAGTTCCTTTGTGTCTTCCCCTTTTCGATTTACTTACACCTTCTCCACCCAGCCAAGCGAATACGGGCGGATGACCTGCACCCTGATAGAGACCTCCAGGCATGATCCTCGAGTAGTTCGCAGCAAAGTACGCGTTGAATGCTGGGAAGTCACCGACGGGCACAAAGTCTTGCTCTGCCAACACCGGGAAAGTGGTATCGAGGAACTCTACATCGACTTGAGGACCTTGCGGAATGAGCACTTTGTCTGCAAGTTCCTCTATCGACAGCTTGTSCGACTCTGTCACTTGTGATCTCGGATCGCAGGAGATTGGCGGGAGACCGCCGAGGAACAGCGTTACGAGTCCGGCAGCGACGATGGGAAGAAACAAAGCGATGAGATATGGCCACTTGTTCCTTCGCAAGATGACTGCTCGCTTCCGGAAGAGTACCCATGTCTGAGCGAAGAAAGACAAGGGACGGCCGGGCAAGAGATGCAGACCTTTCTCTGCTGGCGAGCCTTCGGTTGATACATCACTAGCGGAGCCCGTCGATGTGGGACCAACGTCTTTCTCTAGCTCATCCTTGACTTCTGCTGCCAGCTTGAGGAAGACGTCTTCGATGGTTGGCCCGTTGACCTGGTACTCCGAAACGCCATGACGTTCCAGTTCTGTGACGAATGCTGCTGCGGAAGCTGAGTCGGCCAGATTGTAGACGGTCTGATCGTGGAACACTCGCTTTGATGTGGCCTCCAGATTCGCTGGAAGAGGCTTCTTGTTGGTGTGATAGATGACAACGCGATATCCTCCACCAAGGTGATGCTTCAGCTCAACAGATGATCCGTGAGCAACGAGGTTTCCTTTTGACAGAATTGTGATATCGTCCGACAAAAGATCAGCCTCGTCCAGAAAGTGCGTAGTCATGATTATTGATCTCGTTCCTCGCATGGCCAGTATGATGTCCCAAATCTTTCGCCGACTCAATGGATCGATACCGGAGCTTACTTCGTCAATTAAGCAGACCGAACTTCCTCCAGTCATCATCATTGCAAGTTGACACTTCCTCTTCTGGCCACCAGACAGCGTTGCCGTCCTCGCGTGCAGCTTTTGCTCCAAATCACAGGCGGCTATCATTTCAGTCACTTGCGCCTTGGTGTCGAGCTCAGTAGCCTTGAGACGGTTGAAGATGTTCACATGCTCAAAGACAGTTAGCTCTTTCCACATGACGTTCTTTTGGGGACAAAGTCCAATGCCGCCCGTTGCGTCCATCTCGATATGGCCAGCCGTCGGTTTTTGAATGCCAGCCAGACAGTCTAGAGAAGTAGATTTTCCACTTCCATTGGCACCCAAAAGCACCATGATTTGTCCTTTCAAGACGGAAAGGCTGACATTGTCAACCGCGCGAACTGTTTGAGCTGGGTTCTTCGAAAACCTCGATCCGATCGTCCTCGAGAACCAGCCAGGCGGGTAGTGCTTGGACAGCTCTGTAACTTTGACAGTCTCTGCTACTTCGTCGTTCGAATACCGCAGCTGGCGAGACTTGGATGCGGTGCCGTATAGAAGTCTCTCCACCAACGCACCGATTATCGGATAGACCAGAAATTGAATAACGCAGATAATGAAGAAGACGTAGCCTGGAAATTGCCAGGGTGGTCCGGATGCTCGACCGTTGAAGCCACTTGGAGCCCCCTGCATCAGATTGGCGGGCAGGCTGAGTCGTTCCCAGTAAGCGTTGTAGATGATGTACAGCGTGAAGTTCATGGGCGGGAAGATCAAGGCGAGGATGATCGTTGCGCCAGTGCCGGGATCTGGAATGACTTGGATGATGATGGCGAGCACGATCGATGTAATGGTGACAGTAATGCCGGACAGCTGGGCCTTGCTGAACAAGCTAGCAAATGCGATTGACCAGGAGGATAGTGCGAGGCCGGCGAGGATGAAGAACACAATCGGAATGGCAATGCTAGAATGAGGATAATTCAACTGGCCGATTATAGCACCCATGATGACCCACGACGGGAAGTAGAGGATGTCGAAAGCTATATGTAGCGAGGCCAAACGCGCGACTTGSGGGATCCATCGTTGGCGGTTCGGCATCATTGCCTCGATCAGCTGCGACATGCCCAACTCTCTCTCGTGTGCCATGTGGCCTGTGAGTTGATAGCAGATGCCCACGATACCAATAAAGTACGCCAGACCGAGAACATCGATGAGTGTATTCATGTAAAGTCTCGTGATGTTCTCCTCGCGCTCCTTTTGGTTTCGGAGAGTGTATGGAAACTCTTCTGTATCCGGTAGCTGATTGCCGCCAATGGAAGCGATGGCACTGTCGATGGCATGCTGTAAAGGCAGAATGTAGATCTCCGCGGGATTATCGGTTTGGTCAACGAAGACGCTTGTGGAGAATGTCCCGTCACCTCTGATTGTGTAGTTCCACTCCCCGCCCGTTCCCTCCTCGGGCGATGAAGTGAACTCAACCGCAGCAAAACATGGAGTCACACCGCGTAGAGAGCTCGGACACACATTAAGAACAGCGGTCGGGTCTTCAAGGACTTGCACCGTCAGTCCTCCCTCCGTGAGTGGTCCAGATATTTGATCGATGACTTGTGCGATATCGCCATTTGTGAAGCCATTGTTGACGACGGCAACAATCTTCCGCGATCCAGTGCCAGATCTTGCAGCATCGCGAAGAGAGCGCACTGGCGTGGCCGATCCAACGCCAAATGTGGCTGGCGGTACAAAGAAGTTCTTGCTGTATCCAAGAATGAAGACCAGAATGATAGGGGCGAGAAATGCGCGGATTCCAGTTCCAAGCCAATGACGGAAGAAGACGATCGTGATCGTCTTCTGGACCAGTGCCCACGTCTGCCTTACGGCCAACATAGCTGTTAATTGCTTCGCAGCTATCGCGTCTGGGTCTGTTGACGCTCCAGGGAATTCAGGAATCCAGGGATGCTGGAAAAATCAACAAAGAGCCCGACTGTCGCGAAAGAAGACAACTACACGACGATACGGTGGCGTCCCGAAAGACATGGTGCCAAGGACTCAAGACTCGCCATGAATACGCGGCGATGCAAAAAGACACTGTAGAATACTTGGCCCATGGCCCATGACGCTTACACTAGGCGCGGGACGATTGGTCTCCGCGCGGCGCTTGCTCCAGACTTGGCGTGGTGTGTAGTGGCGGAACCATTACTCCGTAGGTAAGCGGACCCGCAGGCACCGAAAGGCGAAGGGAAGTTTGGGATGGAATGCTAGGGAAAATATGGTGACATCAATGTGCACTGTACTGTTTGTTATACATGGAGTCTGATCAAGCTTTGGCAACCCCCATCCCATAATACCTTCCAAGGTTACCTTGCACGAATGTAAACTTACAGGGTGAACCTTCCGTCAGCCCTATGATTAAAGGTATTATTCCGCACATCCCTATTGTTAACAAGGGGTGTCTTACTATCCCCAAGTGACAGCTTCTCGCGTGCTTGCAGCAGTAATGACGGTGTTGGCCCGTCTGGTCAATTTGACACAAGCAACTCAAAGACTGGCTTCCCAACAGACAATAACTTTGAGTGTGCTGTATTCCCAAAGGTCACACCCGATGAGACATCAAGAAGTGCAAGGCCTGCTTCATTCAGTCTCGATGTGAACAGGCATTCACAACTTGACGACCTCCCACCCACGAAGGTCAATCGTTGAAAGCACTCCTCTGAGCGGGCCAGGAACCTCCCTTCCTCCAGCCCACTGCTTAGATCCCGCCCAGTAAGTGATGAAACCCGGTGGGCCACTCACAAAGAGGATCTTCCTGCCAGAGCTCTCACCAGTAGTGGGTGAACCAGACAAAGCGTGTAAAGCGTTCTTGACTTCTTCGGCCTTGACGGCAGTACCTTCTTCGTCGACGTAGTAATCCACGATCAGCTTGGGGTGTTTCTCTTCATCATCGCCGGATCTTCTTTTTAATGATTCCAGCAGCGACACCAATCCTCCTTGTTCGGCGATGGGGAATTTGGCCATGTTCCTCTCCGCTTCCGTAGACCCTTGCCACCATCCCCAAGCACGCTTCGTTGGAAGACTGTCGTTGTAGCCACCTATGCAATCCTCCCTACGTCTGCTTGCCCACATGATGTGCATGTTGGCTTGGCCGTCCAACTTGTCTGCAGCTTGCAGAGCTGGAGCGATACCGGTTCCTCCCACAAGAAAAATGGCACTCGCCACATCCTCCGGTAGCACGTATTCCGATTTCAACCCCCGAATTTCGATCTCAGCATTGAGAGGCAGTCTGTGCAAGAATGACGACACCTCTCCCTTCTGTTCTTTCCGAATCAGGAAGCGTAATTCATCCATATCTTGGCCCTGCTCTTGCGGTAGACATGTGTACGAGCGAGCAATCTGCAGCTGTGGCTGCTTGAACTCGATGCTCGTGATGGCCCGTTCCAGAGATGGGTCGTCCAGATCCACGACGACATTTCCAGCCGGCTTTAGCTTGAATATGGCGCAGGTGGAGGAGACATTATCCTTGCCTACCAGGGTGTATTTGACGAACTCGCCCGGTCTCGAGACTCGTGAATTGTGCTGTGCACCCCTGAGATCATTCAAATACCATCCAAGAGGAGCGCCGACGGCGAAGAGGACGAAGGCAGGCAGTTTCCGCCCGCGACTTTGTGATTGACCACCATTTTCCGTTTGTTCCTCTTGTTTCGGTGGAACGTCTCGCCCCTGCTTCTCCACCTTGTCATGCTGAGGCTGAACGTCGTTGCGCAGTCGGGCGGTGCATTGCGAAAATCGGGCAACTTGTCTGCCTTTCGTCAAGTTGTGGCTCAGGTGACGAATTGGCAGTGACATTGCCTTGCGAGCGCATGTGAAAGTGACTGCGTGCATGAGCTTCGGAGGAAATCCGATGGCGATCGATCGGTGATCGGTACCGTGATGCTCCGCTCCCGACCTTCCCCGCAATCATCATATTGCCACCACCTCACGTCGGCTTGTTGGTCTTCTTTCACGTGTCAATGTTCTTTCGATCATTGGCGCCGAGGCGGACTTGGTGCCACCGCAGCTTGGTACCACTCCAGCTCGGAGGTGAGTGCTGTGCTTTCTCCTCTTCCATCTTGCACTCTGTTACAGTCTGGCTTCAGAACTTTGAATGATCCTCCTTGAAGCGCTTCAACTAGATCTCAATTTTACCGTACGCGATATGTCCACCACCTCTCAGAACATGGCTGCAAGATCATCAACAGAGACCGAGCGTCGCCATCTACTTGCCGGAAGCATTTGTCAATCTGAAACATCGTCTCTTGTCGATGTTGAGACTCTAGATGGCGAGAGAACCCCACGAGCGAGATCACGGGTGTCTGTAWCCAGAGTATCTCAGACACAGCCAAATGACGCGGCAGTCGAAGAATCATCACAAGCTTACAGAGGCTTTCCTTCCCAAGCTCACTATCTCGCTGCGCTGAACTCCTGGGCGGAATCGAAAAGATATGTTGATCCTGGAGATTCAGCACTCAATGGCTACTATGGAACGGTCACAATGCAGGAGTATGCACAGCGGCCTCGAGTATCGTTCGGAATCTCAAGTTGGAAGCAGCAAAGAAAGGAGAAGCGTGATGCCAAACGACAGTCTGTGGCTTGAGTTATCAATATGTGGTTGCGTGACGGCGACCATCTTATTCAGCATGTTTGAAACCAACGACAGGAAGAGTTGCAGAACAACGTGTGGTTATCGCTCCTTGCGCAACTCAACCTGCAGGGTAGAAGCACTTCAATCCCAAGGTGCCACGACTTACTGTGGCCTGAAATGAGGCTCAATTTCGGACCAAGAGCTCGGTGAACTTCGTCCTGATGCAGTCTACACTCATCCGCGTCTGTTCGCCTGTGGGTCTACTCGTCAAACCTCAAGTCTCGCTGGACCACACGGAGAACCGCCGCGATGCGGTGGAGCGCGTTCCGGGGCCGCAGGAAGCCCCCTCACGGCCATATTAGGAGGACTCGCAGAGAGATGAGCAATCGGTGTAGACTCAGCTTCTCGTGCTGGGTGGATGTGGAGTGCAACAACAATGCATTGCTTGCTATATCGTCTGAATCATTCCTCCTCTGGTTCTGCCTTGATCTCATTTGTGAACATCGGCGTGACCTTGTTCTTTCCCCCACTCCCATCATCGCCTTCACTTCCAGTCGTACTGATTGTKCTTGCCCTTTTGCTCAGAGGACTCACTTCGATAGTGTCGTGCAAAAGTGTTTCTGTCGCCGAAAGTCGACTCTTCTCGTTCAAGGTACCCATCGTCTTCCGTGGCCTGCGACTACTAGCACTGCTTCCTCTCCTCGGCCTTTGCTCCCGCGAATGGTACGGATCCGCTGGGTCAGGAGTAGGTGTCCTGGAAATCGACGAGTTCCTTGAGTGGTCGCCACCGTACCTTGAGAGTGATCCATCACGTATGAGACTTTCTTTCCGACGCCTCTCCTTGATACGCTCGGATGACGGTCGATCCTTCAAGGCCAGTTTATCAAGGTCAAGCTGTCGACGGGACTTGCGGCTCGTGAATATTGAAAGCCGGACGTTGCGCCATCCACGCCAGCCTGTCCACCAGAGCCATCCTCCATCCTTGCGTGCAACCTCACGCTTTCGGGATCGAATCAAAGTACGTAGCTGGCTCCTTCGACTATTCTCGCGCTCCCAGTAATCCAGACGGAATGTGTCCCAGCCTTCACGGAAGTCTGGGGAAAAGGGCTTTGGCAGAAGTAGCACTCGTAGAACATCGCCTCCTGGTGCAATATCATCTTCCAATAAACCATGCTTACCGGCATGCGCATTCCAATTCTCGACTTTATTACCGCCCACTTCGATATCTTTGGGCATGACTTGGTAGTTTACTCGATCTTCTCGAAACCACCCCATTTGATCCAACATTGCGAACCATCCTGCGAGCTCCGAAAGGAGCGACCCTTTGACCACCACGACTTTCAGATTGAAGCCTCGAAGACCGCGATTTGTGGTGGAGACAAACTTCCGTGGCCAACGCACACCGCGCTCGTACATGCCRGTTCCCCAGAAGAGCGCCAGTGTGACAACACCAGAGCACCAGCCCAGCTTTTCGGCAGATTCAAGCACCCAGTAAACGCTTCCTCCCACTCCGGAACCATCTTCACGTGGCCGAAAGAAGAGGAGATAGGTAAAGGCTWGCACCCACACGACCAATGTCACAAGCAGGAGCAAGTGCAATCGAAGTCGGGCTCGAAGAGAAACATACTGCAGCCTTAGGGATGATTCCAAGATGAGAAGATTGAGGTATATTTGAGGCGGGCTCGAAGGCAGCGCATCTCTGGGATCATTGGAGTGGCTGTGGATCCCCCCCGAGATGGACGGTGGAAGGGGAGCGGTAATTGAATGTGAATTGGCAGGTCCTGTAGCCCTCGCACTCGCCGCAAGCTGCTCAGCGCTCACGTCAGGCGGTGGAGCGCCTTTGACGATACGATCTATAGGATCGCTCATCCTGATTTGTCGTGGTGGTTGATTTGGGAAGTAATTGCCATCAATGTCGAGAGAGATGGTCAGATTGAGGTTACAGAGACCTTGGCTGCACCCGCGCGGTGTAATACGATCAGCGCATGTTTCTTTCTGGTAGACGGAAGATCTCTTAGAGGTTTCCAATGTTTTCTGATGGCGGCATGTAACGTCGATGGGATTATGTCGGGCGATGTCCTGTGACGAGGACGAAGAACGTGGGCTGGCTTTAGCGACGCGCTCGTTTTCGCTCCCGCTCGGAATCGGATCTCATCCCTAAACTCCGGTGCCAGTCTGTCATCGCGGGACATTAAAACATTCACAACGATTCCATGGAAAGTCGCCGCCTAGGACGCCGGATATAGAGATTCTAACACGCCCACTACATCAGCTGCCACCAAAATAACGAATCTTCAGTTTCATTGTTGATTAGAGGACAAAAGTGGCTCGAATCGCTCTTTGCCCCGCGAGCACTCTGCTCGCTCGATCGTACGCAAGGACAGACACGCCACACCTCAGCATATCGAACGCAGTCGCGAAAGGAACTACCTCAAAGCTCACTAGCACGTCACACTCTACCATGGCTTCTACCTCAGCTTCCAACTCAGACGACATTAGCCGCACGCAACCAGGGGGCAAATCGATGCTCGCAAGGCAACGTGCAAAAGAAGAGGCTGAAGCGAACGGTCGTCAAGCTCCAAAGGGTGGATGGTTTCCTCTGGGCTACAAGGATGGTTTCTCCCAATGGTGGGCGTCACTCACACCAGCGGTGACCGAGCACAAAGTCATGACTTTCATTCCATACCTTCAACAACCACCTACGCACATGCAGACTGGCAGCACCCCGACGAGCCCGAGCGCGAGCATGACACAGGTTGACCAGATCCAGGAGCCTATACAGCGGACGAGCAGCGTGAACGATCCCCACGGACCTCGACAGTGGCAATCACAAATGGTACAACTGCAGGGAAAGAACAGATACTTGAACGAGTTCAGTGTAGAGAGGCTAGGAGAGCAGACGGACAACAACTTGGTTATGCTCCACGGATATGGAGCTGGACTAGGCTTCTTCTACAAGAATTTCKAGGCACTATCTCGCTTGCCTCATTGGAAGCTATATGCTCTTGACATGCTGGGCATGGGAAGAAGTAGTAGGCCAAACTTCAAGATCAAAGCCACCGATAAGGRGGCAAAGGTGCGAGAAGCCGAGAGCTGGTTTGTCGATGCTCTGGAGGAGTGGCGTGTCAAGAAGGGTATTGACAAGTTTACATTGCTGGGTCATTCCCTAGGAGGCTACATGGCTGTCTGCTACGCCCTCAAATACCCTGGCCACCTGAATAAGCTAATATTGGCCTCTCCGGTGGGAATTCCAGAGGATCCATATGCAGTCAATGAAGCTATGCCGGAGCCTAGCGATAGCACCATGGCCAATGAATTTACAGAAGACGCGGATTCCAAGACGAAGCTGAAACCTCGAAAACCGCTGCCGGGATGGCTCACAACTTTGTGGGATGCAAATGTCTCACCATTTTCCCTTGTCCGTTGGACAGGACCAATGGGACCACGCCTTGTCTCTGGCTGGACGTCCCGTCGCTTTTCGCACCTACCGGCCGAGGAATCGCAAGCACTCCACGACTATAGCTACTCGCTTTTCCGACAACGTGGCAGTGGCGAGTACGCTCTAGCTTATGTCCTCGCACCTGGAGCGTTCGCAAGAAGTCCTCTGATTCGACGCATACATGGCGTAGGCCGCCAATTGCTGCAAGTCCACAACGAGCCTTCCCCGGATAATTTGGGTGACCAAGACTTGACTGCTGCYGTGGCACACAAAGCCCGAGAAACAGGCATTCCTGTGGTATTAATGTATGGCGAAAACGACTGGATGGACGTGGCAGGTGGCTATGCCGCCGAAGAACAGATCAAACGAGAGAAGAAGAAGGCATTGGCGCAGGCGAGCGAAGAGGAGAAGCAGAGAGAGAATGGAGATGTCAAAGTAACTGTGATCGCAAAGGCCGGTCATCACCTTTACTTGGAAGGGCATGAGCAATTTAACGAGGAAATTCTGGGAGAAATGAGAGATGTTGAAAGAAGACAGAAGCGTTTGATGAAACTATAGAGGCGCCGAGTTGGTTTTGTTCTTTTCGCGGGCACAGCGAGGCGTTCGAGTTTGGGTTTCAATAGCACGCGCCTACAGGCATTGGACATTAGAACATACCTTACATGCTAGATGAAGAGGCAATTTATCCCGCTGTTGATGATACGATTGGAGGATGTCTGCCGCGATCTTTTAATTTAAACTTGATGGCCAAAGATCCGCTTTACTTGCGAGAATCGGTTCGCTGTCGACGTACCAGCGCTGTGGTTCTCGAGAGGACGACGTGAGTCTGAAAAAGTTCCGATCCAAATAGACGCGGTAGAGATGGAGGTGTTGTGACGAAAAGTGGTCCCTCGGGTGATCGAGATACCTCCCGTCGTGGTACGAGCGGCATCGCCAAGCCACGCTGAGTCACCAAAGTGTGCAGCACATCCGAAATCCATCACGACGCAACATCACTTCGCCATCCAACTAATCACACAGGAAGATCGACACGAGTAAGTACACCCGCGGCGCAGAAGTGAGAAATATGCGTCGAATATTTACTAACGAGATGTCCAGTGCAGATGTAGGCCTCCCACCGCGCGAAATCTCGAACGCCCCCGCTCGAATGCGCAGTACTGACCGCAGAAACTCTACAGCTTTGTCAAGACTCTGACTGGCAAGACCATCACCCTTGAGGTGGAGTCTAGCGACACCATCGACAATGTGAAGAGCAAGATTCAGGACAAGGAGGGAATTCCCCCAGACCAGCAGCGCTTGATCTTCGCCGGAAAGCAGCTTGAGGACGGCCGTACCCTGAGCGACTACAACATCCAGAAGGTGCGCAAATTGGAGATGATGGGTAGAATTGAAAGGTGGAAGAGCACTGTGATCTGACAAACAAGTAGGAGTCCACTCTTCACTTGGTGCTCCGTCTTCGTGGTGGTATCATCGAGCCATCTCTCAAGGCTCTTGCCTCCAAGTACAACTGCGACAAGATGATCTGCCGAAAGTGCTACGTAAGTGCATGTAAAACAACAACCGGGGAACTCGCTGACTTCAGCGACAGGCTCGTCTTCCTCCACGTGCCACCAACTGCCGTAAGAAGAAGTGCGGACACACCAACCAGCTCCGCCCCAAGAAGAAGCTGAAGTAAACTATTCGCTCGGAGAGAGGTCGGAGTTTGCGGTTGTTGTGGGTTCGAGGAGTACGATTGCATGGATGGTCGAAGCAGCAAACGCTCAAAAGACGAAACAGTATGCGGTGCATTGCTCCTACATTTGAGTGAGACTCATCAACTACGAAATGGCACTGCCGTGAAATGAAGAAATGGTTCAATCTCATCTACAGAACGTCCTTGAACGTGGCAAGGTTCACATCATCAGGCTTCTGCTGCCAGAACCGCCACCACGTTGCCGCCATATCTGTCTTCTGCTCCGGACCAAAGTACGCTGCGAAGGTGTCTTTCAGGATGTCTTCTTCAAGCTGCATATGGTCTCCAGGCGTCGTCTTGAAGATAAGACCGCCTTTCTTGTCCAACTTCTTCAACCCAACCCAGTCCTCTTTGTACATCTTCCTGTTCCTCAGCGGCGTCACCTCTCCACTTGTCGCATTCACTTCTGCGAACCACCCACTCTCTTTGGGAATCACCGTGGTGTCATTCTCAAACACAAACATGACCATTGTCTCAAGACTAGCCAGTCTGGTGTTGTACGTCGCATTTCTGACGTCTCGCTCGTTGTTTATGTCCGCCAGAAAGTTGCTGTGCTTCAAGTAATCGTCGCTCGCAAGTCCTGTGGTGTCGTTGATTGTCCGATAGTACTGCGCAGGCACGACATGAGACTGTGCGTAATCCGTCCAAGCATTACCCCGTATCAACGCCAGAGCGCCTTTACAGACAAAATCCCAAGTCCCACAGGCCTTGATCTGTGCAATACCATTGTGCTGGCTTCCGAAAGTCACCAAGCTACGCATGCTGAGTCCGTTGCAGCGTTGGAGGAGGCCACGCAAGAATTGCCCCCCTTGAGAAAATCCCAGTGCATCCACTCGTACCTCGCCTGTCTTCTTATCTTTTAGCTTCGGGTCATCGTGTAGAGCTTGGCAGACTGATGCCACCTGCTCGGTCAGGTTCCCAAGAAATGTGGCGCTTCTGTCCTCGCCGCCATCATCGTCGATTCGAATGTAGTAGACGTATGTCCCTGGATACACCTCCTGAGCAAGCTCGCCGACTGAGTGCAAGCCATCTGCATCATATCGATCGCCCAATCCATGCCAGATGACCAGAGGAAGTGGCTGCGGTTCAACAGAGGATGGAAGGGCTGCACAGTAGCTCAGAGCGCAGAGCACTGCGGGGAGCGCGAAGAGATGCATCGTCGCAGCTGGTGGTATTCGCTATCAATAGTTTTGGTTGTCAAGAAGCGCAGACCGTCTGAATGGCAATGGCCTCCAGGGCGAGTATGGGTGTCTTCACGAGACCGATCGAGCATCGCGACGCCGCATTCGACTATTCCGGGTTAGAGCCTGCTGACAGACATCGCACTAATGGCGAGCTTGGCTGAACGTCACGTCATCTCGATGAGGGACAGAGCAGATCACAACAATCAACACCAACACCAAAAACTGGATGAACAGCACTTGATTTTCGTATCTACCATCTTACTCCCGTTATCCATAAAGGACCGTCGCCATGTCTGGCTTAACGTTACAACTATTCATAGCAAAGCACAATCAGCAGCGGTCGTGCGCGCGAAGCCACGCCGCATCGTCCCCCCAACGTTGAAACGCGAAACCAACCAAGCCGCCCACGGAGACGGAAACGGAAACGCCTTTTGAATGCAAACATGCGCTGAGCATCATCATTGGCCGTGAAATCCAACGCGATCGCTATGCTGGGGAATCATCGACACAGAAGGGAAAACAGAATTGCCAGTCGAAAGGCGCAATCGATGCGCTAACATGACGAGCGATAAGATATGTGTGCGCTCAGTGACGCGGACGCTTCCAATAATATTGCTGGGTGTATGGTCAGTATGAGATGCATTGCAAGTTTGACTCGATTGGACACACCTTATGCTGCTTACGAGCAGCGCGAATGCTGGTTTTGCCCAGGCTTTGGGTGACGGTATCCCGGCGATTGGCATCGTTATCCATCTCGGGAACATAATAGAATTCGCTTTCTAGAAGCTTGCCGGCGGCATCTTTACCCTCGCGACTGATCTCGCCAACGCATGGGATGTCATCGAGCAGTGTTTTGAGCTCACACGTGGTGAGGACATTTGGATTCTCATTATCCGATGGCTTGACCATGGCCCCGCGAAGCTCGGATGGGAGATTGCTGTGGATGGTAGAGAGCGGCAGTGAGTGGATGCGAGAGAACGCAAGCTGGTTAATGACGTGGTTTTTAATCGGACTGAAGTTGATAGGCGGGATGGCAACACTACGCCCTGGAGAGTTGAACGACGCCGCCAGAGGTTTACGTTGACGTTCTGGAGAGCCTGAGGTAAAGGACTCGAATCGAGACATGATATTCTCACCGAAAGGGCCAAAGGAATGAACGATGGGGTCGTTCTCTTCGTCGTGCTCGGAGAAATCCTCCGTCTCGGATGCTACAGTAGCATGAGACTGGGTCAGGAGGTTGGATGGCGCCGACATGGAATGCTTTGGAGTGGGTGTGCCATCACACAACGGCTCGGGAGTGGAGTCGTGAGGRGCGTCTTCGTCAGAGTTTGTGTCCTCGTATACCTGCACTGGACCGGCGGCATCGGCGCGGAATGTCGACGCGAAGGTGGCTCCAAAGCTGACATCTGGTGTCGGTGATACCGGCGAGGCCGGACGTGCCATGCTCATCATCGGCGGTGGGCTAGATGCGAAGTGGGGTACTGACGCGGTGTGGCGCTTGGATGGCGAGTCCGCAGCCCATGGTGATCTCGATTCGACCGAGGGTGCGTCGCGTGCGCCCTCCACTGGCCATACCAGCATCACCCGAGTATCTTGCACATCGACGATGATCTGGTCTTGCGGCTTGCCAGAAACAAACTGTTCACCCTTTGCCAACTCCACCACCTCTCCGCGGCAATGCACCTTAGCTCCGTTCCAACCCAAACACTCTACCTCCACCTTGCCTTGTGGATATGACGAATCGGCGGCGTGAAATGAAGCACGAACGTRGATTCGTGAGATATGGCGGTTGGCGGACAATTGGTAATCCGAAGAGTTACTTGAGCGTCCCATAAGGACCGGCTCGCCATTGGCGTGGAGGTCAAGAGACGGCACATCGCCAAGGGGAGCGCGTTCTGAGAGGACAGAGACGGTCCGTTGCAGACCTGGACGCGTACGACGCGAAGGGGGCGATGAGGGCAGGATACCCGTGGATGATGTAGGTACAGGTGTAGGGTAGTACTTGCGGTCGTCCAGTGCATCGTCGAATTTGCGTTTGGCCGCTCGTGGGAGGCCAGGCGAAGAAGAGAGCGGCTCGAAGGCAGGTAGCAGTGATGGACGACGTGGTGCGGCGTCATCACGTTCCGTCGACAGCATTGCCGCCCTCTCGCTGCCAGGTAGTCCTGACATGATCTATGCACGCTGTAAGGACGCGAGAGCCTAGCGGCTGAGCACGCAGCAAATCGCGAGAATTTGGTGCTTGATATCGGCGCGTAGGACCGTGATTTGTGACGTGTAGAGCGATGCTATTAGTTTGGGTCCTTGCCCATTGTGTAATGAAGAAGCATGGAGGAGGGAGAGTGGTTTTGAGAGTGCAGTGGCATGCCAGAGAAGAGAATGTAGGAAGAGGAGCGCGTTTAGAAGGTATCGCGTAGCGGCGCACAGACGCTACCGGCCGTGCKGGTCCGCAGTTTCGATCCGCCGACAACGATTTCCAGCTTGTAAAAAGTATGTTTCACACTCCCAAAACACGGCCATATGGAAAGACCAGCTGGTGAATGAATGAAATTGAGTCGTTCTTTCCTCGTCAGGAAATTTCAAGAGAAACACTGTCAAGATCAATGGAGATATGTCATTCACTATTTTGTGAAAGCACTAGCGTGTATAACCCCACTCTCTGGCCTCTTTCGCGTTCCGCACAGCTCACGCGTTTGATGGCTGGGAAAAAGGACCAGTCAAAGTTCACCGCCGACAAGCATTGCACCACGAAGTATGACTGGTGGGCGATGCACGGCTCTCAAACGGATCCAATAGTCAACTGACGTATACGAATCGCGGCCGATTCTCGAAACGGTGCCTAGACACACGCGACGCCGTGCAACGCTGTACCAAGCGCGGGTAACGACATCTCCTATCCCACCAAGCAGACACACGAGCGTGCCCGCAGTATTGTAAACTTCCCCGAACCATAAGGAAGGTTCCTCGATGCTGCCGTCGCTGCTTGGCTCGGCTCTTGACGGTGGACATCTTTCGGCCAGTCACCATGACCATTCATAATACCACCTAGCCTGTGGGTCTAGCATCAGGGCCTATACAGTAGCCCACTAGGCACGAAAACTTTTCCCTCGAAGCTTACAGGACATGAGAGTCATCGCAGCGAGCCCAGCGAGCTGCCGCCCGAAACTTATCCACATACCGCTCATCATGCTTGGTAGTGTTGGTACGCCAGTGACGCGGATGACAGCATTACAGCAGCATTCTTCTTGCCCTGCATTGTTCTTGGACCTTGCTGGTGGATGAAAAATTGGCGGCAAGTTTGTGACTGTGTATGGAGCACAACCTCTGGCCGTACCTTTGCTGCTCTCTTCTGCTCGTACCGTTATTAGTAGCGCTTACTTTGCCTTTTGTTATGCATGTACTAGACTACAGGCCACCGTAGGCGAGAGTTCTCGACCTCGGACTCTCCCTCGCCCATTAGGACTTGTCATACGTCCTTGATGTCACGAACACGGTGACCAGCTCCCGATCTGAATTAGACAGCCATCGTCTTACGGAGTACCCTCTTTCGAAGACGACCATCCTACAGGAAAATGTCATGGATTGTTGAGGTGGCTATTAACTTGTATCACTTGAGCAGACCGCATTTATAACATCGTGTAGAACGTTGTCAACCTCAATAACTGGCGGCATGGAGTGCCAAAAATCAAGGCCAATCTCAAGAAAGATGATAACCCGCTTCGAATTGGTGTGCTCTCAGCAGCAGCAATCAATGGTGTTGCCATCCTAGATCCCGTCCAGACCCATCCTGGAAGCATCATAAGTGCGATCGCAGCCCGCGATATATCCAGAGCTCAGGCACAAATTGACGCATGCAAGTTTGGCAAAGAATGCAAAGCATATGGGTCGTACGCCGAACTTCTTGGAGATCCAAACATCGAAGCCGTGTACATCCCTTTGCCAAATGGTCTCCACGCAGAGTGGACAATCAAGGCCTTGGAAGCTGGCAAACATGTCCTAGTCGAAAAACCGATCGCAGCCAATGCTGAGGAGGTCCGGAAGATTGGAGAGACAGCAGCGCGAACCAACAAATTTGCTGTCGAGGCCTTTCACTGGCGTTTCCATCCCGCCGCTCACGCCGTTAAAGACATGGTCGAGAGTGGCAAATATGGCAATGTTACCTCGGTCTTTGCCCAAATGAAAATACCACGCGGTGGCGTCGGGAAGACTGACATTCGTTACGACTATGCTTTGGGCGGTGGATCAAGCATGGATTTGGCATATGTTTTCTCGGCGTGTTGTTATTTTGCCAGCTCTGACATTGAGAACTGTACCTTTGGTGTCCAATCAGCGGTGCCTCGTCTGAGTAGCACCGACAAACGGATCGATGAAGCTATGGAGAGCAAGTTCACCATTGAGCAGGCGGGCAAGCCTTCTGTAAATTGCCACATACAAACAGACTTGGCGATACCGCCGTTTCTAGGCCTGATACCAAAACTCTGGATGCTTAGTCCTAGCGTTTGCGTCGAGTTGGAGAAAGCGAAAATCGAGTTCACCAACTTTGCGCTTCCTACAATAGGACATTCAATTTTCATAACAGAGAAGGATGTTGAAGGGCGCTTGACTGGCAAGAAGCGTACAGAGACTTGCTTCACAGGGGGACATTGGGAAGCGATCGGTGTCTCAGGGGAGAAATGGTGGACGACTTACCGGTACCAGCTTGAATCATTCGTACGACAAGTCCGCGCAAAGGAGTCTGGTCAAGTATATGGAGGTCCCAACGTAGCTTTGTCTGATGGCGTGAAGATGATGGAGCTGATTGACTCTGTCTATGACAAGGCAGGTCTACCTAAAAGAGGCATCTAATCTGCGTTGGACGGTCAGAGTTATTGCACAGCCAGAGTCGCACTCGAATAATTCTCGCACGCATTCTTATTGATTGTTGGCTGATGTCAAGCTATCGCGCTTGGCTCGTCACTGGATCTCCCCGAACGCGCGCTGCAGAACAATGCCTTGATGTAATCCCTCACTTCACACGGCATGTTTTCTCATTCAGAGCCTTTGCTACTGTTCGTAGCGTCGCTCAAGCCGCGTTTGTGCTTGGGATGTTTCTTCCGGGGAGAGGCAGAAGAGCTCCTGTCGAGGCCATCCTATGGTCTGAAAGACGTCAGTTGTGAAGTTATACGCAATCGGAACGAAGTGCCACAGCGGAAATGCCTTACCTCGGACTGAGATTTCCACTGCGAATAGGAAGCAGAGCTTCCCTGGACTCCGGCGTGCTTGCTCCAGCCGGAGTCCCCAAGCCGCTGAATGGCGACGCAGTCCCAGAAGGTGGAACGGGAATTCTGATGTCCTGAGGGCTGCTCGGAACGATCAACTGCGGCAGGTCGGGAATGTGAATGCGTTTCGCGCTGTTGTTGTATGAAGCAGGAATGATCTCGATGATTTCGTCACGTGGAAACTCCAAGCTTGGAATGTCATGGGCGGAGCAGRCCATGAGGTATCCGTATAGCACTCGTAGGACAGATTCGTGAGCGATGATGAGTAAATCATTCTGCTCGCGCTCAAGCTCGAGAATGATAGGCTCGAGGCGAACGGCGAGGTCGTGGTATGACTGGGAGGGACGGATGTCAGTGGGACGCAACAAACTAATGCAGCATTACAACAAGCTTACCTCTGCTCGCGGGTAACGATGATGATATGGATCCTGCTCGTGCTTCGACACTTCCTCGGGGAAGATTTCGCGAATTCTCCGCTCGCTCAACTTCTCACACACGCCGGGGTTCAACTGACTCATTTGGCTGCGCTGACGAACACGGTAGCCTTTGCTCTCCAAATATGAAGCAGTCTCAACGGTGCGTTTCCGTGTGGATGTCCAGACGGTCAATGGCTTCAGCGCGGTTGATTCCGGTGCGCCATGCTTGACCAGATTCTCTCTTTCAGACTCACGGTGTGCAATGAGAGCCTCGGACATTTTGCGAGCGTAGTCTTGTCCTTCTGCGCTCAGACTTGCATCGCCTTTGTAGCTTTCTTCTGCTCTGGTTGTACCAGCACGACAAAAGTACGTTTGCCGACTCTTGATGTGAAGGTTCAGCAAATAGAAGACGATTCGCTGAGACAGATAGCCAAACGCGCAATTGTTGACGATTACACGCTCCCCCGCGTTAATCATCTTCACGTAGTGCAGGTCAGTCTCTTCAACCGACTCAAAGTGCGGAATGCGTGCGTTTATACGCCGGAGGTAGTCCTTAACCGCGTCCTCGGGCTTCCATCCGATGTAGTCGGGAGAGCTGATCTTCACTGATCGCACATTCTCCTCAATGATGCGCTCGTCCGTGCAGTGGCTTTCAATGAACATGGTCTGAACGTTGTGCTTTTCAAACTCCTTGGCCAGCGCCCGACGTCCAGTTGCCAATGGGTTGACCGCGTCGAAGATGGCAATCTGCCCATTCTCATGATTGAGGAAGTGGAAGATGTCTTCTCTGCACTTCTTGAGGATCTTGTTGCGTAACAACACGGAAGACGTGGAGGCGTTGACGTGAAAGTAGTCGTCTGGGACTTCCCCTTGAGCTCCGACAAAGTCACGGCGATAGTCTCCGAGATGAAATATGCGGGTCTTGACACCCAGCCACCGGAGGTAGCGCGCAAGCGCTACACTGACATGTGTCTTTCCTCGTGCGGGCAGTCCGACGGTCGCAATGACAATCCTGCCAGAGTGGAACAGTCTTCCAGACTCGGTGGAGTAGAGTTGAGCAGGCGCCATAGACTCCTTCTCCGGCAGGTCGTGGATGGCATCGATATATGTACTCGATCGCCGCCTGAAGCTGGACGAGTTTGCTGCCAGGTCGGCCGTTCTTTGTGTAATTCGTCAGCCAACATGATATGCGGACTTGTTTGGAAAAGCGCCAAACTCACAATAGTGTATCCATGTCGAATKATACGCTGCGGGTGCAGGCCAGTCGAGGATGTTAGTGTCCGCAATGTATGGTAGGCTCGCCAGCGCCTACCAGCTATGTACAGCTTTCAACGAACAACGCTGGAAGCTGAAAGATTCTACGTCGCGGGAGTAAGATGTCGAGGTCCCTCGGCAGAAGGCAAGTTCTTGTTTGGCTGACGATAACGCTCTGAGGTCAAAAACAACTCACAAACCAGAGATTGCAGTTGAAGTAACGGGATTGGGCGCAAGAGATAGACACTCTCCTTCGATTGTATTTTCGGTCGACGGTCACACAACGTCCTCCAGTCGAATGTGTAGAGAGTATCTAGGTAGGTACACATGTGAAAGCATAGATACCACGTCGTAGGTAAGAACGAGTCGCGGTGACGCTCATCTTACTAAGTCGCGCGCGCAACATTGTTCTTGGCGAGCTTCCGAAGAATCGTACAGACATCTGCAACTCCACCACCCACACCTCCCCCATCATCGCTCATCCTCGCCGTCCATCTCCTCGGAAGCGCCCGCTCAAACATTCACTTGGTGGCATCATCTCTTCCACAGASTCAGCAGCGCGCACATATCCAGCATGGCGGCAGCACCTCCTTTGGAAAAAGTAGCTGTCCCCGTCGAGGTCGAAGTTCTGCCACCTGCGACACTTGTTGTGCCGACACGGACAAATGGCTTTTTGGACACCATTCTCGACACATACAGCTCCTTCCAGGCGCGGAGAGACGCGCTCGGTCTGCGAAACCCCGGCACGGTCGATGCGATAGCGAAGGAGGTACAGCGTGATGTCTTCCTGACCAACCAGACATTTTCCGGCCTGCGCGCCGAGCTCAACAAGAGCTTCTCCATTCTGCCACTCTTCCAGATTAGCCATGCCTTCTCCAGCGGGTCACAGCTGCTTTCGCCTTACACCTTCCTCGCTTTGTACGGAACCAACAACGTATGTATTGGTATTTGAAGCATGGAGGAAGCCTTCCGATCTAATGCCATCCCAAACAGATCCTCTGCCAGGCCCAACTCGACTCCGATGCCTCGTTTAATGCTCGATTCAACCTCCGCCTCACTCAACGCCTCATCTCCAAGGTCTCTGTGCAAATCCAGCCATCATCAATGTCTGGCCCAGGTGGCGCACAGGTTTCTCTCGAGCAAGACTACACTGGTGATGACTTCACTGCTTCGTTGAAGAGCATCAACCCGAGTGGACTCGAGGGCGAGCTCACCGGCATGTTCATCGGATCATACCTGCAGAGCGTAACCCCCCGGTTATCTTTGGGATTGGAGGGTGTTTTGCAGAAGCCTGGGGGTGGCATGGGCCCTGACGCAGCAGTTAGCTACGCTGGACGTTACAAGGGTGATGATTGGATCGCCAGCGCACAGCTCATGCCTCAAGGAGGCTTACAGTTGAGCTATTGGAAGAGGCTTATGGACAAGGTGGAGACTGGTGTGGATGTCAACCTGCAATTTGCCGGCCTTTCTGGCGCAAACCCAATGATGGGAGGCGCACGAAAGGAGGGTGTGGCTACTTTGGGCGCAAAGTACGAGTTCTCACGCTCCATCTTCAGAGCGCAGGTCGATAGCCAGGGCAAGCTGGGATGTCTGCTGGAGAAGGTTGTCGCCCCACCCGTGAGAATCACCTTCGCCGGCGAGCTCGATCATGTCAAGGTATGTRGATGTGAGGAAAGCAGGTCTCTACAAATACTGATAATCTTTCCTAGAACTCTGCTAAGCTTGGACTTGCCGTGTCCATCGAGGCCTCAGGTGAGGAGCTCATGGAACAGCAAGAGCGGATTACGCCTGCCATTCCTCCATTTTAAGCGTGTCGCTCCGGTGGATGATACTCTTCTCTCTGTATAATAAAAGTTGCTGCCAGTAACCGTATGCGTCAGCCACGCGCGGTTGGCTGTTGTCGAGATGGAGCCACTTTCTCGTGCGTACTTTGAAGCGCAATGGGTTGGGATCTTCTGCATAGCGTGATGTGTAAGCAAAGTGAAGCAGCAGGCGCAGTGTAATGCTAGAGCATGGGGAATGTACATTTACAACTTGAAGAACGTCGCCTTCACATGCATGCCAGTAGAGACGATGCTGTACAATGGCAGTTGAGATCGGCGCTAAAAAGAAGCGTTCACTTTAGCTGCCTCTCCACGCTTCCGGCTTGATAACAAACAACGATTTGCAAAATGGAACCAACCAAGACCGGACTGCAAATACCTGTCATCGACATCAGCTCCACCAACAAAGATGCTCCTCAACAGCTCCTCGATGCGGCATGCCGCTTCGGCTTCGTTTTCATCGCCAACAATCAAGCTGGGATTGCACCAAAGTTGATTGCAGAGTTATTCGATCTCTCAAAGGAGTTCTTCGCTCTACCGACAGAAGTGAAGCAAGCAGTATCCATCAGCTCCAACAAGGCCGGCAAAAATTACGGGTGGCTGAGTCAAGGTGTCGAGAAGCTCGATCCCAAGACTCAAAAACGGCCAGATGTGAAAGAGTGAGTTGGTAGCAGTCATTCGCAAGGCTATCACTGACAATCAGACAGGGCATTTAACATGGGAATTCAAGTCGATGCACAATTCGAACAACCCCTCCCGGAGCTAATTCAGCAAAATGTAGAAAAAGTAGTGGCTTTCCAAGTAGCCTGCCATGGTCTTTGTCAACGAGTACTTGAAGCCTTCGCCATCGCCCTAGAGATCGACAAAGATTGGTTCACCTCCCGGCACGATGCAACGAAAGGCCCTATAGGTTCCATTTTTCGACTACTCTACTACCCCAAAGCTACCGAGAAACACGACGATGTTGATATTCGAGCGGGAGCTCATAGCGATTACGGCAGTATCACTTGCTTATTCCAACTTCCTGGCCAGCCGGGCTTAGAGATCAAGACGCCTAGCGGAGAGTGGGCAGCTGTGCCTGTTGATCCGCTGGGAAGTGGCAATATAGCAGATTTGCCTATTCTCGTCAACATCGGGGATTTGCTGGAAGATTGGACGGGTGGGTTACTTAAATCGACGGTTCATCGAGTGACGTTTCCAAAAGAAGATGGTGGGGATCGTTATTCTATTGGTGAGTTGTGGCGTGAAAGATGTTATGATCATGACTGATGTTTTCTGATATCCAGCCTACTTCTGCCATCCACTGGATGAGGCTTTGTTGGAACCAGTACCTAGCAAAGCAGTCGGAGAGTACGCGAAAACTCATGGTAGCAAGAAAAGCGCGTCAAATGGCAAGGTCATTACAGCCCGGGACCACCTGATGGAGAGGCTGGCCGCGACATACAGTGTTTAGCAAGTTCCGAAAACGACGATCATCGTCAAACCAGKGACGATATGCAACTAGATGGGAACGATCTATGATATCTCGTTCATTCCACAAGATGTCTATGCGAACTAATCTTTGGGTATCTTGAAGCAGATATCCTCGCCTTGCAAGGTTAAGCATAATCCTGCTCTGCTTCATCCATCGTCAAGTATGAGTGCTGTTATTCGTCTCCACGCCGTTATGCATTCAACAATCATTGATCATCGCTAACCGTGCAAGCAAAAATTGAATGATCTCGACCAAAGAATTCCTCCAAACGCAAAACAGGATATATTTGTGCTCCTCAATGGAATCCGCCATGCGTAGTCGAATTGAGAAGTAGCTCCAGCATATCTTGCCCGCCAAGCTGCGGACCGTACATTGTCTGGTCGACGTCTGCACCGGAAATGTTCAAAAGTGGATCCAATGGAAGCGCCAGCCAATCCTGCATTTGTGGATTGTCGAAGCCATTTGACATGCCATACGGATCATAGCTTCCACCTCCAGAACCAGAGCCCATGTTGGAGATTCCATTGGGCGAATTCGTGCCGAATCCTGGAGGGGGCATGACAGAATATGTATTTTCACTCCCCGTCAAGTCGTAAGTATCATTAKAAATGCCGTAAAGTGGATGGTTGTTCGCAACCGTTGAGGGAGGAAGCATAACGTTGTTGTAATTCCAGGGGTTCGGGTTCGGCGTCGCTCCGGCGCTTGCTTGGGCCTGTTGCGGCTGGCCTTGCTGTCTAACGTTCGATGTTCCGAACGGGGACTGAACAGCGTGAGAGATCCCCAGATCACCGACATTACTTGCGCGACGACTTCGGCCAGCACGGCCATCAGCGGCGATTCGGACCAGACGTGGTTTGAGATTCTGAGTCAGCGTGTCAAGCAGATCCGCGAAGCGACTAGCTACGTGGACATCGTCGACGATGCAAGTTCTAAGTGCCTCGACAGTGCGGTCCATGAGGGTCAGAGATTCGGTGACATCACTTTCGGTCGCTCCGAGCGAGAACGACTTGAGCAACATGATGGCAACACTGATGATGCGGAAGTAGGTGCGGACAGGAGCATGGCGTAGGAAGCCGTCCGGAAAGAGGTCTTCGACAACAATCTTGAGCAGGTTCCGGGAAGCATCGCCTACAATGACAATGTAGTGTCGATCTCCCCCGAGCCACTTCGACAAGGTCGAAGGGGCTATGGCAATGTCAGGCCGTCCACCGGCGGCGGCAGCAGCACGTGCCATCTCCAGAGGGGGGTCCACAACCTGCACTGGTGAAGGATGATCATTTGCGCAACGTTCAGCGACAGCCTGTAGCGCCAATGCGTTGAGATAGACACGACAATACTCATACTCAATCTCAAGGATAGCCCGCATATGTTTAGGGATCGATTGGCAAGCGTCAAAGTCCTGCCGCCAGTCTTGGAGTAGAGGCTGAAGCTGTGCGAGCGCAGCCTGGTAATTACCATTCCGGATCAGATCGCGGGTGAAGGCCTTGTTGGCGAAGATCTTGTTGTTTCCTTCACGCATGACAGATGCCATTCGCAACCAGAAGTGAAGTGTGACCTCCTGAATGCTGTCCTGCTGACCGACCTGCCGCTTGTACAAATCGCTGTCATCTGGCTTACTGTAGTATCCCGGAAGCATCGACGTCAAACCTAGACGCCCACTAGTTTGAGTCACGTAAACCAGAAGGAGGTCCCGAACATTCCCACGCCGCTTGTCGTAGGAAGACATGTCCGCTGCTGATAAAGGCTGACCATCTGGAGCGCGGGCATGACGCTGCCATTCGCTCTTGTCGAAAACACCAATCTCCATGGCAAGAGACATTGCCATTCCGAGAAGCATCCAGCACATGCGATCACTCCGCCAGCAAGGCTCGAGCCAGGCGTCCATGCGATGCCCTCCGATTCCCTTGCCTCCTCCTGAGGCTGCCATCCCTGGCACTCCGTACGGCACTTCGGGAATCATGAGGTCATCGTCGTCCTCGTCTGGTGGGAAGTGCATGGCTCGAGGGTGCCACTCTGTGAGCAACACCAAAGACTCAACAGTTCCCAAGGTCCGCAGCCCTTTGCGGGTAAGAGGGTGTACATCGCAACCAGGTTGCGCACCAGCACCACAGAAACCTCCACCGAATTGCTCCTGTCCCCATACTACACGGTCTATCATACCGGAGAGGTAATCCCAGAGTTTCTGGTGAATGGCGTACGGACGGCTTTGAGAGCCTGGTCCCTCAAACTTCATGTGGCGAGAAGCGATGGTAAGCATTGATACAGTCAGCATAGGCTCCTCCTCGAGCATCTTCCGGTGACTCCCAGGCTGGCGAAAGTCGGGWAGCGCTACTGGTGTAAGTGGCGCCAGGTGCTTATAAAAGTACAGAATGTAGTCGATGCCCTCTTGGGCAGTGAACCAACCAGCACGTACAAATCGGAATCGGGTCCACGCTTTCAGAGCGGATGCATACGAATTGGGGTCGTTTGGCATAGCTTCAGGGAAAGAGCCGTTTCTTGAGGCAGCTCGATCTGTGGTTGTTTTCCACAGCCCGTCATTTTGGAACATGGCCAGAGGGCCATTGGTGTAACTCACATTCTTCTCCAAGATCGGGCTAGTCGATGGTGGCAGAGAGGCTGCCGTGAAACCATTGAAAGCGGGGCGTGCGGCGCTGCTGGCTGAACTGTCAGCCCTGCCGTGTACGGCGGCGCTGTACAGCAGCTTGAGAGCATCGTGGCCGCCATGTATCTCCGCCTGTTGCAGGATTGCCGCAGTCTGCTCGCTCGCCTTCTCATCCTCTTCACCATACTGCACCGACTTGGGCGCAGGCGGCCTCCGCAAGGGCTGCGTACGTCCTATCGAACCGCCTGGAGTGCGGGGTGGCTCCTCGTATTCGACATCCTCCCGCTCGACAATCTCTGGATCTGGTGGAGCGGACGTCCGTTGTCTTTTCCTATTGCTACGAATCTCATATGGGGTTTCGTCACCCGCATCCGAACCCGTAATTTCGCCATTTGCACTCTTCTTCTTGCGCCGTGTGGCGGAGAAGTAGCATTCTTTGGCCTCTCGTCGACAGCGCGTGCATGGTGGGTCGTGGGGWCTATCCACGGATCCCAGATCGCAGCGAACCTTGCGTTGTCTGCATGGTATACAAGCTATCCCGCTATCAGCATGTTTTCTTGGGTCTACTTGTCTGCAGATCGGCCTATTTACCCTGATACGTGCGTTGGTGGGATGGTGGACCGGCCGACTGTGCTTTTGGTGGAGACTGCGAGTTGGTGCTGTACTGCGCGTCGCCGTTCTGCGGTGGATATCCCGTTGCGGCCATGGTCGAGTGCGCGCTGTTTCGCTGATCTGTCTGTGTTGCTGGGCCGCTTCAAAGCGAGATTCGGTGTAAGCAAACCCCAGGACGGAGACGGGCCGTTCAGATATAAAAGGCTACTGGCATTCGCTACCTTCTAGCCGCACGATAAGCTCGAGTTGGAAATGGTGCTGTCGAAAGGGAAGACATGTAAAGATTGCCAGAGAGCACGCCTTTTCTCCGCGATGCTCATAATGGCACGTTCATCTTGGTCCCGTTGATCGTTTGGTCGGTCTCTGGATCTTTTACGAAAGCAAAAGGGTAGGGTTTAATATTTTTACTAAGAACTATGCCCCGATTGGAAGGAGGGCGGCACCAACTTTAAAAAGCACGTGTCATGTGAGGGGAAGTTTCCGTGCCCCCAAGACCGAATGGATCTACCTTAAACTGAAGACATTGAAATCATTGCAGCCTTGAAAGAAGATCTGACAGATGATGATGGGACTTTCTGACACAGGGCATCTATCTGATTCAGCCGCACAGCATTGAGATGCATTGAAACGCAATGCCATGCCATGCAATGCAATGCGATATGCCCGTTCTGTGATTTAGTCCAGACTTCATGCGGGTCGCGTGGCACAGAGTGGAGATCCTTGTCAATGTTGACATCGACCCCACGTTCCATTCGTGTCAAAAGTAGACTCCGTTGTCATGTGAAAAGTGTCTCAGCACCATCTTAGCGGTGATCTGTGAGCAGGGCTGCGTGATGAGTAAACCATTGGCGCGTGCTGGGGTGGTATGGCTTGGTTGGATGCTTTGATAAGAAGATCGATGAGTGGTCGCACAAGTGAATGCCCAGCCTTCGCGTGTCAGCTTATCGAAAGGAATGCTCGATGCAACGTGAAATGTCTCAACGTGCTTGTAGCCGACAGCTAAAGCAAGGGCATTGCTCGAGGACTTGCTCGGTCGATTGCAGTATTCGTCAAACCAAAGGAATACCAATGCGTGCATGATTGTTGATGTGAGAAGCCGGTTGATCGACGGTCCGTTTCACTCTTTCAAGCGGCTGGAGCATATTTTGTGCTACAGCCGTGGCGAGTGACATGATGAAATATAGCAGATTAAAATCGGCCTTACCTGACCTGCTTTGTACACTCTAGGCACAATCCATGGTACTTCTGTTCATTGGACGCGCTTTTGCACTTTTGGCGCTCTGATCCTCCCTCTTATCCAATCCGGGACGAAGGCCTTCAACCCCATCTCTTTCCCATCCGCGCTCTGAACTAGAAATCGATCCTCAGGTGTGAATGGGCTTGGCTCACCCGAGATTATCAAGTCGGTCATTTGCTCCAACCTGCACATACCCAAGCCGATATTGCCAACATGTCCAATAAGCTTCCCTGTACTGCGTTTGCGTTTGTCATCTCGTCTGATGTCTGCTCCATCCAAGACCGTGTCTATCGTAGACTGAACGGACTCCAGTTGTTCGGGGGGCTCACTTCCGAGATCATAAAGAGCAACTGGCAAACTCCTCCTCCTAACCACTCCTGTGTGATGTGTTCGGATTGTCAATTCCTGCCCCAGATAGCATCCTTTTTTGAAATCGATCCCTCCCATGATATCAATGTTGCAATTCATAGGGAGGCAGTCATCCCTCGGCATCTCTTTCTGGCCTTCAGGAACACCTCTCAGATACCTCCGCAGGGTGTACGCAGATAGAGGAGCCTGCTCCATATCATTCAGCATCGGGTGGCCTTCGCCAGGCAAGACGAGTCGTTGTCCCATTCCTGGCGCCCGGGCATCCGTCAGTCCAACCACCCCATCCATACCGTCCTGAGTTCCATGGGCAGTCCACCGGTCTCCCTCTCTCCATACACTCCACACATTCATCTCTCCATCTTCCACCACACGCAGTTTGAACTTGGACCGCAATTTATGTCGCTTCAAATGCTTCATCAAAACATCCACTTGCTCTGAGTCTACTTCCACCAAATAGCCTGGCTCTTCTGCGACACCACTCCCGACCTGCTGAGCATGCCACTCAGAGCCTATTGTAGGATAAATAAAGCTGTCGTGCAAGACTTTTCCTGGTGCAGTCAAGAAAGCTGCATAGAAGCCTTTCGTGGCCTCTGGTCCAGAAGTCTTGACATTGTTGGTGATGATGCCTTGCAAGAATTTGGGCGCATCAACGCCATGAACAGAGATGAGGCGACGGGTCGCGAGTTTAGCAGCTCCAGATGAAGAGGGCGACGGCGGCGATTCAGTGGAGTAAAATCGGTTGATACCTCGCTTGGATAAACATTGTGAACATATGTAAGGTGCCTTGGACGCTCGCGCAAACATGGTGAATGCGAAAGGGACGATGTCTTTCGAAGTGATGACACAAACCTTGAAGTTCACGCTCACATGCACTCGGATGACGCGCCGACCTCGGCTTACCAAGCATTTGTTCACTTCACACTGCGCCTGCCTACGTTTGTTTCCACGCGCAGTAAATGCGGTAAAGTTGAATGGCTGCATTTTGTCAAGACTGTCAAGACGCTCCCCACTACTTCTTGCCACTACGATACCCTTCCTTTTGCACGACACCATTCAGGTAGCCCAACATGAAGTCTTTGGCCTCTGTAGGCGTCTGCTGGCCGCTGGACATGCCGCTCCTCAGCGATGCAATGCTACCTATCCGGGACCTCGATGCTTCGATATTTTGTTCCGAGAAGGAAGGCTCGCGTGCTTTGCTGGTAGCGGGAGTTCCCAGAGTGAAGGGCGAGATTGGAGTTCCTGGACTCGCAACGTGTTGATAAGATGCAGGCTTGGTGAAAAGATTGAGTAGCTGCTGCTGTTTCTGATGATTACCCACAGGGAGAGCACCATGCTGAGAAGCTTTGCGCTCCGGAAGAAGTTGTGGAGCTGGTGGCGGTTCCGGCGTCTTGATTACCGGCTGTGTAGCGCGGCTGTTCAAGAGGTCGAGCAACGAGCTGTTTCGCTGATTTTGACTTGAAGCCTGGGATGGAATCTCGGGGGAAGGCATATTCGATTTCTCGGCCACTTCTGACGCTGCTGCGGAAGTCGGCCTCTTCAAGACCTGTGGTTGGAACGATGATTGACTTTTGTTTGAAGCCTCGAATCTCAATGGGCTCGGTGGTGGAGGCAATGTCTTCCCTGCCGACGAACCTGGGCGCTGCAGTATACTAAACTGTGGCGGTTGTTGTTCGGGTCTCCCTTTGGCCTTTGGAGATGCTTTGTGATTTCGAGGGATCGAAGCCATGTGCACCGACCCAGTCGCCGCGTTACGATTGTTATTGTCCTCGCGGAATGCCTCATTTAGGTGCTGCGGAGGCTTTGAAATAGCGGCTTTGCCCTTCGCTTTCGCAGGTATTGTCCTTGTTATCTCGTTCGCAGATGATCGTGGTCCTGTGATTGTGGCGTCACTCAGCGCCGGAGACGCAATCCTGGGGGTGGCAGCAATCTCAGCATGGTGAGCTTGTTTGGCTGATGGCTGGGGGCCGGATGGCTTGTTGAATAAATTCAACAAATCCGATTGCTGCTGGCTGCCATTGCGCTGAATGTTTTGTGCTTTTCCATGATGTTAGCTTTGGTACTCTTTACTCGGAAATGATCGCAACGACAATGGTAGACTTACCAATACTTGTCTCCACGGGTCGAGCAGACGGCTTTCCTAGATCCCGGGATGCCCCTTTACTACCATTGCTCCCCTTGAAAGCGTCCAAAAGACTCAKAGAATGAGCGTTGAGTCTGGGTGCTGGAAGTTTGGACGCCTCGGGAACAGACGGCTCGCTACCAATGGGTGGAACTCCTTGCGAGACAGATCTGTTAGACGGTATTGGAGGCCTAGAGCGACCGGGGCTGTGGAAGGCTTGAAGAAGTGACATTTGCTGCTGCGAAGTCGGCTGCTGACCTGCGCGTTGCGGCGGATAATGTTGCTGGTGCGGCGCATGCAGATGATTCGGCAAACTGTGCTGCCGATGCTGTTCCTGGTGGGGCATGTGATGCTGCATATGTGGAGGAATGTGGTTCTGGTGCTGGTGRGATGGCTGGCCATTTCCATAGCTGCTTTGCACTGGGAGAGAGGAATTCCGCTGCGGTTCATGGAATTGTTGCAAATGCTGTGGAGAATAACCAAGCTGTGAGTGTTGTCGCATATCGACAACACGATCTTGCGAGTGCTGAGGATGCTGCGGTTGTGGTGTTTGCGGTGTCTGCTGCGGAAATGGCGAGTCAATCTGGTCGAATGGCGTTCGAGGATCGAAGTTCATCGACACTGGGACCGTCGCATTGCCTCCTTGCAGCATAGCAAGGAGATCGTTCCGCGGTCCGTCAAAGACTGGCTTTGGATGTTGAGGGGCGGAAGGCTGTCCTATCGATAGTAGCCGCTTCAATTCGTCCGCGGACTGGTAATTTGTTTGTGATTCGGTATGTGGGCGCTGCTGTCCCGAATGCTCACCATCTTCCGTATCGGTCACGCCTGTTTGATATCCATCGTTGACACCAGATAGATTCCTTCCATGACGTACGTGTGGCTGTGCATTCGGAGCAGCATTTCGCTTCTGCACGTTAATGTACTTTTTGAGATGCCCGAGAAAGGGGGCAACCATGTAAAACTTTGCGGTCTGCGCCTCGCCACTGCCTTGACCCGCAAGTCCCTTTTGCTTCTTGAAGCCTGGCAGATCTTTGATGTTGTACCACTGGATCTTGCTAATCTCCTTGCGGGTTCGTGGTTCAAAGTAGGTATCCAGCGGCACGCCACGAAAGACGAACAACTTCATATGCTGCTCACGCATAGTGACGTCTATTGCCTTCACCTGTCCGTCCTGCTGGCGGTTCACATCCACCAAATTGGCAGCAGAGATATCGTACCCAGTCTCTTCGTAGACCTCTCGAATGGCACAGTCGAGATCCGGCTCGTCCTTGTTGATTTTTCCACGAGGAAAACTCCAGCTGGCGCCTTTCTTCCATCCTCGCACCAAGAGCACTTTCTCCATGCTATCATCCATCAAAATAGCGCCGCGTACCGGCACACGGACTTTGTAGGCCAGAAACTCTTCATATGCAGCCACATGCTGAGCAGCRTTGAACCCTTTGAGCAATGGGCAGTGTTGAAATAGAGTCAGACAGAACTGACGCAGATTAAGTGAGGGCAGTGCGGGATTCGCGGGTCGAATGAAATCTTCGTAGAACCATTGAGCTTCTTCGACCTGAAAGCAGAGACGGGGCACGCTGCTTAGCTCGGTAGGTGGTAAGTTCAGCAGGAATCGCACAGTGAGGTCGTCCAGCCAGTCAACGAGTGTCATGTTGGCGACGATGGCCTCCATGTCGGCGGCGTCGGTCGGGGGCATTGTGAGTGGTGAGGACAGGCGGTGTACGGCGATGTGGTCATTTCTGAGGCGTACACCGAGTCCGACCGAACGATTTGGTGGGTGCTTGATGCGGTTGATAGTGATGGTGATGGTGCAGTCGACGCGTTATGATGTGGTGATGTTGATCAATGTTGATGTGTACTTCGTAGGTCGCGGAGTGTGGAGACAAGGGAGCTAGCATGATGATCATCAGTAATGAACCGCTGTCGGGGAGTCGCAGCCGTGAGGTTAAATTTACTTTACATTGCATGTGATTGTCAAAGGCTTCTAAGAGCAGCCTGCTGTGGATGACTCTAGGTTGATAGCCAGCATACATTTGATGAGAGACGCGATTGTCATCAAAACATCTATGCTCGCACTGCTCTCTTGGGAACCTAAGAAGACTGATCCTGATCCTGGATTTTAAGTATCCGCTGGCTTCTTTCTTTCACGACCTCAATCATTTCACGACATTACCCAAAATGGCCGAGGGAAGCTCACAAGACTACTATGAACTGCTCGGTATCGCCTCAACAGCGACCGAGAGCGAAATCAAACGCGCATATCGTCGGACAGCTCTCAAATACCATCCCGACAAAAACCCAGCGGGTCGCGAAACCTTTGATTTGGTAGGTATCGCACAAGATGTCTTGCTGGACGAGAATGCGCGTGCGTTATATGACAACGCACGTCGGGCCAAGGCGGAGAAGAAGCAGCGCGATGAGGCATACGATGGGCGGAGGCGACAGATGAAGGATGATTTGGAGCGGGCAGAGAAGGCAGGCGCAAAGCGGAAACGGGACGCCACAGAGGAGGAAGGCGCGTTTGAGAGAGAGCTGAAGCGTTTGGCTGCAGATGGTGCGCGAAGGAGGAAGGAACGAGAAGAACAATTGCTGAGGGAGGCTCAAGAGCAAGAGGACGAGAAGGAGGTGCACATCGAGGAGCCACCACCACCACCAGTTGTGGACGAGAACGATTGCAGAATTGTCTTCCGATTCTCAGCAAGTACGGACGATGCGTTGGGCAAAGAAGCGCTCAAGGAACGCTTTGGTCGATTTGGGAAGATTGAACATGTGGTCATGAGGAACAAAAAAGTCAAAGTAGATGGCGAGAAAAAGGACTACATCTCCGTCATGATCGAATACAGTAGCGTTGTCGGCGCACACGCGGCCGTGACAGACATCTCTGGATTGCAGTCAAAGGACCCAAGCAATTGGTCCAGTTTTGAAGGCGTAAACTGGGCGAGCGGGAGGGAGCCGGATTACATACCAAAACCAGCGAGCTCCCGGGTCAACACTCAGGGGCAGTTGGACGGACAGAAGGCTCGACCGGTTTCGGAAAGATTCAGCACACCCACAAAAAGAAGCACGGTTGACGAAATCAAAGACGGAGCCGGGCTAAGAAAAGTACCCTCATTTGGCAGTTTTAAAGGAACGCCGAAACGACAGATGGATTCGCCTGCTGCAGGTACTCCCAGTGCGCAGGACTTGATGATGATTCGATTGAAAAACGCCGAAAAGAAGAGATTGGCAGATCAGCTGCGGAAAGAGGATGAGGCGGCGATGTCCGATGCTTTCGATATCAACGAACGAGCGCCATGATGCTCTACAAGACCCTCTGGATGTGGAAGACTCCACGAGATGAACGAGCGCGGAGTTCTGTAACGTAATTATACCCCGGCACTTTTTGCTTAGTGCGCTCTCAGACCAATCGAATCTTTTGAAAGACTCGAGCTGCCTACTCGCTATTACAAAGTCTTTGTCCTTGAAGATCGCGATTTCATTACCGCTCAAGGCGTGGAAGATTCGAAATCATGRAAAGTCTGGCTCGCAACCTCCCAATACCCTCGCCGATGGTTGATTTCTTCATTCCGCAATTCCAACCATCTTCCTTCAGGCGTGGAACTTTTCCCAAGTGCCAGCCAGGCCATTCGGATAGGCCAGAGTAGAATCAACTCACTCATGCGTCCATATGCATGCAAGAGATGGTAGTCTATAATGCGGCAAATCTCCATTGCTGCGTGCCGCGTTTTGAAGAGTAATTGACTTGCTTCGCCGCTCCCGGGACTGAAGTCTTCAGGTCCAGCCGATTGGACTGCGGTATCAATGGCGAGTATTACAACTGCGTTGTAGATGGCGTAACAGTTTGCTGCGTAGAGCGAAACGCAGCTGATGTCTGTATCCCAAGTCTTCTGGCCTTCTGGATCGTTCTGCACTTGCACTTCAATCATGCGTGAAGATGGCAGAGACTTCCATTCGTCCCACCACTGTTCCAGCCTTTCCAAAACATCTAGAGCCTCTGCGGTAATTGTGGAGAGGTCGATTTGCTTCTGTTTCCGTTCAATTAACGYAGGTAAATCCACCATTAGATCCAAGAGGGTATCGCCGGATTGCTTGGAGACCGACGCTAGCTCCCAAGGTCTTTCTTTCCATTCACAGCCAGATATAAAGGTAGATGACGAAGTCGCTAGCGAAGCGAGTGTAATGTAGAATCTGTTGGAACGAAAAAGATCGAAGAACTCCCGATTCGCGCATGCTTTCACACCTCGCATCTGAATGAGCATAGCCACTCCACGAGCGTGGCTTATCCATCCCACAGGATCGGTCTCAGACATGAGCTAGACATGTATCAGTCTCAACGTCGTGACGTGCAAGGGACATAAAGACAGACCTCATAAGCTCCAAGAACTACCACAGATCTCAAGGTATCGTTTGTCTTTTGCTTCTTGACATCACGAAGGTTGGCGTTCACCAGAGCCAGGCATTCTCCGTATAGACGACGTCCTTGCACGGCAAAGGGTTTCGCTTTGCGGTACACGCCATAGAATGATTGACTCATTGAAAGAAGACAGTTGAAAGCGAGATCTCGCGGTCGATTGTGAGCAGCGAGTCCAACCCACTCRCCAACCCCACCATCCTCGCCGGGTGGTACTTCATATAGGAGGCGCTTGAGGTGGCAGATCATAGCCGTGTCGTCCAGTTTCGACAGGCTTGTATCGTTTAAAAGTCCTGCGACCGATTTGAGCGACACTTTGTGACGCCTCTGCTTCGAAACATCATGCTGGATGAACTTGACTGTCGCATGATAGTCACATTCGATCCCTTCTCGGTAGCAGCGAGAGCATGTGGGTTGCAGTCCATCTGTCAGGAGCGGTCAGTCGGAAAACAGGCATTCCATCCCGCAGATAGTCATACCACATCGCAATCGCCGCTTTCGACAGCTCYGACATCCTTTCGAGCCTGAGCTCGGGCCGGCCATCACCAAGCATCTGGGTTTAATGCTTGGACTGCGGAGTGAGCTTGCGGTTGAGCGATGCAGCAGGCTGTAGCCCCCACGTCATGCCACTGATCACAAACCTTATTACATCTCTCATCAAACCTCAAGCAAACTTCYTTCGTACGCATCAACTGCCAAGGACCACGTGTGCCGAGCTGCCGAGTGCGAAGACGCCTCGACAGACACGGCATGTGTCATACCTTACAGTGGTCGTGAACAAGAGTTGACTACAAGAAGGCTTTGGTCCACCAAGCTTTGCAGTGGCTGTATACGATGCCGGTCTACATTACACCACGGGGTCTATACGAAGTATGCCGTGAATTGCGATCGTTGGAAGCGCCCGCTGCAGGCCAGGAGAAGATCAGCAAGAACCTCAGCTAAGTCTACGGCACAGCAATGGGCAGCCGATTGATTGGTATAGCAGCACGTTCAAGCTTTGATGTTCATTATGCATGTGCGCAAGGCGGCTTCAAAGTCTGTTTGACCATTGAGCGCATGCAACCCCCAGCCCCGGCAGCCAAAGAGTAGAAAAGTTATCTTCCTCTTCCCACCTTCGACTCTATTCACTCAAATCTGTTCCTTCAGAAACAAACATGAAGCTCACTATCGCGACATCGGTCTCATTTTTTTGGTTGGTCTCGGCCAACAACGCCTTTACTCGGCAAGCAGGTGTAGGCGCCGAAGGTCTTTGGGAACCAGGCAGCTTCGGTACTTCACCTACTGCAGAGCAACAGCAGTTATTCGTCGCCGCAGGACATCAGGCAAATGACACAAGCTCTGCAACTTTCAACTTTGCTCCGGGAAACCTTTCTGCCAGTGATTCGACATGGACTTGGCGTATCAACATCAGCGAAGTAGCAGTCCCAGACACGAACGATTTACATGCAATCAACACACAATGGGATTTGCAATGGCCTGGAGGTGGCAGCCTGCAGTCATTCGTGGCACGGGCAGGCCTGGCCGGCAACAACAGTGGACGACTATGCCTGGCAGWGGCAGAATTTGATCTTSTCTCAAATGTTACAAGTCGCTATTCAAAGAGCGATCAGGGGAATTGCTCTGCTGTGCTGGGAAGCGCATGCGCTCAGAGGCTTCAAGCAATGTACCTGAACGGCGCTTGCGACGAGACATCGGGAATTCTGCCACCGTTCGTTGAGGAGTGTGCGGACATTGCGCCTGCCGCTATGGGGCACGGTCATTTGGATCCAGGTATCTATCACTTTCGTCAAACTCAAACTGCTATTGCTAACAATGTGTCTTTGCAGGCACCCTGATCGACTCCGACTTTAACCGAACTACACAGTCCGGTGACACGGTGTGGTACTCCACCTCCCCTGGAGTCCCTGCTTCCAATATATCCAGCCCGTACGCTAAAGCCGAAACTCGTCTGAACATCCTGCTGCTGCGAGAGATTCCAGGCGTAGGGAAAGGTACCGATGCAGCCACAATGCTCTGTCAAGTTGTAAACCCATCGGCATCTAGTGGTGCACGATCTGGCGGTCTTGTACCTTCCCTTTGGGCTTTTGGTCTGGTGGTTGCATGGACGCTATTGATGGTGTAATGTCATGGTCATTTTCGGCAAGGATCTTGATTTGCATTTCCCCACCAGAAACAGCAAGATGCCTCAACAGGGCGAGACAAACGCTGAGGAAGGACATATTTACGCAAAGGATGCTGGCTGCTGGACGGGAATGATAAGTACAGTGTGAGATGATTTCGATCTGCCACTCGAGTGCCCGGTGTCCGTCTCAGCGGCACTTCAGATCCGATTCTTCAGATAATACACGATCGAATGTGGAGCTGCTGTCACCTCAGAATGTGACAGCGGCGCAGTGCATATCACTTAGCTCTACAAGTGCAACTTTATCTCTAGCTTTTGACAGTTCCCAGCTGTACGGCGCATGTGCCCCACGTGCATGTTCGGAAAGGTGTCTGCATCTTGATGGCAAATCGATAGTTCATCGGCAGCGTGAAAGAGACCTCGGTTGCAAAGGCACCACAGCTCTTTTCGACATCTTGGTTGCGTTGGTGAATTCGATCTTGTACGAGCTGCATCCTTCGCCTCTTCTGGCGCCGGGGAGTGGAGCGACATTTACGAGTCTTGCGTCTTAACGTCTGACACAACGAGACCCTAGAAAGGCAGCAGTTGCAAAGCAGTCGTAGTCTGGACATGATTCGATCCGGGGAGAGTGTGATCATGATTTTCGATTCACTATCTTCTATTGATGTTGAATCGCGGATAAAGAGCAACAAGTACAAAAAATGGCATCGCGGCCGTCATTGAGATATCGTAATAATCGTGTTCCATAGTCACGCCCCAAGATTAAGACGGCGGCATCTTGCTGTCGAGAAAGTCCTTCTCCGTAGAGCACGGAGTTGTAAGCTGGAAACTGCAGCTCACTTCCCCATTCTTGTTAACGGGGTTCTTGGTGCCAGGGCGACCGCCACGCTCCCCTGGTGGGACAGATCCCCCCGAGAATTGACAAAAAGTGATCGAGTTATTGGCCGCGTGATATTCGGTACTTGCGTACTGATTCCCGGTCAACCCACAGCTGTCGGCTGCAATCAGTGTGTCCATTGGGAAGTCGGACTCGTTGTCGATCTCGGCATAGTACCGCTGTGTGAGGCCGGGACCAATGCAGCTGACATRGCCAGCTTCAGCCGAGTAACTGATCAAGATCGTACATTGTCTGTCTGGAGAGACAGCAGCCTGTGTTGGGTGTTAACGAACTGGAAGCCTAGCATGTGCCCAAACAACGTACAGCATCGTCTGAGATAGGAGCAGCATAGATGCCAGCTGACAAAAGGAGTGCTGAGAGAGCAGCAACCGTAGTGGAGGCACTATGCGGGAGTCAGTTGTGCAGCGTCTGAACGCGTTCGAGAGGCTCACATCATGGTCAAATTGTTGGCCTGAGTTGGAATAATGTCCTGTTGAATGGTGAAAGATCCAATGCTAATCGATTGATGGCAGTAAGTGTTGGAGTGGCAGCCAGAATGATGGGAAACGGATACCTTTAAATATTGCCTGTCGTCTTGCACGATGTCCTCGGAATCGTGCTGCGCCGCGGTGTGGGCGATGAATCGGTTCTCATCGATGCAGTCATCATTGACAACAGCTATTGAAGCGCGGAAGGATTCAAGTCTGAGGCGTAGATGTTCGCAAGGTTGGAGACGCATGTAATGGCAGGTGCAGTCACATCCAGCCGCAGATGCAAAAGTGCAGACGCGATATGGCGTGTCGTTCACGCTGCCAGAATGGCCAAGTCATTAGCGCTGCCGGCGTCCGCTGAAGCTTTCAAGTAGGTTTGTGAAGGATGCCGTAGGTTCCCGAGGTCTCGTCAAGATCGGAGAGGTCCGGAATGGGTCTAGGTGATCTTAAGGAGCTCCGGATCTCACACTTCGACAATTCAAATTCTGAAGTCAAGCTCGTCAAGCTTACTAAAATAATGGCTATAACGGTACTCGTAGCGCACTCGCGTAGTATTAGTTGTTTAAAAACTTAGGCTATTAAGCTTTATATCTAGTAATTATATATATATAATTTAGTGTTTATTTAGTATATTTTAAGAGGTATAGTATAGGAAATGCGACGAAAAGTAAGGCTATTTTAAGGCTAACTTAAGCTAACTTAAGCTAACTTAGGCTAAACAAGCTATAATAACCGCATACTCTAATAACTTTACTCGAAATTGCTTTATATTACTCGTAGCCGTTCGTTAAGGCGTTCGCTACTTTTTAGTAGATCTTAGACTTATACCTAATAGTAGTAATTCTTATCGTTACTTCTTTCTCTTTAGCTACTTAGGTAACGGTAGAGCAAGCTGTTCGCTATTCGTAACGTTTATTATAGCACTTATAACGTCCTTTACTATATTCGCTACCTTCGTTACTATACTCGCTATAGTAACCTTAGCCTTAGTAGTAGTAGTCTTTACCTTAGCGGCCTTTACGCTTATAGCTTTTGCCTTTACGGCCTTCGCCTTTATAGCCCTTACCTTAGCTATAGTAGCTATAGTAGCTCTAGCTAATCGAGAAGCGAAAGCCGTATCTTCCGTATTCGCTCTACTCGTTACCGTATTCGTAAGATCTACTACCTCTAGTAGCTTTAATAGATCGATTATACGGCTGCTCTATAAGCTACTTTTAATAGGGCGTTACCCTATCGGAAGTATCGTTTTAACCTTAACGTAAGGCGGTAGCGGTCCTTCGCTAGCTACGTTCGCCGTAATCGTTATAGTATTCGTTAGTATTAGTAATAGAGACCGAGATAGTAGCTCGGAACTTAAGAGCCTTCTAGCCCTTTATAATAAGGTTTTATCTATAGTAAATACGATAATGTTTAACTCTACGTACGGTGTTTAGCCCTTTAGTTTAATAGTATTAAAAGTAAGGAGTTTCTCTTCTAAGGTGTCCGCCTTAAGGGCTCTTTTACTAATAACAGCCGGTTAGTAGCTAACTAGATCGAACTTATTTATAAACTAATAGCTATAGTAGTTCTACTCTATACTCGTATAGCGTATCTTTTAATCTATCCTCTCGTACGTAAAGTTAAGTAATAAACGCTCTAACTTAAGGAACGTTTATTCGGTCTAGCTATCCTTAAATTGTCCGTATAGCTCTAGCTCTTAGTATATCTACTTCTTAGTTCGGCCGTATACTATAACCTTCTAAAACTATACCTTAGATATAGCTTAAATCCGGAAGCTCGTAGTAGTAGTAGTAACTAGCTTAGTTAGAACTAGAGGAGCTTATCGTTACTTACCTTTAGTAGGGGTCTTTAATAGAGTCGCTAGCGCTAGTAGAGCGCTCTAGCGAGATAATATTAGTTTACTACTAGCCGAGTATATAACGTAGCTTAGTACCCTAGATACGTTCTTTTAATAAGCCTTACCTTTGTTTAGAAGTAATAAAACGCGGATTTAAATCTAGGGGGGAGAGCGGCTATTATATTCGTAGTACTCGTAGTACTATTCGCCGCCGTAGATTACTTCTTAAACGTATTAAACAAACTTTCTATTCGAGGATTACGAGCTTAATATTACGAGTAGTAAGAATAGTTAGCGAATATAACTTCGTAGTCCTAGCCGGATACGGTATATCGACTAGACTAAGGTAGGAGGTCCTATTCGCTTATATTCGTATAGGTGTTCGTATAGAGCCCCTTTTTTCTACTAATTTGTCGTTTAATCGTTCTATCGTTTTATCGTTCTATCGTTTTATCGTTCTATTGTTTTATCGTACTATTAACCTAGCTATATACCTCCCCGCTCCTTATAGAGCAAACTCTAGAAATAGAGCTTATTAATGCGCTAATTCGAGCTCGGAGCTATATAGTCTAAGCGAATATAACTAGCGAACGTAGCTACGAACATACTACGAGTAGATACCGCCCCCCGTACCCCTACTTTATAGTCGAATAAGCGGTATAGTTTTATAGTCTTTTATATCCCTCGATAACTACTTTTCTCTTAACTTATAAGTTATAGTTGTTAGAAAGTGCAGTTATAGAATAGCTGTACATCTAACATAACAGAGAGCTAAGTAGCTATAAGGTTACATAACTCTATATAGGGTAAAATCTCTTCKTAGGAGATAGAGACACATCTCTAGATAATTAACAAAATTAACATATTAGTTCCTACTTTTAAGTACTGCCTATCGGAGATAGTAAGCTAGTTAAAGATTAAGATACTCTTTTACTCCACCCCTAAAAATCTGCGAACCTCCGACTAATATTTAATAGGTTATAAGCCCGGGTTTGCCGAAGGAAAAAAGACCTTAACCTTAAAGTAGTAAAGGTTTCTCCTACCTTATAAAGCTAATATAGAAAGGACACTAGTTTCTAGTACCCTATCTTGCACTACTAGGAGTTTTAATAGCAGGTTAGATAAGAAGAAAACATAGAAGACAGATTAGTTCCTAAGGGTTTAGAACATTTAACTATTAGGACTAAGGGATTGTCTAATAGCTATAAGGAGTAGAGGACTCTAAATCTAAAGCCTTAAAACATATACATACCCTTTACTTTACTACTAAAGCCTTAGTAGGACTAAGCTATTTATATACTAAAATAGAGGAAGAGAAGGATAGTTAGACCTATATTAGGATTCTAATCCTAATAAGAGAGAACTAGAAAAGATAGTTTAAACTATAGAGGGACAACCTAGAAGGAAAAGGCATCTTCTATAATATTAAGGGATTAATTAACCTAAACAATTTATTACTCCTTAATCTAGATACTAGGGTTATAAGAATAGCTAGCTAGCTAAACTTTTAAAAGGAGAATGCTAAGTGCAGGTATAAGCTAAGATTAAGAGTTAGCTTAAATAAAGCAGATAAGATTTAATTATTAATAGATATAAAGATAGCTGCTAAAATCTAGCTCTTCCTCTAGAAGAAGTATAGTAAGGTGCTTATAGCATATGCTATATTAATAGTATAACAACTTATAAACTTTAGAATAGGAGAGGAAGATATAGTAAGATTAGCCTAGGTATAGATTAGTTTAATAGTAAAGAGGATTAYAGAGGTTAATAAAAGGGAGTTATATATAAAAGAACCTAAAAGGAAAWTTAGGATCCTTCTTTTAGTACTCCCTCCTAAGTTTAAATTAACTAAGAATGCAATTATAGCCTAGCTAATACTTACTAGGAACTATAAACAGATCCTACTTATCCTTAAATCTTAGGAAGTAAGGGACCTTTATTATAAGGAGGACTTTATAATAGTAGCCTTTAGAAGGATAAGAACATACTTCCTCTATAATAGATAACACTTTATATAAGATTATCTATAGCTAGGAAAGGTAAAGAAAGCAATTAGACCTTAGGAAAATTTCCTATTTAGAAATAGGGATTCTCTAAAGCCTAAAAAGAGAAAGATCTCTAGTAAGAAATACTCCTCCTCTTTATTAAAGAGGGTTAAGAAAAGAAGAGACTCTCTTAAAGAATTTAAGAAGGTAATAGAGGAAATAATTAGAAAAGAGGTTTCTAAATTTAGGAAAATAAGGAAGACTACTAAGAAAGCATTCCTTACTAAATAAGCCTAATCTAGGGAATTATCCCTAACCTTATTAAGTGCTACCTTATCCTAATTTAAG